GTTAGAGGTTGTGAAAGTCACTACTAACTTACACTGGATGCCAGCGCTGACAGACTGCCAGTGGTGGTTCGAATCCCTGCTGGTCCACTCGGGAGTCTCAAGTGCGACCCGCCGAAAGGCAACGGGCGCTGACCACAAAAAATACTAACTTACACTGGATGTTGGACCATCGGCCGTGGGTATCCCACGTTGACGGCAGTGCATATATAGGCACTGATTGAAATTGCTTTTGAGGCTGTGTGCGATTCGTCGTTACAGTGTGACTGCTTTGGCCTTCTGATGAGGCAGTGGGACATTCTGAAGGGGGCAAGTCGTCACGTACATCAGGGTGGAGCATTTGTGCAATAACAGGGTGCGCATGTTTATTTTGAATGATTTTCGTAATTTCCAGCATAAAGGCATCGGGGTCATCTAGTAACGCCTGGGCTTCTGAGAGCGGCTTATCTAGTACGATGGCAATGAGCATTTCTCTTCCATCTTTCTTCTGGACAGCCGTGATCCCTAATTCATGTGGCATGTTTTTGACAGTGATGCAGTGGATAAGCCACTGCGTCCAATGGCAAATCGATTCGGTGGGTGTTTTTGTTTGGGCTCCGGCCCCGTTTTGTGGATTTTGTTTTGTTTCTGCTGTTGGTTTCGCTGTTTCCGCTGGCGAAACGCAAGTCTGGCTGGGGGATTTGCGGGTCGTCGTTTTTGGTTTGGTTGTGGTTTTTTGTTTTTGTTGATTCAATCGATTTGCCGACTCCAAGGACCTTTTGTCCTTGCAATTTGTATTTCCTGCTTACTCTCATGTAAGGACCGAGCCTTTAGCGCGACATCGGCCACACTCGAGGAAAAAAAAATTATCTTCCATCTTTCTTGATGAGAGCCGTTTGCCTTCTTGCATTTTGTTCAAGATTGCCATAGCTTTGTTTTCGCACACGTTCCGTTCCCATTCTTCAACTGCCCTTTGGGCTAGCTCTCCTGTTTGTGCCGGGGCAGTCCGAATCGTTGGGGTGCCGAGTGCCTTGAGGAAAGGGCTGTCAGCCATCTGTGGCGCCGGCAAGGAAGTAACGGCTGAGGCTACACGGAGTAGGTCGCTGTCCCGGATTTCATTTGACCGTGACGTCTTGATCCACATTTGGCTTAAGGCGAGGCCTGCTTTCGGTTCCATGTACCATTTGTTCCAGACTGCTTTGTGCGCCCACTGGGGTGCTTTGCGGTTGATTTCGGCCAAATCCCGTTTCATATCGTATTCGCTAAGAAGATCATCTAGCTCCTGCAGTGTAGTGTCGCGGTGGATGCATCAGCTCCATCTATGTGTAGGGGCCATCCAACTGGCATATGTGACTCTTCAAGGAGCCCATCACCATTTTGTTCAATTATGGTACCCAGCATCGGTACGTCAATCGAGGTCTTAAGGCTGACGCGCGGTCGGTTGCATTGCCATGTTTCTGGGTAAAGTAATCCTCGTTTGGCCAGTTCTGTCACCGCTGGGAAAAAAGGTTGGTCACTGATGATCAATGCTTCCTCTTTGATCATGAGCCGAAGGCCATGCATGGGTTCGGGTGTCCCTTGTCCTCAACTTGGTGGAGGTCCCCTGGTAGCTGTTGCGTCTTGGAACCAGGTGGGACGAATAGATTTGACCCTGTCACGCTTCCGGAGTCCGTGCTTTTGACACTTTCACGGCGTAGGCTGTGGTGCATAGGGGGGATCATCCACGCAGGGACGAATACGACAACGTATTGGACATTCCATGCAACATGGAGGTCTTTGGGCTTGAAGTCCGGTGTGATGCATTGGACCTGTCCGTCAATGATTGCGGACGTATGACTCCGTGCGGTCAAAGGAGGCAGTCACCTTGAGACCCAAGTATAATTCTCTGAACCAGTATTCCTTGAGCAACATGAATAAGAGGTGTGGCGATCTGGTTTCAAGGACATGTCTTGCTGGTGCCAAGAGTGCCACAAGCCATTCTGCAAGGAATTCTATGACGTTGCTCCCAATCAATCATTGCAAGGGACGGCCCATAGACCTTCATTTGAGCATGATTTTGGAAGAAAAGATCATAGTCATGGTCAGGACTGAGTAGACCCCCCGCGTAGCCCACTACAGTGCACCATCAGCGGTCGATCTTGCATGGGGGCATCGTCTTGCCAAAGTTCCTCAAGCGAAAACACCCACTGTGCGAACTTGCGGGGGCGATCGAGCAACGCCTGAGAGTCACTGGCTGCCGTGCCTGTGTATATTGGTTGGGCACAGTGGACAATATCGAAGGTGTAGCCCTTGACGTCCGTATGCCAAGTGCCTAATGCTGCGAAAGCGGTCGGAAGACCAAAGTCCAGTTGCGCTGCCTGCACAAAGGCCCGGCACTGGAGTCCTTGGTGCGCTTCTCGCTCCCACAAGCCCAATAGTGCCACCAGCTGTCGATCAGTGAGGGGGGAAGGTGGTACCTTGGCATGGACTCGCAATCCAATGACTGGAAGGAAGTTATGGTGCAACCATTGCGGCTGCCATTTCACCGTGCCAAAGAGTGCGGCTGCGAGCGGCATCCACCCACATTGTGCCAGTTCTGCTGGTCGCACGGGTAATCTTTTTTTGGCGCTGGTGCCGAAACCATGTAAGATAGCAGGCCGCATAAACTCAGGTTCTATCTCCATCGCCTGGTACATTTTATCGCCTGGGAGCACTCGTATGGTACGTCACCTGGAGGACTAATATTCCTCTCAGGTGGCCGTGTCTCGGCCACACGCCCGTTTCTGGTACTGGGAAGGTTACCCAGCCGGACCATTGCCCTAGTAGGCTCCACGCATGACACAGCTGCTCTCGTCCTAGTGCCAAGTAACGGTGAGCCAAGCAAACCGCTAGACACAGCCTCCTCTGTATTGTGGGGTGGTCTGGTGGTTGCTAGGTAGCCGTCCACATGTTCGTGATAAGATTGACAATGAGGGCAGCTAGCTCATCAGGGTCACGGGTAGGATCTGCTAGATCTGCTTGTTTTCGGGCTCTCATGGCCCGACACTATATGATTACTGGCCCAGCATTGATTTCTGTGAAGGTTTCGCTGACTAAGATGACCCCTTTAATGGGATGACTCTTCAGTTCCTTCTGGGTTAGTCTCGCAGCACTCTCGGTGTGACTTGGCTGGGCAGTCGGCGAGGAAGTGCCACTGACGGATCCAGCTTGGACGGGTGAGGGAGGGCTGTGATCTTCCGAGCCGCCATAATCCACTTCTTCTCCAGGATTATCTGCAGAACCGGGAAAGGGCGCTCGTACGGGGACGCTCAAGAGGTTCTCGACGCTTCTTGATTTGGGAAGCTTCGCAGGTGGGCCTGGCTGCTGGGTGGCTTTTCCGGTGTCAACCGACCGTGCTCTCTTGTGCGCTGGCGCAATTGGGCTTGTTGGCGTCTGATCGGGCGCAAGCGGGACATCTGCGTGAGCAAGATCATCACACGAGCGCCGCAGCTCCTGAATCTCATAAAGTGTGACTGGTACACAATCGCTATCAATTAGCGCGAAATTGGTGCTGGGAAAGAGGTACACACAAGCATCTAATATATAGGTGCCAGCCCATGTTGGGTGCACTCTTTCCAGTCCCGTATCCGACGTAATCGGTACAAAGACCACTGTCGTGTGCTCGCCGTATGGGCCGACATACTTGATTCTCTCTTTCCACCAGGCAGCGACTACCGGCCAATGGCTCAGCCCCGGAACCGTGTTGACCGTGTTGGCTAAAAGGTCACGATTATCTGTGATTAGATATACAGTCTCGAAGGATAGAAACTCAGATGCCTGGCTTACTATCCAACGATAGAGGTTGTGCCACCGGGGCCCTGGCGACACCTCTATGCCATCAGAGAGCTTGATGTTGTAATCATGTCGATCAGGCACCGCCACCTTCCTGTGGGGATCGCCAAATCGCCAATTGTGATGGACGGAAAAGTTTAACCCGTATTCAGTGGAGACGTCTTTATAGTGTTCCAAAGCATTTAGAAGCTCACCGAACTGTACCGCAGGATCCGGCTCGACCCATGACTGTGCAGCTTGCTGTCGAGTAAGTAGTGCCATCCAGACTGCAGTAAAAGAAACGACCTTGGCCAGTCTGCGGCCAGAACTCGCAACTTCTACTTCTACGTTGGTGTTGCAGAAGGTATGAAAATGCGAAGGTAATCCTGACCAGTCTGCGGCCAGAAAAACCAAACGCAGTCAGTTCTGAGGCCCCAGCAATTAGCAGATGGTTGAGATTCTTTGGAGGAAAAGGCTGACAATCCTGACCAGTCTGTGGCCAGAAAAGCCAGAGCTTACTTCCTAGGGACCCGACCGAGCAAGGTAAGGGAGGGGCAGAGGGTGAAAGTAGCGCTGACAACCCTGACCAGTCTGCGGCCAGAGAAGTCAGGCACCACAAAAGGAAGTCAAGAGGCTAGCCAATGAATTTGGGTGGGGTTGAGTAAAGGAATTAAGAGAGTAAGTGGCTGGACAGTGGGAAGTCAGGTGGTAAGATACCGTATGGTTGAGCAGGGGTGGTTTTATTCAGGTGGAGAGAGGGGGTATAGCCTGAGGGGAAGGCAAAGGACAGGATTCAGCTTCAATTAACGGAGTAGACCGTTGACTGGCAGTGAACTAACGGGCTGTCTAGACTGAGGGCGGTGAGGGAGGAACCGAACAGTAACCAGCCAGGAATCCTAGTACCCAGCTAATGCAGGCAGCATTGAGCCATATGGCAGCAAAATCATGCATCATCATATACTACTATATGCATCAGCCTTCAAACACCAGCTTGTCTCGAAACACACAGTGGAGTGACGCTATACTGCCAGTCCGTGATTACTCGAGGATAGCCACTCTTGTTCGAAAACAATAATGACAAGGGGTACTCTCTTCCTGTTCCTTTGCAGTGTTATGGGATCAATACTCGATCCTAGTCTCCACTCTGTCCTTACTGCACATTCTTTGGTTCTACTCGGCGACGCTAATCTCAAAGATCCTACCTTAGCCTTCAGTCGCAGTTGAGCACTGCCTTGCTAGTCGACCTGTTGAAGTAGCGGGCAGTGGAGTTCTCGACTCTCTTGTGGTTGGTGTCGCGCTGTAGGCAGTGCGGGGAGGTATAATCCTGCCATAATCTTGCGCCAGCGGAGTGATTCATGTTCAAGGCGCGGCTTGTGGGGCCCAGTGTGTTGCCGGTAGTCCTCAATTGCCCGGGAGAGTACCATAGTGGCCCGCTCCGAGAGGACTGAGGTCACCGGCTGGTATTGAGGGGAGATCCAGTTGATCCCTACCTCGTCTTGCAGGACCGATTCACTGATCAAGATGTCGGTGCAAGCGCCAGTGGAGCTTTGTGCTGCCGCGACCTGCACTGCACTGACTGGCTCTTGCCACGAAAAGACCCACTTGCTCCACGGTCGATCTAAGAGTGCACCTACATGCACGCTTCGCCACGGGTCTGCAAGTGCCCTGAGAAGGGCTCGAACGATGCCTCGATCTTGATTAAGCACTGCAATGGTTAACGGTGGGACCATGGCAGCTTCTGGGTGTACTTCAGCTCCTGCCCCAAGGAGCAGCTCGACAAGTGCCTGGTTGCCCAAAGCGACTGCAAGGGCAATCATTGTCGTTGGTTGTTGTTTTGGCGGGAGAATGTTGGGATCAGCTTTAGCCTGCAGGATCAAAAAGGTGAGGCATGCCTTGGGGCTTGGGTACTTGATAGGCCTCGTATCCTTGGCCACTGTGTAGTCTTCAGGGTCGTGATCTCGTAGGATTGCTAGTGCTAGTAATGCACTGGTATGGCCTCCATCAGGGACTGTGAGGCTCAAGTCCAACCCGTGACTAAGAATGTCACTCAGCTCCACTGCATTCTTCTGATCCAGTGCTACTATCAATTGCCGATAGTGCGTTGCCGTTGGGTATTGCATAGGACGCACAATGAAGTACGTTTCTAGACGCTCTGTCAGAGGATCCGGTCGTATCAAATGTAGCGGAGACATAGTAGTTGTCGTCCTCTCAGGATTCACGGTGATTTGATAAGGCGTCTCCAGGCCCAAGAAGGCTGCAACCTTAATCATCACGTCCCAACCTGACAGATTTGAGTCAGTCTCCATCTGGAGCAACCATTCTCCTGTGAGACCATGGCGAACGTCTACAAACATAGCAGGAAAGGGTGTATGTCCTAAGTCTTAAAAACTACAAGGTAGCTATGAGAAAATGTCGCGTTATTAGGAGAGCACAAGCCGGATTTGAGCCACCAAGTAAATACTCAGATTAGCGTGTGTTGCTGTATGGCCAACTTACACCGCATCGTTCAGAATGATTTTGAAACGTTAATTCTCAATTAGATACTATTTGCCATCTAGTGATTTACCTACATATAAGTATGCCAGTAAGTTCAACCGGGAGTGCGTGAGTTTTGGCTGGCATACCCTACCTCCGCTGAAATGCAACACACTTCCTTTTGGTGACCAGGTAGCGCTTGTTTGACGACCACAGTCTTCGCTGTGGCCCTATGGCTGGGCAGGTTGCATGCACAGTAATTAGGGTGACCACCTTTCTCGTTGGCCGCCTCAGCACAGTGATCCTTGCCTTCAGGAGTCTTGGATTCGGGGGCTACGTCTTGGGCTGCATCATCGACGTCTCCCTGCTCGCGGTTGATCTGTTCCAGGTTCTCTACAACTGTTTCAAGCTGCACCGCGGCTTCCATCACCACTGCAAGCAATGTACGTAAAATAGGCCAGCTGGGCTGTACAACGATCGCTGCCTTTTGCCCCAGGGCCAAGCGTTGGGACTTGTCCATACGTCCACTGCACACCATCATTTGGACCTCGCGGCTGGCTTGCTGATGCCGTAGTCGATTGTGGTGGATCTGCAAAGGCTTCGTTCCACGCCTGCATATCACGAGCACTGTACGTGCCGGTGGGGTCAAATTGCCTCGCCCTTGCTTGCCCTGTGGAGTCCGAGTGTTTGCGCTTGCCATGGGAGACATCTTCATTGCGACCACCTGGACTTGTAAAATACTTGTCCTCAAATCCTGTGACAAAGGTTTCATGTGACGCACTGCGGAGACGTGTGTCTTCACTGGGCGCGATGGTTCGCTCAATCACTTTTCCTTTGTCATTTTCCACTTCATCAAAGGACCAGCATGACGTTCGGAGGGCGAGAATGTGGTGCTCGTGCGTCTTGTTTGAATAGAAATGGTTCAGCTTCTCTTTAGTTGGGTGGCTTGAGATGATGACAAATCTCCTTGGGCTGACCCAGATCCAAAGGTGTTCTTGAAAGCACTCAGATGTATAGAAAGGCCATATTCTGTGGCCTGCCATGTCCACAAAATTGAAGCTGGTGTAAACGTCGTCGCAGTATCTGGAGTCTAAATGGCAGAAGTCATGAGTCAGCTTGGTTGAGTTGGAGCCTGGGAAACTACTGGGAGTCTTTACCATATTCTCGTCCGTAATGATATTCCAACATTCGCCATTGATCATCATACGATACTCATAGAAAGCCCAGTAGTGGAATTGATGGTGCTTGGAGAGATCACAGGAGCTGAAGGTTCACCACCATTTCCAGGAGAAGCACAGCCATTTTGCGATGCAAGAGACAGCCCCAACTTCACCGAGGAGCTCTACTCTACATCATGGAGTTCCTGGCCACAGTCGAGCTTAGCATTGGCATTTGTGCTCACAATCAGTGCAGTGATTCTGTTTTTGGTTTTCTGGATGAATAAGGTGGGACGACAAGTAAAGGAACTCACAGAGAAGATGGAGCACCTCAACACTACAGTGGTCCCAAGGTTGGTTCAGAGCGATGTGGATGACTGCATAGAGTCTCGAGATGGACTTCAAGATCTACGTGGACACGTGGATAGGATGCAAGCAACAAATGGTGAGGCATTCAGGACAATGAGCGAGAGGATCACCAAGACTCACAACTTGGCCTCGCAACTCTGGCTTGGATTGGTGCGCTTGGGTGGCTGTGTTGGAGAAACAGGAGAACCTCTCAGTGAGGAGGAGCTTCGATCCCTGACCTTCCAGAATCGAGAAAATGCAGATGATGATGATCATGTAAGGATGCGTGATGGAGGAAGCAGAAGGTCGAGATCAACCAGCTGCCATGACACACCACCCAGAAGGGGAAGTCCCGAGTCAGCAGAGGAGGAGATCCCTGTGTTTGACTCACCAACTGAATATGGTCCACCTGCAGATGTTCCCGAACCAGAACCTCATACTGTTCTGTCGGAAGAAGATGCAGATCGAATGGAGAAGCTTAAAGAGAAGAAAGAGCGCAATTGGTGGGAGACGAAGATGAAGCAGCAAATCTAAGAGTACAAATTGCCAACGTAGAAAACCTACAGATGGCACTTCCGCGACCTAGAAGGCAGGCTAGGATTTTCACTTTTTGGCCATGCATGTTTCAACATGGATCCATGAGCTACAATGGCTCATAGACCTAAGGAGGAGTGAGAAACATCAAACGTATGACTCACAGCATGGCCCATGTGCAAGGATGACTGGACAAATCACGAAGTGTAACATTCATGCAAAGCATGTTGGATTGCTGCAGACCGCAGCCCCTTTGGCAAAAAGCACGGCAGCTTCGCATATACACAAAGATACATAGATACATATAGATACACAGATACACAGATACATAGATACACAGATACATGGACACATAGATGCATACATACATAGACGCATAGATGCATAGATACATAGAGAGATAGAGACATAGATAGATAGGTAGATAGATAGATAGGTAGGTAGGTAGATAGGTAGATAGGTAGATAGGTAGATAGGTAGATAGGTAGATAGGTAGATAGGTAGATAGGTAGATAGGTAGATGGGTAGATAGGTAGATAGGTAGGTAGGTAGATAGGTAGATAGGTAGATAGGTAGATAGGTGGATAGGTGGATAGGTGGATAGGTGGATAGGTGGAAAGGTGGATAGGTAGATAGGTAGATAGGTAGATAGGTAGATAGGTAGATAGGTAGATAGGTAGATAGGTAGATAGGTAGATAGGTAGATAGGTAGATAGGTAGATAGGTAGATAGGTAGATAGGTAGATAGGTAGATAGGTAGATAGGTAGATACGTAGATAGGTAGATAGGTAGATAGGTAGATAGGTAGATAGATAGATAGATAGGTAGATAGGTAGATAGGTAGATAGGTAGATAGGTAGATAGGTAGATAGGTAGATAGGTCGAAGGTAGATACAACATTACCATACATACATACATGCGTTTTTCGAATGTTGTCAAATCTCAGAACCTCATACTGTTCGGGATGAAGAACCGCATGGGAGAGAACCACAATCCCCAGATGCAATCATAGCGAGTTCGCAAGAAGATGCAGATCGAATGGAGAAGCTTGTGAAGGAACTGAGAGAAAGAGAAGAAAGAGCGCAATTGGTGGGAGACGAAAATGAAGCAGCAAATCTGAGAGTACAAATTGCCAACGTAGAAAACCTACAGATGGCACTTCCGCGACCTAGCAATGCAGGCTAGGATTTTCACTTTTTGGCCATGCATGTTTCAACATGGATCGATGAGCTACAATGGCTCATAGACCTAAGGAGGAGTGAGAAACATCAAACGTATGACTCACAGCATGGCCCATGTGCAAGGATGACTGGACAAATCACGAAGTGTAACATTCATGCAAAGCATGTTGGATTGCTGCAGACCGCAGCCCCTTTGGCAAAAAGCACGGCAGCTTCGCATATACACAAAGATACATAGATACATAGATACACAGATACACAGATACATAGATACACAGATACATGGACACATAGATGCATACATACATAGACGCATAGATGCATAGATACATAGAGAGATAGAGACATAGATAGATAGGTAGATAGATAGATAGGTAGGTAGGTAGATAGGTAGATAGGTAGATAGGTAGATAGGTAGATAGGTAGATAGGTAGATAGGTAGATAGGTGGATAGGTGGATAGGTGGATAGGTGGATAGGTGGATGGGTGGATGGGTGGATAGGTAGATAGGTAGATAGGTAGATAGGTAGATAGGTAGATAGGTAGATAGGTAGATAGGTAGATAGGTAGATAGGTAGATAGGTAGATAGGTAGATAGGTAGATACATACATACATACATACATGCGTTTTTCGAATGTTGTCAAATCTCAGAACCTCATACTGTTCGGGATGAAGAACCGCATGGGAGAGAACCACAATCCCCAGATGCAATCATAGCGAGTTCGCAAGAAGGTGCAGATCGAATGGAGAAGCTTGTGAAGGAACTGAGAGAAAGAGAAGAAAGAGCGCAATTGGTGGGAGACGAAGATGAAGCAGCAAATCTGAGAGTACAAATTGCCAACGTAGAAAACCTACAGATGGCACTTCCGCGACCTAGCAATGCAGGCTAGGATTTTCACTTTTTGGCCATGCATGTTTCAACATGGATCGATGAGCTACAATGGCTCATAGACCTAAGGAGGAGTGAGAAACATCAAACGTATGACTCACAGCATGGCCCATGTGCAAGGATGACTGGACAAATCACGAAGTGTAACATTCATGCAAAACATGTTGGATTGCTGCAGACCGCAGCCCCTTTGGCAAAAAGCACGGCAGCTTCGCATATACACAAAGATACATAGATACATAGATACAAAGATACATAGGTACACAGATACATAGATACATAGATACATACATACATGGACACATAGATGCATAGATACATAGAGAGATAGAGACATAGATAGATAGGTAGATAGATAGATATATAGGTAGGTAGGTAGATAGGTCGATAGGTAGATAGGTAGATAGGTAGATAGGTAGATAGGTAGATAGGTAGATAGGTAAATAGGTAGATAGGTAGGTAGCTAGATACATACATACGTACATGCATACATACATACATACATACATACATGCATGCGTTTTTCGAATGTTGTCAAATCTCAGGGCATCACTTTTTGGGCCTGGAGTAAAAAAAAACATTTGGGGTTTCAATTTGCGTGCGCGTTTTGGCATTTTGAATTGATGTTTGGCCTCGTCCTTGCAGCATTTTCCAGTTGATTTCATCCGCGCAGAAAGTGTTGCCCACCCTCTGCTGTTGTGCGAAACCCAGGCAGTTCCGCATCGTGCCATTTCTCCCATTACGGGTCAATCAGGAAACTCCGAAACAAATTGGCGCCAAAAAAAATTGGGGTCTTTGAGCAACTCATCATTGGTAACAGTTGAATTATTTCAGTATCCAACACGGGAACATGGCCATGCTTGCAAAATTTGATATGTATCATTTGTCTGGCGGAAACAAACACTTGTACTTCGTTAATCCAATGAACACGTGAATGGTGGAATTGGTGGAATTGGTGGAATTGGTGGAATTATCCTTTTTGAATCATTTTCGATTTGAAGAACTCGGAAACATACTCTGGTTGGGGAAGGTTGACCATGGGATCCTGGCGCCGGTGAAAATCTTGGTAATGGGTACTACCGGTGTCTGGAAACACGATTTCCACAGGGGCAAAATGGGTACATCGATTTGGTGGAAATCAAAACAGATATGGTGTCAATGGACAATTCCTTATTTGGATAAAACTTGTACTGTAGATGAATTATTCTTTGAATTTTTGGATTTTCGATTGACAACCAGCTTCAATTACAAGAGAACACAACATTGGTGGTTCAACCACCAGAGAATTAGAGCAACACTTGTTTTAGGATGTTTTAAACGTTTTTTTTAAAATAACTGCATCAACTTTATGCTAAATCATTGTGTTTTCCAATGTCCCGAAATTTGTGCCAGTTGATTTTCATGTTTCCCATGAATCTGGATGAATCATAATGACCTACGGTCGCAATCTCATTGGAAATGAAGGTTGGGATTGGGGTAACTATCCCAGCATGGCCAAAATTTTCGAATTGGGTGAATCATCGTAAAAACCGTATTATTTCATAAACGACATCAACTATAGACATCTCGTGAAATTATATGATACCCTAAAAAAATGTTCTTTTCGCCATGGGAAACAAAAAAAAAACGGCACGATCTCAGTGCTGAGATTATGGGCGTCCACGGCGTCCACGATCTCCGAAGTGCGACTGGTCGTTGGCTGCACTGGACACAGGCTTGGTGGATTGTTTTTTTCATGGGATGTAAACATAGCATTTAATGAATTTAATGGCATATTAATTGTATTTTCCAGTGATTTTATGGGATATTACTGGGATAAATGGATGTTTAATGGGATTTACTATGATTTCTGCCCTCTGGTAAACGTTTACATAGCTATAGAAAATCACAATTTTTATTATCTAAATCAACGAACTAAATTTTAAATGGCCATTTTCAATAGCAAACTGTTAAATTTCCAGAGGGTAACCAACTATGCTTACCGGTGCTGGGCGCCAGGCTGCCGTGAGGGATGATACCGATCTTCCAAAGGAAGCGTTGACTCGGAAGGGAGGGCTGTTGCGATCGAAATAATGGGACTCAAATAATTGCAGATTTTTCATACTTCAAGGTCTGAACATGGGGGTATTATATATATATACTGTATACACATAAAATTGAGCCAAACCCGGGTGCCCGCATATGTGTACACATTTGACAAACCTGGAGTAGATATTCTATTTACATCTATTTACAATGGACCAATTTCATTTTCTACATCTGCTCCCGAGTATACATGCTCGAGGATGGATTCGTTCCTTTGTTTCACCAGTGGTTATGTTGTGGTTAAGCCAAACTTGCAGGACATGGGCTGAAGGCAACCCTTCTATGGTTTGAACAATTTTATACCCAATTGTCCCTCTGTCCTGTTTTTTCAGGGAAAAATGATGATAAACCGATCAGAAAAATCTAGTTACGTGTTTTTGGCTGGTTTGCATGGTTAGACCATGTTAGACCCAAACTTTTGCAGGCCAAATTCCTCATTTTCTGGATTTTCTCCGTGGTGATCCGTCTTTTTCGGATGGCAGGAGCTTCCAACGAATTTCCATCTGGAGGGGCCTATCCTGTACTCCAGAGTAGGATCAAACGAGGCTGGAACGTGAAACATGAGAATGGTGGGTTATAAGTTCTAGTTTTTTTTTTTTTAAATAGATTATCTGAGCAAGAAAACGTCCGGGTTCTCAAGAATCTTGCATCAAATAATTTCTATTTTGATGGTGGTTTACTTTTTTCATACGTTCTGGCATCCCCAAATCGGGCCGGCACCTGTGCGCTTTTACATTCTTCCATACCTGGGTTTTCACTGGCCATGCTTGACACTTGAGTCACTTGAGGTCAGAATTGTACGATGGTTATATCCACAAATATAACCAAAAAATTGCTCCCAAGTAGATCCCATCTCAAAAAATTCTATGATCATTCATATCATTACCATATCTCTATATTCTATGATCATTCATATCATTACCATATCTCTATATTCTATGATCATTCATATCATTACCATATCTCTATATTCTATGATCATTCATATCATTACCATAAAGATATCCCATGAATTCAATGGGAGATCGGTTTTTAACAGATTGGAGGATTGGAAGTCCCATAATGTCCCATTTTAGCTTTGCCATACTTTTGGCCATCTGAATTGTGGGGATATTCCCTAAACCCTCTGGTAATTTGTTACATAGCGAACTGGAAAGATCCACCATTTTTAATGGGAAAATCCACTATAAATGGCCATTTTCAATAGCTATGTTAAATTACCAGAGGGTAATCATTTGCCTAAATGATGAATATTCCCATTTTTTTCGGCACCATTTTCGGCACAGACATCGTTTTTTTTGTCGCATCGTCGGGGCTCCGTTGTGTGTTTGAGGTGAAGTCGGGTTTTTTTGGCACAGGCGAAGGGGCCAGGGCGGGGGGAATGGTGACGTAAAAGAAAGACATGGCGAAAGGATATTTGATCCTGATTTTCCATGGGATATTAATAGGAAAAATGGAGGTTTAATGGATAGTAATGGGATATTTAATGGGATATTATAGTGACTGAATGGGATTTTATGGTGATTTAATGGGATTTAATGGAGGTTTCATGGGATATTATTGTGATTTACCCTGGGGTAATCAAAGGTGGCAATTGAACATCCACGCCATGTTTGACTCCTGGGTGGTAGAAAACTGGTACGATCCCATGCCACCCACATGTCAAGCCTCACCTCTTGGCCTCCCAAAATGACTAGATCCAACACTCAACGGATGGGGTTTTAAGGAATATCTAATATAAAAGCGGGAAACGATTTTGACATTTTCCCAGCATTTTGGCTTTGATCTGGCATAACCAGAGATGAAACCTGATTTTTCAAGGTGGGAATGTCTTGGATCATTCAGTCCCCGGGGTCCCCTTTTTTGGGTCCCCTTAAAATGGGTTTAGGGGATTCACATATGAAAAAACAATCATTTATATTCACTAATATCCATTTACAATCATTTACAATTGTTACTTTCTAAGTTTTCCCATCTTTAAATTTATTGAACGTCCAGCTTTACAGGTGGATGCTTCTTGCTGATGGGTGGCAAATGGAACGCCGGGCACCTGGTGGTGTTCATGGTCAGATGTGTAACTAAAGATGTCTTTTCCTCTTTGAACTTATGTTAGGTTAGATTATATAGTATAATATAATATAATATAATATTATATTATTTACGGAATTGCCAGGTGACCTGACTGGAAGATACTGGAAGTACATTTTCGAATTGTAAAACCTCCTGCGTTGGGCTCAAGTTCGATGTTTTTTTTTATTCGCAACTCATCACCTAACAACGGTGTGTTGGACACAAGCAACTCATGACATTCAGCAACCAGGATCTATTGAATTTGCTCCCATGATGCAGTTGTGCTCCACCAATCATAGTTTGCTGTAGAAAATCACCATTTTTAATAGGTAAAGCATCTATAGAGTGGCAATTTTCCATAGCAATCTGTTAAATCGCCAGCGGGTTAGATTAGTAGATTGAGGCCATCAACCGTATCTCGAGGGTAAACGCTTGGGGCACAGGTCAAATGGTTCTCCAAATTGGATGTGTAGTACACAAAATGATGTTGGGCCAAGCTGTGTGGGTTGGTATCTCAGGCATCGGCACTGTTACGATTCCTCTTCGTACCACATTTTGGGTTAAACTTAGATGGTTAAACCATGTCAGACCCAAGTGGATGATTTTTCGATCCTGAAAACAGATCGGCAAATATCAACAAGTCACGTGTTTCTTTCCTCTCTTTGGTCACCCAACAACAGTTTCCTTACCGCATTTGGTCCCAAACTCATGCCTTCCAAGTTCTCGTCGTCTAAGGTGGTGGACGATTTCATGGACCTGACGCACTACACCGTTTCGGTCATGGAGTGCATGGTGTCCCTGTCTGCAGGCGGGTCCTGAGTTTGTTTGTTGCACTGGGAGTTTCCGACGTACTAAAATCATCTGGGAAAAAAGTTCCATTTCTTATATAACATATTCAGTTCTTCACAGGAATATATTGGATATGATGTTTTTCAAAATCAAAACTCAAATATCAAATCTTGCATCTTTGAATCATATCCATTTCTTATGTATATATATATTGGATATACATATCCTTCATATCATCAAATAAGAGTTCTCGCAGCAACTGCGAACTCGTGGCCTCAGTTGTTGGGATCCAACTGATCCAAGAAAAAGAGGTGTCTCGAAATCTTCCCCATCTTCGGACGCCAGATCGTCCTGATAAAAAATAGTGGTTTTATATCAATTTATATGGCTATGGAATGGTGATAAAAGTGGATTTTTTTTTAAAAAAATCTATCCGAAAAAACATTTGGGATGGAAAAATGGATTCTAAGAAAGACCAGCCCTTTTTTTTGGCTGATCGGTACATCTATTTTTTTAGTCCCCATGATACCGATGGTTTGTCTGAACATCTTGGGACCTCCAAGTCCTGTGGTTTTATCATCATTCTCTGCATTCATAGATGGCAAGTTGTAGGTAAATCCCCCTGAAACAGACATATCCAAATATCATGTCCCAATTACATCCTCTTATACCACCCCAAATTCCACCGCTTTGGCTTGAATAGATCTATTTGTTAGTTAAACATTCATTTTTTTACCACCACAAACTCCTCCAAAAAAGAGTCTTTGGTCAGTTCAATCCCCATTTTTCACCGGTGAATTTCCCTTGTTTTCTTGGGTTCAATCTTCGTGGTTTTCCATATTTGAGCTGTGAATTTCCATCTTTTTCCGTCAAATCCCCAGAGACTTTCGGATCTGTTGCAGGGCAGGACACTGTGCTACGGCTCTATCTGCGCAATGCAGAGGAGGTGGAGAAGTGGTCGGAACTCATTAAGGCGATCGCTGGTTGATGGATTTTCAAGGGACGGCTTGGTGTTTAAAGCCTTTGAAACAAGGGCCCCTGTGGTGTTTAGAGGGTACGAATTGTATTCGTTATATCGCTTTGACAAACTTCTGCTCTGCGCAAAAAGGGGTGAGAAGGCAGCTGAATATGTTCATATATATAATATAGTAATAATAATGATAATGATAATAATGATAATGTTAATAATAATAATTCATTACTATGTTTTTTATTACTATTATCATTATTACTATCATCATTATTATTACTATTGTCATTATTACTATTATTATTGTTATTATATATATCTACATAGCCTTGAAGCGTTGATGGTTGACCATCTAGCTATCCATACAAAATGGACCTGACAACGTCCCATCATGTTGTCATGACCTTTTCCTTTTTATCTATGAATAATATATATATATACTCTATGAAGATATCTGGGGAATATCTATGACATCTATGACATATATGACTGGGGGTTAAAAAAATCTATGAATATCTATAGAATGCAGAAGGTTTAGGCTTTATAATCATTTGTACTATACCAGTCTATGCCCTCATCATTTGATGCTTGATCATCAAGTTTCGTGAATCTTTGGGCCTTTGGGTTCTAGGGCTTGAAAAATCATCAATTGATCTCTGTAATATGTTGAATTCTCAGTCAAGATTTAGCACCCAAGGATCCATCATTTTTCAGTCACTTTCCCCGAGGTACCCAGCTTTTTTTCCAAGTTATTGGTGGCCCAAATAGTACATCCCTGCTCTGATGTGCATCCCCGGCAGTTGAGATATTCTACTCATCTACTGTAAATGGAGTATTTCATATGATTACCCTCTGCTAATTGAACCGGTTGCTATGGAAAACATCACATCTACAGTAGTTGCACGATTTAGCTATCAAACATGCTGATTGTCCAGGCCATGTAGACGTTTATGCAGACGGGTCTTTTACCGTCCCACTTTTGTGTGGGGTTGGGGGCGGGGTGGGGGAGAAACGTTCATGTACTTGTTCATACATTACTGACTTCACACAACCGCCACATCTCTTGCAGTGCCTTGAGAAAGATCATGGCTTGAGACGATGCGCAGCAAAAGTGCATCGGCCAGCAAAAATGCTGTAAGGGTTCACGACCCCAAGAAAAAACATAAACATATACAATGCATAAAAATCACGACCAAAATCAACATTCGCTATGACCAAAATAACATTTTCCATAGTGATTTATAGTGGATTAATAGTGCATTTACCCAGCTACAAAATGGTGGATCTTTCTATAGTTAAACGTTAGTTTACCAGAGGGTAACCATCACTAACCATCATTAACCATCACTAACCATCATTAACCACCATTAACCCACCATTAACTCACCATTAACTCACCATTAACCCATCGTTTTTTCATCGTTTTTTGTATGTTTACCGACGATTCGATGATTCCGACGCTGCTCCGGCCCAGTCCTCCAGCTATTTGCGTGTCTCCGACGAGTGACCCGAGGATGGGATCCCCTTGGAGAAACAAGGATTTTTTCACGAAGGTGAAACCGTTGTTGAATGGATTTTTTGGCCATACGTGGGATGTATAATATATATATACATAATGATATTATATAATGATATATATATATATATTTATTGTATGTATGGAAATATGTATATATATGCACTTCTAAGTTCGATGGTGAAATGCATGTTCCTTGCCGCTCAAGACAAATGCATGTAGAATTAGCTGATAGGGTTTGGAAGTGGCTGGCCTTCGCTAACGAGTTCTCCCGTTTTGCTTCTTGCCCTTTTCACTGTCATCCCTCCTGCATTGCCTGGTTGGTCTTTGGACTTTGCTTCGGATTTTCCATTGGTTTGGTTGTTTCCGGACTTTTGCTTGCCCTTTGGATTTTCCGCGTTCCCCTTTGCCATTTCCTGTTTCCAGCTCCTGCTGCTCCAAGAAACAGGCTGGCACAATATCTTGAATGAGCTTCCCCTTTATCTCCAGTGAGCTTCGTGATCTCATTGAAAGGCTTGAAAGATTGGAAGATTGGCAGAAGAAGGAGGAATCCTCCAGCTCGTCTCAAGGGGCAGGAAAAGGATATCGTAGAGGTGATCCAAAGGCCCGTGCTGCAGCTGCGGGTACTTCCATTCCTAAAGCTTCCTTCCCGGGCATTCCTCAGATCGCCCGTCTGTGGACTTTGGAAAAGGAAGCAGGACCAGAATTTGTTGGCCCAGAATTCCGAACTCTTGATCAGGGTCCAGGACCTGTCCCGGCAATTGTGGAAGAGCAGGCGGCCTTTGTTGCCTGGGATCAGACCGAAGCCTTGAATCGTGTCCACCTTGCGTTTTCAGCAGGCTTTTGGGCCAGACTTGCATTGGAGACTTTCACAGACCAAATTGCCCCTGCGGTGATTTCAGAGAAAAGTTCTCACTTCATTGTTCTCCGTGCTTGCGGGCTCGGCGGTGTTGTTCGATTTGATTCTGAGGCTGATTTCAATCATTTCCGTCAACAGGTCTTTGCTGGAGGGTGTGTATTTCACGGCTTTGAAACGGAGACGGAACTGGAAGTCTTTTGCCAAGGAGCACACATATCGCAGTTCCCCCGCTCTTCCGCCGTACAAAATGCTGAGGAAGGAGAATGTGAGGCCTGCAAGTAAAGGTGAACCTACCTTGCTTGTGCTTACTGTACCTGCTGTTGCCTCTTCAGTAGGGATGAAGTAGACGTGTATGCACTGCCTCTGGAATTTAGACAGGGAGGTTTACTTTTAGCCCTCCCACATGACAGCCTTTCCGCACAGACCCTCTCAGATGGTCAAACAGGATCTGATGAGCATCCGTTTGGTCCGAATTCAATTTTTTCTGCAGAGCTTCTAGAAGAAGCAGATGATGTTCCGACGCCAGTTGCCGTGCCTCTCGGAATTGAGGCTCAGGTGCTTGTAGTTGATGTACCTGATGACATTTTGTCGAAATGTAGAGAGTATGATCCAGTCACAGACTCCCTTGCAACGATCCTTGGTTTTTCAAATGAACATCCTTCCAGTTTGCCTGATGTATCAGTGCTTTTGGCCCATGTCAGTGAGTGGCTCCTTTTGAGATCTGATGACAGGACGGGTTTTTACTCCGCCCAAGAAGATCAGGAAACAAGCCCTCCAAAAGCTGTTACAGCCCCCAAGAAAGCCACGGCCAAGAAAATATCGAATGCTATGATAGCCGATCAGTTGACGGCAGTGGTTGCCCAACTCCAGCTGATCACTCAACGTCAGGATCGCTTGGAACAAATGGCAAGCTCTTCCGCCGCCGATGTGCCAGGACAGTATGTTGGGCCGGTTTCCAAATTGCCGGCTGTGTCAGCGGGCTTGCCAAATCCCAGTGGCGTATCACAGACTACTGGAGCAAAAGCACTGAGCCTAATAGGACCTCCTCCCAAGACGCGGAATGTGGTTGGGACCCAAAATGCGGCTGCTGTCGAAGGAGACGAGCCATACGATGCATTGCAGCCCCAAGAAGGTACAGATGGAATGCTTGTTGCGCTGACCAATCAGAGCACAGCGCTGACAGCCTTGGTGGCTCACCTGACAGCACAGTCAGGAGATGTCTTAGGAGATCTTACTACACCAGGGCAGGTTGGGAGTTCAACCAAAGGCGTTCAACGCAGGGAGAAAATGCAGAACGATCTAGCATGTGGAAATAGCCAGTATTTCTTGCAGATGATGCAGCAGTTGCATCGCAGACTTCATCCCTCCAAGCCTGTTCCCCAAACAGAGGAAAACCTGAAATCCTTGTCTGTGTTGCAATACCTTGAAAGACAAGGAGGTTACAAGAACAATCGGGAACTAGGCCTAGTTGCTTGGGTATTAGGTCATGCAATAGATGCTGCATCAGCAGGAGATTTTCATATGACAAAGGAACTGCTCGCCTTGCTGATGGTTTCAGTCGAGCAGGCCGTAACCGACAGAGGAGACTGGACACTGGCCTTCATGCTTACCCTGATGGAAGAACCGCCGATCCAGGTTTTCCAAGATAGGACTGCCAGCATAGCTCACCATGCAAGGCCTTTTGGCCCCCTAGTTCCACCGCCGTGGACAGCAGTTTGCCTGGCTTATCTAAAAGATATGGAAGTCCTTTCTACGAAGAAGGGAGAAACAGCAAAACGCATTGCAAAGGCGCCCTCTCAAACCGAAGGCAGCCCAAGCGCAGCAGCTGTCGAACCAGATCGTGAAGCATCCCCAAAAAGGAAGCCGAGGTATCCTCACAAGCCAAAAGCAAAGGCCGCCCCAGAGGCCTGAGAGATGAGAAGCCTACGCAGAAGTTCATAGGGTGCAAAGTTGCCTTTGGACAAACAGCTTAACTAATTAATGACTTGAGTTAACCATAAAACTTTTGACTCTGTTTGCATGAAATGTAGGTCATGTCCTTGCCGATGCCTATCCGAGGTTGACCTCCTTTGAAGTGCACGCCCTGAAGTGTACAGGAATTCATAGGAGCCCTGTGAACACCATGTCCTTTACTAATTGGTGCTCATTTTTGGCCTTTTCAGTATTGAGGACTCGCTCCTCTTTCTAGCGTTCCATCATGCCACTTTGCATCTGCAACGAAGCACTATGACTTCGTCATCGCCGGCATTCCCTTGCCTGTCCCCTTTGTGGAGTGTTCGCAAGGATGCCTCCAGGTCTTTCCTCTTCCAAAAGGGGGATCGTTGCTATCATTGACGAGCTTTGCACGTTGTGGTGATGGCCCTTGACTATTGGTAGAGTGGAAGCTGTTCTATCCATTTAGAGCATCTGGAGAGGGCAACATCAGCAAGCCTTTTGCGAATTCTTCGCAGGCTTACTGGCCTCTTGCTGGCTGACGGCCCTACTGAGCCTTTAGGTTTTGCGCAGTGGTCGACGTTTTCACCAACAGATAGCCCGACTTTCGAGCTGTCTGGAATTTTGACAAATTAGGCGCTGGAGCAGGTTCCTATGGGAAGACTTACCCAGGTCATGATGTGCCTCGTGACAACAGCTTGTTGATCAAACCGAGCCTTACAGTACGCTTGATGCTAGCCTTTTGAAGGTGGGTAGTCGTGGCCTTTTTGACGCTATTAGTTTCCTTTGCACTGAATTTTGCATGGCCTATAGGTATCCTGACTCCTTGCAGCTTGACCGAACTCCTAGTGCCTCCGAATATCCTTGTGGATGGATCCGCGAGATGAGGTCTCTCCGCTGGCAAAGCTATGGGATGCACGAGGGTCACTACATATACATGAAACTGACTTTTGGAGGGAAAAGTGCTTTGAGCTTGCCCTGGTTTTCAACTACTTTAAGAACCTAGAGTGCGACAGACAGATTGGCGATAGAAGAGGCCGCAATTCTGTAGAAGGTAGGGTGTCTGGACCTTCCAAAGCCTGCCTTCAGGCCCAGACTTTCTAGGCCTGTTCGTAAATGCACGTGAAGAGACACTCTCCATATCCTATACAAATTGATGCGACCTCTACCATCAGTTTTGGTGCACTCCGATTAGGATCAGATAGAACATGGTTGGACCTGGGATTCCCTTTGGCTTCATGAAGACACCTAAGCTTGACCTCTTTTGAATGTGCCAAGCCAGCTGCTAAAAAGAGCCGTATTGTTGGAGGGGACCGCCCTGGTCCTTTCCTGCAGACAGTCATTCCCCGCTTGCCTGTAGTTTTCTGTAAGGTGGGCTTGGTAGTCTAAATCAGGGAGACCATGCCGGTTTTGAAATTGCAACCAGAGCACATGAGCAGCTTTTGCAGTCAGTAGGCTTCCGAACTGAAACCTCCAGAGTTTTGTATTACCGTCCTCTCCATGGTGACGTGTTTGCAAAGGACTAGTGTTTGATGCCTATTTTGTGGTGCAAAGTGCCTCGAAGTATGTGGTTGCAGACCCTCCCCTTCCATGCCTTGCACTTCCAAAGAAGGGTTACGTGAAGCATAAGATATTGGCTTAGATGACAAGAAATTATGGATCCAGAAAGGCCAAGGTTATTGATGCCAGCGTCAATGCCTCAGAAAATGTCAGAAATAGGACATGTGTGGTAGCAGCATCTCGTAAAGAGATATGCTCTTTTTTGGATTTTATTTCAGGTAAGCCAATGGATTCATACGACAGACGCTTTACAGCTTTGTTGATTGGGTTTTGGACGCATGCGCTGATGCTTAGGCGACCTTTCATTTTGTCCTGCAGTCTTCTTTCCAGTTTGTGTGATGGCCTTCATTAGTGCCTCGAGCCCAAAGTTAGTGAGCTTTCCTCGAAGTGTTGCAACAATGCGGAGCCTATTAGGCGGCTTGGCGCCTTTATGCGTTGCCGATGTTGCGGTTTACTCCTGCACAGAGCTGTTTGCGACGGATGTATCACTGAATAAAGGGGCAACTGTCAAGAGTTGTATTGACAAGAGCTTGGCCACCTGCTTGTGGCGTTGCTGCAGATCCAAGTGTGGCTACTCCAAACTGCTGCCACCTTCCCAATCAGTTTGGCTTTTGCTGGTGCTTCAGTTTTAACCCAAGAGGTGCATACGAGGACATGGATCAAGCTGGCCCACAAAGCGCTTCAACTCTTGCATTTTCGCGTGAAGCATGGAGTGACTGTAATGTTTGAGAACCTATGGTTCTAAAAAATCAAGTTTCTCCCTGCATGATGATCGCTGCAAAGTTGTGAACATGTTGTTTTGGTAAGATGCAACTCCTGTGCTTACGGGTCAGTTCACATCAGATCGTTGTAAATATTCTGGTGTGTTTAGGCCGTAGTGCAGCACATTCCCTTAAGATGTGCAGGAGATAATGAACATGGTCTGGTCCAAGGTAAATTTACAAAGCCTCAGCAACCTATGTCCATGATCCTGCAGTGCTCTAGCTGAGGTGGTGGCCTATGGGATCTTGCGTCTGTCGACTTTAGAAGAAAGCCGTGCACATGGCTCAGTGGATGTTTTGGAAAGCCTGATGGTGCGATTTTTGCTTTTCTCAGAAGTGGGGGCTGATGTCTGTTTGGACTTACCGAGTTAGCTCTCATATAAACATTCTGGAAATTGGGGCTGTGCTAAGGCTAATGCATAAGTTCGTAAGACGTAGGGTTTCTCTCCGATTAGTAATCCCTTTTTGACCCGTATGTTGTGAGATGTGCAGCCTCGAAGGGTAGATCTTTATCGAAGGCCCTGTCTCGGGCTCTATTTAGGCTTGCGGCCTTCTGTGTCTTTGGTGGACGGCATCTCGTTTTTGGGTTCTGCTCCTATTTGGCTGAACCCTTTCGATGATCCTACAAAGGATGTGGCTTTGAGGGACCCAACTCCTGGCTTGGACTAGCCGCCTGGGGTCGCAGGGACCTCTATCGTCTAGCTGCGTCGCTTTCTTTAAGGAGATGGGCCTCGAATTGGACTCGGTTCATCCTTCTCATGTGGGGTCCGTCTGCCTTCCATCTCACTGACCTTCCCTTGATTCCTTTTGGGCTTTCCCTTTCGGTGTGGCCTCTGTCTCGCCTCCTCTCTCTGTGCTTCGCTTTCTCTCTTTGGATTTTGCCGCCGCCTTGGGTTTTCCCGGTGAAGGTCCTCTCTGCCTTGTTAGCAGGGTCAGCTACTTTAGTTGGATTTTGGTAGTTTTAGCTTGTAGTGTAGGATCGAGCCATGGCGTCATTGCACCCCGGGATGCTGGTGACTTCCAACGACAAGGCCAGCGCGACCTGAGGTCTCTTTTGCAGGATGGAAGACCTGTATTTGGAGTCACCATTAAGCAGCGAGACACGTTGATTTCTCAATTTGAGAATGGCTCCTGGACTTGGGTATATCGCTGGAAACTTTGCTGGAGCATCACCATGTGTCCATTGACAAGCTGAGCAAACAGCTGGTTTGTTACGGGCGTGTATTTTACTCTGCTGGAAGACCCTACGATCATTACGCTGAAGCTATTAATTCCATAGCCTCGAAATAGCCTGCTATGAAAAGTCAACTGCTAAAGGCCTGGAACCGTGCTTTTGCTGGATAAGGACGAGCTCACGGCCTACCATTTAGCAATGCCTTGGCAGGTTTTACTTTCTGCTATATTCCTATGTTTGGCTTGGGGGTGGACTGATATGGCTGGTATGTTTATCCTATGTTGGGGAGCATTACCGTGAATTGGAGCATTTTTGCAGGCGACGAGAAGGACCTTCTATTGCCTTGTGATACCAGCTTCATAAACAGTTTTGCTCTTTTGCCTCAGAGGAACCAAAAAACCAGGTTCGCTGCGGCCAGACATCAATGTGCGAACTGGGACATCCTTGACCGTTTAAGGGTAGTCCTTTTGGCATTTCAAGCTATAGCAGAAGTTCGGTCAAACCCTGCAACTACGCTTCAAAAAATTTATGAGCGAGCTTGGATTGGGTTCCGTGAAGTTTAACCTTGATACTCTGGATTTAGGCCGCTTTCGCCCTGGTGGAGCAACATAGATATGTTACAGAAAATTCAGAGTTTTTGCGGAGAAGAGGATTTTGGACAATGGAGATTTATTTCCAGGAGTGGTCATCGTTTCTTATTTTCTCTGCTATCCCTGAATTAGCACGGTACAAAGTCTATACCTTGTGCGATTTCTTCTTTACAGCTCTGGTTAAATCTGAAGAATTCTGGATGGCACGATTTCGGATAATCTATGGTTTTGCTTTGGTTTGGACAAGTTACAAGGAACTGAAGGGAGAAATGGGTCAACTTCAGCGACGCTTGTGAGAACCGTCTTTGCTGAAGTCTGTGCATAACAACTCACGCAGTGCATAGCTGGCATGGAAAAAAGTCAGTGCAACCGGAGATCTTATATATGTATACATGTATGTATGATATGTATATACAATGTGTTCATTATATATGTCATTATATATATACTTATTGATTATAAATGTAATTGTATACATATATATATATGTATAAATATGTTGAATAGATGCAGAAAAACATCTATGTTCGCCAGCCACTTGGACGATGTTCCGAACTGGGACCCATAGCCCCAAACATTACTCGGATGTGTTGGGGATATGGTCTATGTCCATGTATATGTCATAAAATGTACTGTATATACAAAAACCTCCAAAAAGATAGGAAAGCAAAATCGTATTGAATAAATAGTGAAAACGTATTTATTCAACATATTTATACATATATATATATATATATATACATACATATACATATACATACATATAAATCTGCATATGCATATACATATACATTGTTACATATTACATATACATATACATATACAGATATAGATATAGATACACGTACAAATATACATATACATATACATATACAGATACGTACACATACACATACACACACATACACACACATACATACACATACATACACATATATACACATACATACACATACATTCATTCATTCATTTATTCATTCATTCAAGTCCTTAAGTCCATTCATCCATTCATCCATCCATTCATTCATTCATGTATGTATATATATATATTTAATGTAGAAATATGCCCTATTTTTATAACAATCACCAATAGCTAACGTCCAAACGTGTTCCTGTCTCCTTGGGAAAGCGTCCGGTTGAACTGCTGGGTCCTGCAGGTACGTTGCGAACTTGAAAAACCACGTCCAAAAGCAGTGCAAGGTGGGCGGTTGAACACCAAAATGGGCTGGCGACATGGTGATTTCACTCCCCCAAAATGGGGATTTCACCAACAAAAATGGGGATTTAACAAGCAGAGATGGGGCGGTTAACTCAACTGGGGTCCCTGATAGAAATGGCCAAGACTTGGGACGATTTTCCAATGGTTCCCCCATTTGAAGAAAACACAAAACAAAGTTGAGTCATGACACTGTATGCTCGGTTTGATCGAATCCCGATTCGAATCTTCTTATGAAACCAAAGTCAACTCCTAAATCCAGGAATTTAGGTGGGTGGTGTTACATGTTTCCAAACGCGTGTTTCCAAAATTAGTATTTGATAGGTCCTGCATGGTAGGATCCCTCGAGCTGCCCTAGATGTACGTAAATATGCGCCATGACCCAGTATAGCAGGTACGATAATATACCACGTATGGCTATAAGTCACATACCATCATATATAATAGTACTGTATATATATATACTATATATATATATACTACATATATACTATATATATGTAGTATATATATATAGTATATATACTATATATATACTACATATTTAATATAGTATATACTTATGCACATCATACCTATGCACGCATGTATATACATGTATTTATGTAAGTCCCATTATGTATGTATATATATATTACATTATGTAACGTTATATTATCTTGTATTATATTATCTTTTATTCTACTATACTATATTATAATATATTATATTATATTATATTATATTACATTTATATTACATTTATATTGTATTTATATTATATTTATACTATATTTATATTATATGTATATCATATTTATATTATACTTTTATTATATTTATATATTATATTTATGTTATATTGATATTGTATTTATATTGTATTTATATTATATTTATATTATATTTATATTATATTTCTATTATATTTATATTTTATTTACATTTATATTGTATCTATATTATATTAATTATATTTATGTTATATTTATATTATATTTATGTTATATTTATTATATTTGTATTATATTTATATTATGTTTATATTATATTGATATTATATTTTGTTTGTATTATATTATATTATATTATCTTTTATTGTGTTATATTTATATTTTGTTTAATATATATTATGTTTACCTTATCTTATCTTATCTTATCTTATCGTATATCGTATTATGTTATATTATATGATATTATATTACATTATATTATATTATATCACATTATATTATATTATATTATATTGTACATATGTATGTCCCAATAACATATCCTACAAAATCTACCCCATGCTTGGCAAATATCACCATCGCCAGGCGCAAAGGAGCCGCAGCCTCGCCGCAGCCTTTGGCGCCTTTACCCAGAGCATCTGCGCCCCAAAACCCACGAGGCAACCGGGGATCGAAGCGGCAGAACTTGGGATTCCTCGAAAACTATGGCTGTTTAGCATCAAAACGGAGGTTTTTCAGATGGCTCAACTCGGCTTTCATGAGACTATGTCTGGGTATGAACCATCAAAAGTTGGGATTTAGACTACATGAAAACATTGGGACTGAACCATAAAAGCTTGGGATATGTCATCAAAAATGGAAATACAAGATGAATTGGTATGTCACAGAATGAGGGATTCACCCAACATCTAGCAGCTTAGCAAGTTCCAATGGGGAACTTTTTGAAACCCAGGGATTTAGGTGAGACCCCATTCTCGGGAATGGGTCCCAAATCTCGGGTTATGAACCATCAAAGAGTGGTTTATGGTCATGATTCGATTCTGAATTGTCAACTTTTCTGAGTTATCAAACATGATGAATTTTATATCCATGTTTTAGCCAATGATAATGAAAATCGGTTAGAAATTCTCATCTCACATTTTGGATACCATGTGGAAAATCACCATTTTTAATGGGAAAATCCACTATTAATGGCCATTTTCAATAGCTACGTTAAATTACCAGAGGGTATCCCCTTCTTATGGTCGTAGGACTTCGGTGATGGAAGAGCAAGCGAAGCTGAATCGATCGTCCCTGGAACGAACCATTCTGAAATGCAGTGGCTAAAGTTGCTGGAAAACTGGCATTTTTTGCCGGGATTCAATGGGGCTAAATGGTAGATTTAACATGATTTAACTAGTAAAAATGGTGATATCATGGGATATATATCTGACACTGTGATATATCATATATGGGTGTGTCTGAAAAAAGGGGGTACCCAATAATGGTACTTTTAATGGGAAAGTGATGATGAAACATGATATTTGGCGGTCGCCTATTGAGGTCACAGAGAATCGAATCATTCACAATCCATGCCGGGGCACAACTATGGATTATATAGATATATACATATATATATATAGCTATATCAGATATATCATATTATGTATATATATACATATGATATGTATATATAGATATATAATATGTATATTTTCATATGATATGTATTACATATATATATATATATGATATGATATGATATGATATGATATGATATGATATGATATATGATATTATATGATATGATATGATATGATATGTATGATATGTATGTATGCTAATTAATTAATGTATGTATGTAATGTAATGTAATGTAATGTAATGGTATGGTATGGTATGGTATGGTATGGTATGTATGTACGTATGTATGTATATGTTATGATATGTAATGTAATGGTATGTTATGTTATTAACATAAGTTATGTGATGTTATGTTATGTATGTATGGTAATGGTATGTATGGTAATGGTATGTATGGTAATGGTATGTATGGTAATCGTATGTATGGTAATTGTATGTATGGTAATGGTATGTATGGTAATGTAATGTATGGTAATGTAATGTATGGTAATGTAATGTTTGGTAATGTAATGTATGGTAATGTAACGTATGGTAATGTATGGTAATGTAATGTAATGTAATGTATTGTATTGTAATGTACTGTAATGTAATGTAATGTATGTATGTATGTATGTATGTATGTATATATATATATATATATCAATATCAACCATTTGTATGTCATTCAGGACATTATGTTGGGAAAACGTCATGGGTTTCTATTTTAATGTGGTGCCCCTCAGTTACAAGTTGAGTTATAACCTCGAGTAAACCAACATAACTACAGAAAATGGGACATGTCTAGATGAATTTACCGATTGAAAAGACGATTTTTCATAGCTATGTTAGTTTACCAGAGGGTATAACCTCCACTCAGTATATATATATAGATGTGTCTACCAATGAAGCTAGCTATGGGGCACCAGCCTGTAGGAAAGTGCCCGGCTAAGCGCATGGGTATTTCGCAACCTCCTCGTATTGACGTCGGCAGATCATTTTCTTTCCCCATATATATTCTGTGAGTGGCTAGCGATGAAAAGTTATTGTAGAACATCATTTGTATGATATTTCTACGTACGTACGTACGTACATACATTAGATTCGATTAGATTACATTACATTCCATTACATTACATTACAAATAGAAATACACATACACATACAAATACAATACATGTATGCCTAGATTCATTACAGTAACACATGTTTGTTTGGCTCGTGGAACTTCGGTTGATTACCAACTATGCCCATGGTTATCCCGGCCAAGGTTGTCCATGCGAATGTTGGAGGGCGTCTCTTGGATCCGAAGTTAATCCATCCCGCCATAGTGCCAGCCGAATATCCCAGCCGAATCCCGAAACAAAAATCCTCTAAAATTCATCTTTTAGTATGAAACCATTTTTTTTTTGGTTTGGTCAGACGCAGATCAAAAATTTCAGGCCGAAGTGTCGTTCCTGGGCCGCTTCTACTTGAAGAGTGCATGGACCGAGGCGCTTTCTTCGCTGCGAGCTGCAGCGAATGGATAATTTATGCGGGTTCAAACGCGATTTTGTCCCAGAGCCCTTAGGAATAATCGTGGTAGATGTTGATGTATCCTTATTTTGGGGGGATGTTATCTGATTCATTATATGATTTTGGAAGCCAAGTCCACTTAACCTTTGGTAATCATGGCAGAGAATTCACCCCATGGTTTCGCCACTGACACCAGGGCAAGGGGAGGATCTGTATCCACGGCGACGCACTGATCTTGGAGAGCTTGAAACGGGGGGAGGTGGCCCTGCCGGCGGAACGGAACGGTGAAAGGGCGCGAGTTTCCACCGGAAAAACTGGGATTGGATTGATTTGATCATCAAAAAAGACAGATTTAGCAATGAAGAATCGGGATTTAGCCCCTGAACATAAACATGGGATTGAATCAAGAAAGTTTTGTTTTTTTTTGTTTTTCACCACCAAAGGGGAGGATACTTAGCGAACATATACCAACAGATATGGTACCATTGGACCAACACAATCGATCCACGTTTGCTGCTGCAGATCTCCAATTCTGCCGTCGATTTTAGGCACATTAGGAAGTAGATGTTCGCTGGGAAATCGACTTTGTGATGATTAACCCGCCACTTTTGATAATGTGGTAAAACATGGTAAAACCAATAATAGACTGATTTGGGAAGTGTATACCACACATTTGGCTTTACCACACTGACAATCAGATGCTGGTTGGTGGTTTGGAAAATTTTTTATTTTCCCCAATAGTTGGGATGATGATCCAATCTGACTTTCATATTTTTCACGGGGGGTGGCTCAACCACCAACCAGGATGGGTTTCGAAAAATCCAACAATAATCCATTTCTAGCCATATAGATGGGTAATTAATTATATACATGTATCCAGCATTTAGAAATGGTAAATTTTGTTGGATTTTTCGCCACCATGATATTCATTTAATGGTAAATTACCATGATATCCGTCAGCGTTTCACCACCATTACCATTCACCACTTCACCATGCTGAACGACCATTGGGACCGTTCCACCGCTCAGATGCAACACATTTCCATTCCATTGACAGGCCGGCCCCTCTGGGACTCCGGCGGAACATGGAGACCCTCGTAACGTAATGACTGTCACGGGTTGCGACACAGAAAATGGCCCAGTCGAAATAGCTCGGATTTTCCCATGGCAGGGTGGATCTTTTTTGAGTTCGTTGTAAACGGAAAAACCAGAGGGTAAGTAAGGGTCAATCTTTTTTAAACCATGAAGAAGCAAAGATTGGAGATTTTAAGGAACGAGCATTCGATGATTGGAATAACCAATCTTGACCTGACGAATGCCAGCCAGGATGGTTTTCCAGGTTTCATTTCGAATCGGATGAACAATGATTGAATTGCGGTAATTGCCGGAATAGTAATAGAAAACTGCCAAATAGTCATTGCAATCCGGTGAATTTGCTCAGAATCCATTTGGGGTTAGGAAAATCACTTCCTTGGCATATGTTGGAACTGTGACCGAATTAATATCACCATGACCACCAATTGGTACTTAGACGTTCTTTCTTGCAATGTTGATGTTTATTTGCCATTTTGCACTCCAGAAAATTGACCATGGACACCCAAAATTGTCCTTTTTTATTCATTTTCCATTTGTTAATTTTATTTTCGGAGTGGTAGTTCAACAGAATCTTGGATGTTAAGAATCCCTGCAAGACCAAACTGAATTGGGCAAAACTCTTAAGAATTATTCATGAATGAGGGATTCGATCTCTCTATAAATGAATATATATATATATATACAATTGTATACATATCTACATATATATATATATATCTGTAATCTGTCTAATTTGTTTATCTATCTACACATCTCATCTAATGTACACTACTCTACACGGCTCTTCACTACTCTAATCTATTCTACTCTAATCAAATCGGATCTATTCTAATCCAATCTAATCTATATCTGTAAATCTATACGTATCTATATAACTGGTGGATTCTCCACAGGCGTCACCTGCACCACAGCCTCCTTTATGATTTCGGCTGCGGGGCCGAGGGGTTCACCACGGGGGGTTCTGCCGTGTGAACCTTTGGGTGTTGGGGGTTTCAGGTTTTCAGATGAACCATGGTTATAATGGGATATTCATGGGATATTCATGGGATATTCATCTGATATGAACCCTGGTTAATCACTGAAAAACACAACAAAACATTGATGACGTATTTTACGGCTCGTGTTTCTGGGTGAATCTTTGTTTTATTAATGTAGGCAACCCAATGCCATAGACAACTACCATGACTGGGGATGGTTGAAATCCCGCCAGAAATGATGATTTGCGGATGGTTTAAGGCATTGGGTTTACCACATTCATGGGATTTTTATTGTTGATGATCAAATATATGTGAGCTTTAATTTTCTTAGCCATTCATCCATTGTAGTCCCATAGTCCCCAAGATTTTCAGTGAACTGTCGGTGGTGTCCTCCAAATTTTTCGGTGAGATGGTCGGTTAAACTCCCATGGATCTGTCTGATTTTCATCATCTATTGTGATGTCGTTTGAAACATGCGGATCATCCACACATATTTTGTCATAAATATGTAACAATATGTATGAAAAAACATGGATATGTATAGTATCTGGTTCATACATACATTGTATGTCCCTTCAATGGATAGCACATTTTGGGGAAAAAATCCGACGTGCGGCTGAGGTGAGAGGATCGAATGGCTTGGCTTTGCTGCGCCTTTGGGTGGACAATGCGGAGGATTTTTTGGGTCCAGATTTCTGGGGGTTTCAACACATTTTGAACATGGGTCATTAAATGTCCCCATTGAACATCACCCAACCATTAGGTATATGGTCAATGCCATGGCTACTTTTTCAGGTGATGTCCAATATTCCCAGAATGGGACAGTTACCAACCCCTGTTGAATCAATGTTCATAGGCTTCCTTAGCAGGTAAAAAAAACGTGTTTGAGTCGCAAAAAATTCTCCACCAATTGGGACTTCAGCGCCAGAAATGGGTTGTTGACCTCTCTCTTGTCTTCGCTCTTGCTTGCTGGGGGGCAATAACGTCTTTATTTGCGTTTTCCTGTAGCACGCATTGTCACATGCTGTAAGCACTTTTGTTTCTACGTTGTCACATGCTCTACGCTCTAATATCTAACAGAAAAACTACGTCACAACGTCTTGCATGGACTTTCACATAGATCACCTTGCTCTACGCTTAGACATCGATGGCTTATCCGCTTTGTACATTCTTGAAAACCTTGGGATTGAAGTGGTCATGGAAGCCTTTGCGTGCTGGCGTAGATACCACTTGGTTCACTGAAAAGGGACGAAATTCACGACGAAAAACCTGCGCGATCCCGGGTTATGGGTTGTTTTCAAAATCTGTTTTTGAGAAAAGCAGGAAGTTGACTTGATGCACAATTTGATGCACAATTTGATGCACAATTTGATGCACATCTGGAAACAATCCATAAAATGAAGATCATAAACATCAATGCACAATGATAAAAATAGGCTTGCCGCTATAGCGAAACGCACAATTTTGATGAACACAATTTCCTTTATCTTCATGAATTCATTGATGAAGATGTTGGAGCTCATCAAGACGGCCCTGAGATTCGGGCAACACCCCCTCTCTACACAACATGTTGGTATCTCCCATTTTTTCTGGACAAAGACAGTCGTTGAATTTGGAGAGTACGGAGCCACCACTTTCCATCGTAAAACCCAATTCTCCGGGACTTGGGCAATGTGACAAGCAACAGTTATTTTGCCCTTTCAAGATAGTTAAAATCTATAACACTACTATGACACATAATATGTGAGGAAATTCCCACATCACCATGGGTTTGAGCATGTGTTTTTTTTTGTTTTAAACTAAGTCACGGCCATGATGTGGATGGGCTACCCCCACGGTGAAACACCGTGAAGGAAGCCGAACAGTTGGCCCAGAAGATCATCGCCACGGCCGGGAGCGGCTGGGAGAATCATCTCAGTTGAAAATGGCTGTTCAAAAGCCATGGGTTCCATGGGCCTTTGTCCGAAAATCGGAGCCATTTTTTTTTTTACACTGCCAAATTTTGTAAACTTTACCCCAATTTTTTGATGTTTGATACTACCCATGGATGGCTTGATACTACCATTTTTGTAGCACATGCAGATTTCCCCCACAGGATTTTGCCCATGATTGTTAGAGCATATCCACACCTTTGTATATTCCTGGTAATATACCATTATATCAATGCTATCCCATTGATTAAGCCCCATTATATCTGGTAAGATCTCCCCACCTTTCTTGGTCAACTCCCATTTCCCTTACCCTCTGGTAATCAAACATGGCAATTGAAAGTCCCCCATTTACAGTATTTACAGTATAGATCATTTCCACACCAGAAACCTTCATTGAGTTCGGGGATTTCTCATTGATTTTCCCGTGAAACCCGAAGGGTGAACCACGTCTGATTTCCATCATAGGGTAAACCAGATAGCCAAATTTGATGATCAGATGGTATCCCTTCACTCATTGCTAGCCATTAGCCATTCATATCCATTCATATCCATTCATATCCATTCAATATTCATTGGATTGGTTTAAGGGAAAATCTACAGGAAACCATGGTTTTTACCATCAAATATAGGGCTTTCTTGTAAATTTTCCCATCATCCAATTCTATGAAATATTCCAGTCTTTTTTTTTGGTCTTTCCCTGGTCAACCTGTGGATCTCCAGGGCAAGACGTCCAGCGAAATGGTGCAGCGCAAGATTCTGCCCAGCTCATCCACTGCCAGGCGCCGTCTTTTTCGGCCGCTGCAACGGCCCGAATTTTTTTGGGTACCTGAACAAGAAGTGACCTATACCCACACATGAGACATTTTTCAGGCAAATCATTTTTGCGCCATTTCTCTTTAAAATCTTTTTTGGACTTCCCGTCATTCTTTGGAATCCAAAGATGGCCCAGGCGGCAATTGGGACGTGCTGCCGAGAGCTTGTGCAATTGCACCATGCAGGTGCGCGAGCTGATACGCGGGCTGAGGAACTCATGGATAGTGAGGGGAATTCAGCAAAGTTAGGGGGGTATAATTCCATTTTATGGTAATATTTTATAAGATATAGTGGCATATGCAACCAAGAATATGATTCGTTTGGGTGTGTCTGAAATTCATGGGGGGGATGCCCAATTTATGGCAACTCTATTCATGGGGATCAGGTTTTAAAGCATTGCATGTTGAGGTTTTCCATCAGGACCTTGTGAGTTCGGATTTCACATTGACGACCTTACAGCTGATGGCTCTTGGAAGTTGGACCAGACCAAAAAATCCAGGTGGAGATGGCAGAACTCAACAGATTTGGTGGACTTGTACCCTCTGGTAAACTAACATAGACCCTGAAAATCATCAATTTTGAGTGGAAACTAATCTTCCAACCCCTATCTGGCAGGGTCTATATTAATTTACTGGAGGGTAATCCTAGTATCTACAACAAAAAGACACTTTCTTCGAGTGATCCAGTGATCCCCACGAACTGACGTTCTATCTGACACATATTCTGAGATTCTATCTGGCATTCTATCTGATATCACTGATATCTATTCTGACATTCTCTCTGACATTGAGGCATTCTATCTGACATCTCTGACTTTCTATCTTTATCTGATACCCTCTGGTAAACTAACATAGCTATTGAAAATGGCCATTTATAGTGAGTTTTCCCATAAAAAATGGTGATTTTCCATAGCTATGTTAGTTTACCAGAGGGTATTCTATGTGACATCTTGCAATTGAGGTCCCGCAGTGCCCACTGAGATCTGGCTCTCGCAGTTGAGACCTGGCAGTTGGAAATTACAATGTGGTAAGAGCACAGAGATCCAGAACCTATTTCGAAGCAAAAAATGCGCAAGCGCATTCAAACAGATCCAAAAAACTCCAAACTATCCAGACACATCAAACATATTCCAAATATCCCAAGTCATCTACCAGGTCCCAATGGGTGGTTCTCCAGGCGCCACAGAAGTTCCGGAACACCTTGGTGCCCAAAGGGCTCAGCTGCTGGCAAAGGCCCCCGAAGAGGCCCGTGACCAGTGGAAACGGGAGATGCTGATCCGCAAAAATGCTGGGTTTTTATTAGGGAAAACTATGTATAAAAGCATGAAACACTTCTTGGGTGCCAATCACCAATTTTTTTCCCTAATGGAGTTGTTATATGGGGATATATTGGGAATATAGTGGGGATATACACGGGATTGATCGGATTATATATGGTACATATGTTCAATGGGTTGTTTTCGTTGGGAGAATCTAGGGTTGAACACCCTTTTATCGCATGGTTTTCCAAAAAAATAAGTAGCATTTTTTTTCTGTACATTTCTGTTCCCAAGTCTCGGATGTGTGGATGTGAACAACTCAGACTGCTAGTGCTAGGCAATAATAATAACGATGATAAGATTCATTCTCTAATCGAGAATTATCGAGCATATACCAGAAAGTTGGAAAACACCAACTTTGGAGAACAAGGGGTTATTGGGCTGATTTTTTGATACGACGAGCATGACTGGATAGGCCAAATTGTTAGGATCTGAACTTCTTTGGGGGGCAAACGCTTTCATTTCATCCCAATGATCAAGCAACAGAAAAGAATGCAGATACTTCACCAGGAAAGATACCACACGATCAGACAGCCGATGTTTCTCTTCTGAAAGTGAATCATGTTTTTATGGTTTTTGAGCGGAAATCTTTCCAAAATGCTTTTACCAAAGTGCGAATTTGCCAACACTTAGTGAAAGCATCAGCATGGGTGGACAAACATCCATCACTCCAGCTAACCTATTGATGTGGGTGATTTGACCAATACCCATACCCATAGAAGGTGCTCGTCCAATTTGATCGTGCTGGACGTCCACATAAAAATCATTATGTATGTATACATAAGCCACTGTATGTTATTGTAAAAATCAATATATGTTTGAAATTATATATATATATGTGGTGGTACTATATATTTATGTATACATACCGACGTGTATTAGATATCTATCTCTTCATCCACTTACATGTAAATATGTATACATGTATATATATATATATATGTATATATATATATATGTATGTGTATATATGTAATTATATATATATGCATATGTTTATATGTACGTATATGTAGATATGTATGTATATGTTTATATGTAAATATATGCATGTTTACATGTATATATATTTATGTTTAAAGGTTATATGTATATATGTATGTATATGTGTATTCATGTACATTTGAAAAAATGTGCATCTGTGCATATGTATGTGTACACATGTATATATGTATATCGTCTCTCTATCCGTCCATCCATCCATCCATCGATCCATCCATCAATCTATGTCTGTATCTAGCTATCTAACTAGTGTGTAAAAGTTTCTGTGTAAAAACTTCCGTGTGTAAAGTTTAAAGGCGTCAATTTGTAAAAACTGCTCTGTGTAGAGGCGTACGTGTGTAAAAACTTCTGTCTGTAAAAGCTTCTGTGTGTAAACGCATCTGTGTGTAAAGGATTCTCTGTGTAAAAGCATCTGTGTGTCGTTCTCAATGAAAGGACAAAGAACCATGTCGTGGTTTCAGAGTTTGTTTTCAGCATTGGATCGCATGGCATAGTGGAGAAGCAGAAACCGTCGATTTCTTTTTCTAATCCCAGACTCCCAGAATGCGTATGGCTGAGGTGAAACGTGCTTCTTCCTCTGCCAACATATCTAAACCAACTAGATTCCATTGACAGTGCTGTTTCAACTATTGCTCAGGTGCCACCCCTGGAGCAAATCTCCTGGAGAAAAATGTATCAAGCTGTGGATGTATGATATTCATCTATAACAGTCATCAGTCAGTCATCAGTCATCAGCCATCAGTCATTGACATCATCAACATCATGATCATTTTTATTGTCATGTATCAATCAGAGTCATGTAATGCAATCTGTTCTGTTCTATTCTATCTGACCTCTTTCTATCTCTATCTCTGTCTCTGTCTCTGTCCCTATCTCATCTTTTAATCTCCTTCTATCTACCTATCTGTCTTTCTATCTCGATTTGGTTTTTATCGTTACATATTTATCTGCACAGGACTTCTTCAATTGTTGACGTTTCCCGCCCCTGCACCCTACGAACCAATACGTTCAACATATGAACAAAGGTCAGATAGGGGCGTCAAAACGGACAAAGATCTCCCGTGGCAGTCTTGCGGGGTCGTCAGGGGTCGTCGGGGTCGTCAGGGTCGTCAGAGGTCGTCAGCTGAAATTGGGCAACTGCTGTTGCCATCTCTGAAACATTTCTTTATAATATATATATATATTTATATTATATGTATACATACGTTTCAACCTGCCCTCCGGGAATCAGTCTGACAATCGACAATCACAAGCATCCGACTAAAACCGTCAGATAGTTTGGGGATTTCCCAGCCTTTGAATGCCTTGAAGGGTGTTCTAAGTTGGTTTCAATCCCATCCTGGTTGTTTTTAGCACCAAAATCCCTGGGTAATGAGTTAAACCCCTTAAAAAGCCATCCCATTAGTCATCTACTGGGGGTTCATTCAAACGCATCCCAAGGGGTATACCCAATGATAAACCCCAAGTTGTTAATCAATGTTTTTTTTTGGCATCTTATTGATGTTAGTTCAAAACCAGTAGTTGGTTTTAAAATAGCATTAACTTTAACCAGTAGTTGGTACCATAAACCCTTTTTATCTTAGTTCAAAAACAAATCTTTGTGGATTTCGATCCTCCCAAATCGCTAGGCCCGAGAAGAGCGGAGAGGCAGCCTACGCCTTGGACGGCCGCTGCGCCATCTTGCGCGCCAAGACGACGGAACGATGGGGAACGATGGGATGGGACCCAGGCAACTGGTTCATCGTAGTTTTTTGGTGGTTTGATGACGTGAATGTTCAAAAAATGGTTATAGTAACCAATGGTTACCAGAAATGGTTACCACAAAATGGTTACCACAAAATGGTTACCAGAAAATGGTTCTAACATTAGTTACCATTTTGTCCGGTTTTTGGATAACATGTTGTACAAACAGCAGGGGTCAATGGGTGTGTAATGGCCATGTTCAGCCTCCTGCACCGTTCCTGCCGCAGGATGTTCAAGCCGTTCACTGCACTTTGCGCGGGGATGCGTTGTGGTTCGGGGTCAAAGCAGGTGCATGTGATAAGGTGCCGTGACAAAAGGGATGGCTGGGTTTTTGGTGGGTCACATGGGTTGGCCATGTTTGGGAACATGAAATTAACCATGAAATTTCGGGGGCTACTTGAGTTTCAGACAAACCGAAGTGTGACTTGGGTCTGTCTCGAAATAAGAGAGTCATTGAAGGGCCAAGAAAAACAATGCGGAAATGCGGATATTTAAACAATGGGATGGAATAGGGACAGAGACAAGCACACATTTCATTGGTTGGTGGTTTGGTTCATTCTTGTGTTTCCAATCTTGTTTGGGATGATTCTCCCAACCTGCCGACCAATTTGAAGATTTTTTAGCTTCAAAGATGACACAATTTGTAGAGAAAAACGTGGAACATCGCTAGTTGGTTGTTTTGAAGTTATCAACGAAACAATTGACATTGCAGCACTGAGATGATAATCCTAAGTGGTTTTCATGTTTTAAGGGGGTGCTTGAACCATCAACCAATTCCATAGGTCATGAGCGTGGTGGGCGCCTCTGCGACCGCCACTGAAAACATGGTGATGATCAAAGCGCGTAGCGGCGAGGTGCACAGGCCTGCGGGTGGCCTGGGAGTTTACGGAGTTTACGCAACGAGTCCCTCTGGTAATTTTTCAGATATGGAAGATGACCATTTTTCATAGGTAAATTAACGAAGTAAATGGCAATTTTCGCTAAGTAAATCATCAGAGGGTAACATTTTGCTGAACATGGTCCATTTACAATTTTTCATAGGTAAATTAACATAGGTAAATCATCAGAGGGTAACTAAATGGACCATGTTCAGCAAAGTGTTAGTCACCAGAGGGTAACATCCTTGGGATCCCTCGAACTCGGACTCGCAACAAGCCCCTGCAATCCATGGAAGTTGATGATATGAGGCTGGTACCTAAAAGCGTCTTTGGCTGGTTCTATTCCACCATTCTTACTGTTTTATCATCTACATTCTTGTTGGTGAAATCCTTGCCTTTCGTGTCTTACTGTAGCTGTCCAGTTTTCCCGTTTTGTTGGCTACAACGGCTACAACTTGTTTCTTTGTTAAGTAAATTTGCTGGAGAGCTCTGACTTTTGAGTTGCTTCACTCCTTATCCACAACCCAAGCTACACAAATCCCACCGTTTCTGTTGGTCAAGTCCACACTTTCTTGGAAATTTGGGTGCTTCAATCTCCATCTTTCGCATCTCTCGTTGGTTATATATCCCATTAAATATCTCGTCATATTCCCATTAGATATCCCATTTTATTCCCATTACAATCCACCATATCACACCATTTCATTTTGGAGTCCCTTGTTGGGGGCTTTGAATATATTATATTGGCTACATGCGCCCAGATGGTTGAACATGCTTAAACATGTTACACCCCCATTTTTGACGCATTATTTCAGTTTAGTGAATCATTACAAAATTGCAATTGATAGATATGCTCAATAATATTGGGTCTATCGGGGGACTAATAAATTTTGATAAGATTGAGGGATAGTAATTGATTATGTTATATTATCCACTATAGATGTATGTGTATATATATATATACATCTATTGATGAATCAACTATGGACCATAAATCATCCAAATAGATTGTGCATATAGATCTATGACCTATTTTTCAATACATGTATCCATGGTTACATAGTTATATAAAGATCTCATCATCCCCAACTCATCAATCTACGATCTACAAATAACCCATAATGATGATCTACGAATAGTCAATTCTAGATCGATTATAGTAAGATAGATGATCTATAGTTTATTCCCAACTAATCATTAAAACAATCTATTTAATTGCCTTTGGCAAGCCCGCCGGCCATAGAGAGGTGGCAAGGGAGTTTGATGTGCACTCTAGGTGGAAGCCCGCGAGAGAAGCAGAAGAGAAAAGAAGAAGAAGAAGAAGAAGAAGAAGAAGAAGAAGAAAAATAAGAAAAATAAGAAGAATAAGAAAGAAAGACGGAGACAAAGCCGTAAGACGGAAGCGGCTGGTGTAGCAAGTGCTGGCTGTAACAACCTATTGATCGTACACCAAAGGGTGGAAGCGGAGAGAGATTGCCCCAAGAGAAGTTGATGTGCACGCTAGGTGGAAGCCTGACAGAGAAGCAGAAGAGAAGAGAATAAGAAGAGGAAGAAGAGGAAGAAGAGGAAGAAGAAGAGACGAAGTCAGAGCCGTAGATCAGAAGCAGCTTGAGTAGCAAGTGCCTGCTGGAACAACCTATGGACCGCATACCAAACGAGTACTGGTCGATCAGTTTAGTACCGTGTGTGTCCTGTGATGAGTACGTGTAGACGACTGTAATGCTGTAGGCGTCGTCGTCGTAGTAGTAGTAGTAGTAGCAGCAGCAGTAGTAGTAGTACTAGTAGTAGTACTAATATTAGCAGTAATTCATAGTAATAGCATTAGGAATAGTAATAGTAATAGTAATAGTAACAGTAATAGTAATAGTAATAGTAATAGTAGTAGTAATAGTAGTAGTAGTAGTAGTAGGGGGGAGGGGGGTTGGACTTGATTCAGACGAAGCAAAATCGCGCAGCAAGAGAACAAAGGAACAAGTACAAGCCAAGAACAGAAACAAGAACAACACCTTCCAATCAGACACGCTGGCAGGCCGGCGGATTGTAGATCCATTAAAGTAAGTTACCTATTGACTCATCAACTGTAATAGATATCGATAGCTAATTGTGAAACGAACTGCAGCACTCTTGACCTATTATAGATCTATTGTCATTAACTATAGAAAGCCGTGCCTGAGTCTTACCACCAGTGCCGCTGTTTCAGCGGAACCTTGGATGCTTGTGTTGCTTCCACTAGCGATGACGCCTTGTGTGGATGGATTTTGGGCGGCAATCCAGCTGACATGGGAAGCACATTGTATTGTTCTTGTCCATGACATACACTGCCAACTTGACAGATGGCACATCCGTTGCTAAAGTTAACGTTCCCGCGTTTAGTGTGTCCGAGCCAATTGACGTGGAGACTTCTCCGCAGCGTGGACTATCAACTGTAATAGATATTATAGTTGTGGTTATCTCTCAACCCCATCCCCAATTCCCATCAGGCTGTGGCCTGAGAAGGGCAGTGGCTCGCCGCAACAGTGGTGCGATGCCATCAAGGTGAGTTGCGCCGATGGAATTCGTGGGGAATCATGGGGAAATTTCAGTTTTTTACCTTTTGAAATCCCAAAAAATCAATTTTTGTTTGTGAGTGATTAGGTAAAAAAACGGTATTGGAATAGGAAAACAAAGGATTTTATCATGTAGAAACCGGGGATTCATGATTTGAGCAACCAACGTGGTCATTTTGGTGAGTTCTTCTTGGATTTTGTTCTTTTCCAACCAACATTTGGACTTAAATGGGTGCATATCAAGACTTGGAACACCAAAATCCACAAAGATCATTTAGTAATTATCCCATATCTTACGAATCAATCATTTCCTCAACAGTTGCTAGCCATTTACCAATCATTTGCAGACAATTTCTTGGTTGTTCACCGCGCTTCCTAAGTGGGTTAGAGATAACTGGAATAATTCCACTTGTCCGATCTGGGATTATGAGACGCTTAGTGAACCATCAAGTTATCCGCAGTCATATTTTGTGAATATACCATTTATATTAATATTCACTATTATCCCTCATATCCCACTATATCCCATTAATATCCCATTAATATCCCATTAATATCCCATGAATATCCCGTTCAATCAGTTTATAGTCCCATTGATATTCAATTAGATCACTGTAAAATCCAATTGTCATGCCATTAAGATCCCAGGAACATCACCACTATATGGTGGTGTTTGCACGAGAAGACTGAGGTGGCATGAGTTTTCTGATTTGACGCTGTTTCCATGTTTTACCATTTGACACCGAAACCGGTGTGAATGAAAAAGCAGAAGACTGAAGAAGTGCCACAGCGAATGGATTGCCCCTTCTTAGGCACCATCAACAGGCACGTCTTAGACTTCGATTTCGCAACATGGGTGCTCAAGCATAAGTAAGTAGATTGGATTCCATGCATGAAGGGCCTTGGTCTTGCGATCCTTTGGCTTGCTAGAGTTGCAGAAGTGGGGCTTAAGAACTCCAATCTACAATCACCGAAGATTTACCCCTCTCCTGTGAATCAGACTTGTCATTGTAACTGCAGTTGTATCCACTCGACCCTTGCGCTTGAGAGATTTCCCATTGAATCCTTTGCGGGCACCTTTCTGGCTTTGGTTCTCTGGAAACTTCTGAGCTGGTTGGCAGGGCGTGCCCATGAACCGCAACCGTCCCCGAGACGACGCGGAGCAGGCATTGTCACTATGCCAGCCCGGACAACGACTAGCTGTGTGGTACAATGATGACCACGTGTACCATGAGCGAATTCTAGTCTGGCGAGTTGATGGCAGGTCCTGGTATGTAGTTACACCAGACAAGGATCTCTACGTAGAGGATTTTTCAGGACTGGGAGAAAATGGTCCAGTGTCTTTTAGGGTGAAAGATGTTGACTTTAAGGCTTGGTCACGACTTGGTAAACCGGTGTATCGCTTTTCAAACCCCCCAACTGATGACGAGTTCCGTGCCTATGTAGCCACTGCCTTGGAAGAGCTGAAGACTTTAAGCCACAACAGTGACTGGCGGCCGTTGCATGTCATCAATATGACGGGAAAGCAGAAAGCAGCTGCCGAGTATCTTGGCCATCTTCTGGTTGCTCCCCCTCATCCCAGACGGCGTGACGGCGGACATCTGGAGCAACCTGAAGAAGTCGGCGTGCCGGTGGCTGAAGAGGGCATGACTTGGCTGTGCTACTCAGCTTCAGCCGATCTTGAATTTGGAGCGCAGGTCGTTGATGGACTTGCCCGTGGCGTCAAGTTGGATAGCGACTATTGTGCCGTGCCCACTCCAAGTGGTTGGATGTTGTGCCGAAAGGCAACTGTAGCTGGTGCACCTGAACTTGTTGAGCAAGGCCGAGCCAATATTGCAGTGGCCAGTGCTATTGCTGGGCCAGCGGATCCAGATCCCAAGCTACAACCTCTTGCACCACTAGAAGATTCGACTGAGGATGATGCTCGCACCCTCATGGTTGAGTACGATGAGCAGGGAGAGCGTTTCAAAGCCTTTAGAGATGTCTGCCGAGAATGCAAGGAGTACGGGTTCGCCGACTGGCCCCACGAAGGGCCACAGACCACTCTCCATGTTCTCAAGTTCATGCAGAAGAATGGCGGTTCTCCCAAACTTTGGCTGCAAGTGTGGTCTCGCCACAAAGGGGTCCATGAGGGCGACCGGGTGATGCATGAGATGCGGGCCTTGGTTGACTGCCTGGAACAGGGCGGGTGCTACGACCAGCTGAACTTGGCCAGCTTGGCCAGTTTTGAATGCCTAGCTCGCCGGATCCAAAGCATTGTCGATGCCTACAACGCTGGAAGTGCTGCCTCTCCTGACTGGGGGGCAGCTCGCATCATCACTGGGTACCAAGGGCCCGAGGACGTAGTGATGCCATCGTTGAGGAGCTGGGCTGCCAAACGCGGCAAAGAGGAAGTTGAATTAGCAGCTGCTCGGACAAAAATCCGAGAACATCGTCGGTTGATTGCACCAGCTGAAGAGGCAGCAGCAGCTGCTGTGGCTGATGGAAGTTTGCCAAGCGGAGGGGCACCTACCAAGCCAAAGCGCAAGGCCAAGGCAAAAACGGTTGCTCCTCCGCAGTCTCCATGACCGAAGGGACCGGAGAGCGGGGCTCAGCCCCTCAACCCGCTCTCCGTGGCTTTGAATCAATGGGGGGCGCCCGACCTGATCCTAGTGCAAGGGCCCGAGACCTTTTTCCTCTGCCTATGCCTTCATCTTTGAAGCTGCCCAAGGGTCTTTCCCGACGCAGTGCCCAAAGGTGGAGTCGCAAATGCCGGCTTCGCGAGACGGAGAGGGAAGCGGTTTTTGCCCTCAACTGGATGGCGGGCAAGCATGATTTTTTGCATGGCACAGAGGAGGCTCCTGACTTGCTACAAGCTGAAGTTCTCCAACGAATTCATGTGTTGGCCACAGAGGCCGGAGAGTTGGGTAGTCTTGAACATGTCCCAGCACCTGAGGCAGCCCTGCGGGAGCTGCTCAAAGGAAGATCAGATGATCAGCAACCTGATATTCCAGTAGCCTTAGCCCCTTACAGACTCGAGCGTGTCTCTCTCCCGACTTCGCTGCACGGCCTGCCTCAGGCCGAAGAGCTGCTGCCGGATGACACCCGTCGATATTTGCAAGGTGAAGAGCTGATGCTGAAGGACGGGGCCATTGAAGATGCTCCCCGTCCATACTGGGACCCAGTGTTAGCCAAGAGTCAAAAACACTACAAGGAGTTTATCAGAAAGCCCGACAGCATTGGCATGTTGCAATATACACAGAAACCCAAAAACGAGGTAGGGATATTTTTTGTGTACAAAAGCGACAGGCAGCGTATGAGGCTTATCGTTGATGCAAGGTCAGCAAATGTGAGATTCAAGGACCCACCTGGTGTGTCGCTCTGTTCTAGTGAGGGCTTCAGTCGGATTGAGTGTCAGTTGTCAGAACATGCTCGGCCTGGGACACAGGCCTTTGTGGATGAGTTGCAAGCCATGAACATCCACATTCTGAGTGATGTCAAGGACTGCTTTCATCGACTCAAACAGCCGCGATGGTTGGCAGAGTATTTCTGTCTCAAGCCCATCCGTGCAAGCTGGGTCAATCTTGGCGGTACAACATTGGATGGGGTAGCCTTAAAAGACAACGACATTGTTTATCCGATGCCAGGTTCTCTATGTATGGGTTTCAGTTGGTCTCTCTTTTTTGCCCAGAAGATCAATGAGTATCAATGCAGCCTCACAAAGTCTCTCACATGTTCTCGTATTATCAGCGACAAGGGTGATCCAGTTGTTTTTTCGAGCCCCCAGTCCCTTGACAACCTAGAAAGCAGCACCCGGCACTATGTGTATGTGGACAACCTCGGCATCCTTTCCCCCCATGAAGCAGTTGTCCACAGCTCGCTGCAGGAACTGGACCAGCACTTCGGAAGCTCCGGCTTGCTGCTTCATCCTGGAGAGGTGAGCGGGGACAAGACTAAAGCGTTGGGTACAATTCTGGATGGAAAGAACCTGTGTTCAAAAATTACACAAGAACGTTTTCACAGGGTTCGTCGAGCTATCCGAGGGTTGCTCCGCAGAGGTAGATCAACTGGTCAGTCACTTGAAGTCTTGATAGGCCACGCAACTTTCTGTGGCCTCAACAACCGTATGTTGCTTGCAGTTTTTCATACATGCTACAAATTTATTCGACGGCATTATTTTGATCCTTCAACTCTTTGGGACAGTGTTCGAAATGAGCTTCGAGCATTTGCAGGTTTGATGATCTTCTTGCGATCTGACTGGTGGAGGCCCTGGAATGACCTGGTTTGCTGCAGTGATGCTAGCACCACAGGTTTTGGGGTTTGCACAAGTTTTTGGAAAAGAGAAGACGTCATGAGTGTTGGTAGGGTCAAAGAACGGTGTCGCTTTAAACGGAGCTCATCACACTCTGCAAGAGAGGCTTCACTAACATCAGCTGGGTTTGTCAGAGATTCAGTGACTGGTCAGTGGAGGGCTGGAGAAATAGACGGCACAGACTATTTGGAGCAGAGTGGTTGTGAGCTTGTTGACAATTTCCCTGAAGTCCCAGCCAGGCTGCTCCACAAAGACCTTTGGGTGCCTCGATTGTGGGGGAAGTGCAGCTTCGAAGAAAGCATCCTGATTCTGGAGGCGCGGGCTGCCGTCAAAGCCTTGCGGCGTGTTGCCATGAGCGTTTTTGGAAACCATGTCCGACAGCTGTTCTTATTTGACAACATGTCTTTGGTTCTAGCGCTCGAGCGCTCTCGGAGTAGGCAGTTTGGGCTTCTGAAACAGATCAGGTTATTCAACTCGTATTGTATTGCGCGTGGTATTCAGCCTTCTTTTAGATGGTTGCCTAGTGAGTTGAACAATGCAGATGAACCTTCTCGTTATGACACTTTAGAAGAGTCAAAGCTCCTCACTGGCCTCATCCGCGATGTCTCCCAAACGCGTGCGAGTGTTGAAGCCGCCGCTGGTCCCACAGAGCCAAAACAGCGGCTCAAAGTGCCGAGTCCTGAAACCTGGAAAGATGAATGCCAGCCAAGTAACCAAAACGAAGATGAGGGCTCTCAAGGCCAATCCTTTGGAGAAAAGGTTCAAACGAACCATCCCTCTTCCCAAAGTAGTAAAGCTGGAAGATGCCCATTTGGACATGAACATCAACATCAACAAGATGGCCAAAACCTCGGGCTCAGTGTCAAGCAGCTCAGACAGCAGCAGCGAGCCAGAGATGAGCGGCACCCGAAAGCGGCGGCTGGCCGGAAGAGCCAAGTACCGCCGCAAACATTACGTGGACCTCTTGATGGAGGGGAAGGGGCCAGGCGACCTCTCCCTCTTGGAGCGAAGAGCAGTCGGCTCAGCCACCGAGAAGATGTACCTGAAAGAACTGCGGAGCTTCTTGGACTCCACCAAACCGGCTGTTTTCAATCCAGACAACCCAGAGCAGGTGGATCAGTGTTTGGTGCAGCACATGAATCAGCAGTTTCTAGATGGGCACCAAGCCTTCAGGGGGGACCGTCTGATTGCCAGCTTTCTACACCATTACCCTCAGTTCAGCAGAGTTGGGGTCAAGCGCATTCCTCGTGCGCTCAGAGCACTTCGGGGATGGCGGAAGCTGTGCCCTGGAAGATCCAGGGTGCCCTATCCTTTGGCTATTTGGACAGGCCTGGCCTCTCTCATGATTGGGATGGGTTTCAGCGATATGGCAATCTTCACCATGATCGCCCTGTCTACATATGCCCGACCATCCGAACTCCTGAAGATGAAGGTCTTCAGCTTGGTGCGGCCAGTGACAGGCTTGACCGCCAGCTGGAGTGTCCTGATTTGCCCAGAAGAACTTGGCGAACCGTCGAAGACTGGCGAGTTCGATGTGAGTGTCCTGTTAGACTCTCCCTATTTGAGCTCCTGGATTTCAAAAGTCCTCCCGGTCTTCAAGGAACAGGACCCGACACAGAACCTCTGGCAATTCAACTACAGTCAGTACCTGTCGGTCTTCAAGAAGTGCGCCAGCCAGCTGGGCCTCGAGGTGACACCGTACCATGCCCGGCACAGTGGCCCGTCAATAGACCGGGTGAAGCATCACCGGTCACAGCTGGAGGTTCAGAAGCGGGGCCAATGGAAGTCCACCAAGAGTGTTCACAGGTACGAAAAGGCAGCCCGACTGGCGCGCAGCTGGGAGCTGGTGAACCAGAAGGCAAAAGATTATTGCCTCAGCTGCGAGTCCGACTTCACGGGCATCGTCTTAGGGCACAAGAAGCCTCCAAGTACAACCTGCCTCGCAGGAATCCCAAGGGCCTCTACATAGCGGACCTGTTTTCTGGCAATGGCGGCGTTTCAGCAGCCTGTGAAAGATTAGGTTTTTGCGCGAAAGAATGGGATATTCGGCATGGACATCAGTGTGATCTCACTAGCAGAAACATATTAAGCGTTTTGAAGCGGGATATTAAAGCTGGTAAGATTTTGGCAGTTATGCTTGCTCCTCCATGCGATTCCTTTTCCGTCGCGCGAGACCGCATCAAAGTCATCCGATCTGCAGCGTCTCCTTGGGGTTTGCCTTTTCATTTATTGACAAGCCATGAACGTTCAGCTATCAAACGGGGAAATGCTTGTTTCAAGTCTTGCAGAGCAATTATTAACCTTCTGGACAGCTATGAGATTCCTTGGATTCTCGAGAACCCTTTTACATCAAAGTGTTGGTATCTGCCCTTTGTTCAGAATTTGGTTACATGTTCGCACACTCATTTGGTCATTGCTGATTTTTGCCAATACAGCAGGCCCTGGCGAAAGCGTACCAAGTTTTTGTGTGGCAATATTTGTTCTGATGATTTGCACCGGCTGAACCATCGGTGCAGTGGGGTGCGAACTTGTGACCGAACAGGCCGCCCTCATTTCCGATTGACAGGAAAAGGGCCTGGCGGCAAGCACTGGACAGCCATTGCTCAAGCATATCCCACTCAACTGTGTGATGCCTTAGCACATGCACTGACTGCGCACCTTCACTATAACCAGATCCATTACTAACTTCATGAGTGGACAACAATTCTGCTTTTGGGGAATTGGCTTTGGAATGTGGAGGAGGTCATACCTTGTGTTTTGTGTTTTGCCTCACTGGTTGGCTGTGAGCGTTTCAGGCTAGCAAAGCTATGACCGGGATAAGGACTCATGAGACACCAGATCCGCTGAAGAAAAGTGAGTGCCATCAGAAGTCTGGTGGTGTTTGCACGAGAAGACTGAGGTGGCATGAGTTTTCTGATTTGACGCTGTTTCCATGTTTTACCATTTGACACCGAAACCGGTGTGAATGAAAAAGCAGAAGACTGAAGAAGTGCCACAGCGAATGGATTGCCCCTTCTTAGGCACCATCAACAGGCACGTCTTAGACTTCGATTTCGCAACATGGGTGCTCAAGCACCCGCCCAGACCCTCCCGGAATGTGGAGGAGGTCATACCTTGTGTTTTGTGTTTTGCCTCACTGGTTGGCTGTGAGCGTTTCAGGCTAGCAAAGCTATGACCGGGATAAGGACTCATGAGACACCAGATCCGCTGAAGAAAAGTGAGTGCCATCAGAAGTCTACACATTTCATCCCGTTGATTTTCCCGTTAGCATCGGGTTCCACGAAATTTCCCAGGCGGCGGGACAGTTGGCCAAGGATTTGGGCAAGTGGGACGTGCGGCTGCTCGGGACAGGAGAAAATGTCATTGGCGTGTCCTAAAACATCGGAAAAACAAAAAAACATAAATTCAGTTTTTTTTTTGGTGTGTCTGTGAGTTTAATTTCTTATATTTATTCCTAGACTTTGCGTCTGGAACCTCCCTTGGATTGAATGAAGTTGTTGGTTGATCAATTTTAGTTAGCGCCCCTCATGACATTGGCCAAGCTGGTTCCAGCTGCTCCTTGTATCACCGCATCCAGGCCATGAAGCGTTCGGTCTTTCATCAGGAAATTGCGCATGAGAAGGTGTGGTGAAGACATGGTGAAGAAGACACCTGAGGTGAAACAACTGAGGTGAAGAAACCGCAAATACCACTGGAATATATGTTCTATACGTTTTCCGAGTTTGGTGTTGTCTTCTTAAGCTACATGGGGTTGAAGAAGTAATGAACATGGAGAAACTGACCTGATTTCTTCGATGTCATTGGGTTGGACCTGGATCTTCATGTGCGACATTGAACGGATAGAAATCCATAGAAGAATATGAACATAGAAACATTATTGTTTTCCGTAGCCCTTAGCCCGTTCAACTACCACTAATGGCGACTTTATGAGATTTAACGGTGATATAGTGGGATGAAGATATGGGTAACTATATATATATACATTATACATATACATATATATAGTAATATTATATATTCAATGGTTTTCACACCCTCTTATAATTCAACAGTTTGCGAACAGTATCATTGGCCATTTTCCAATAGGTAATACATTGCCCAGTGGGTTATGCATAGCCAACGCCAGGAACTTAGGCCAGGAACGGCCATGGATTTTCCATTGGTTTAAGGGAAAAATTAGCCTCTGGTTATGACTAACATAGCCATGGTATAGATGGCCCATAGAAATAGATGATTTGCCCAGCTAGAAACCTCCATTTATTTTGGGGATTTTCCATGGCTATGTTAAATAACCAGATGGTATTGGTTTAACCCCCATATTTTCCATGCAGAAAACCCCATGGTTTCCCGTGTCGATTTTCCCAAAACCAGCCTTCCAGGGCCGGGAAGTGGCGCGCAGCCGGCGCTTTAGGAGTTGGCGAAGACTGGATGGGGAAGATGTGGGAATATGATGGTTAGTGATTAATAATGGATAGTAATGGATAGTAATGATGGTTAATGATGGTTAATAATGGTTAATAATGGTTAATGATGGTTAATGATGGGAGGTTAATGATGGTTACCCTCTGGTAATGACTAACAGTTTGCGAACTGGAAAGATCCACCATGCTATTAATGGGTAAATCCACTATTTTAATGGCAATTCTTAATAGCTTTTTGTATGTTTACCAGAGGGTAAAGATCTAACTCTAGGGGGTGGAACCCATGGAACTTAGACCCAGTTCGGATGTGAAACTCCCTTGGATTGACTTTGCTGCCCCCATTGGATGTTTTTGGTGCTTTTTGTTGGGCTCAGCCAAAGGGAAAGCACATGATACTTGAGCAGTGGCTAACACCTTGTTGATGATTATGGGGGAGGGTATTCCCCTACCTATATGGGTATGGGTCAATACCTATAGATACCATTTTTAGTGGGATGAACATCCATTTACCAGCTATTCTGATGTTCACCAGGGGTACAAGGTTTTGACACACTGCCATATGAATTGGGGATCATTGTAATCCATTCTCGGAATTTTAGCCAACCACTCGGGTCCAGCACCAAGCCCAATGCTAGAGGATTGTCACACTCCAAGGTCTCGGAATAGAATTTCGAGGTTTCAAACCACACCCTTAAAATTCCGATGTTCGGAAAAATCTCCAGATTTTCGAAACAACGAAACGCCCAAAAAAAAGACCAACCCTCTGGTAAACTAACAGTTTGCTATTGAACATGGCCCAGTCGAAATCGTGGATTTTCCCATTAATAGCATGGTGGATCTTTCCATTGCAAAATGTTAGTTTACCAGAGGGTAACCATCATTAACCATTATTAATCATTATTGACCATTATTAACCATCATTAACCATTATTAACCATCATTAACCATTATTAACCATCATTAACCATTATTAACCATCATTAACCATTATTAATCATTATTAACCATTATTAACCATCATTAACCATTATTAATCATTATTAACCATTATTAACCATCATTAACCATTATTAACCATCATTAACCATTATTAATCATTACTAACCATTATTAACCATCATTAACCATTATTAATCATTATTAACCATTATTAACCATCATTAACCATCATTACTATCATTACTATGTTAGTTTACCAGAGGGAAACATTGGGAAGTCCACCAGCTGCGCAGCTGGAGGATTGCCGCGAATTGCATCACCAGCACTTTTGGAGCCATGGCAGGTTCCATGGCCGAAGATCACCGCTGGACTGTTAGAATCAAAGATGGGAGAACACGGTGGAACACCATGTTGAAGCGTCAAAGGACATGCGGACACATATCCGTACATACTATGTATATATATATATATTATATAATATAAATCTACTGGTTCCCCCAACTAAGACCTCCCAACATCCAGCGTTTCGCGTTTCAGCGATGGTCCTTTCCCACTGGTGGATGAATAGAACCCACGCGTTCACAATGGGGGAAGGTTTCGTGTGCCCCGAGCGGCATTCTGCCACAGAGGCGCGTCCGTTTAAAACGCTGCGGCAGTAAGGGGGGGTATAATCAGGATTGTTTAGTCATTCTAGTATCATAGCGCAACTATTCAAGTACGATCTGATGTACTGTATATCTATAATAATAATGGTATATATATATATTACATAATAATAACAAAGATAATAAAAACTATATATATATATACACAAATATGTATGTTTATATATATATATATACAAATAGTTAGTCACCAACAGCGGTGAAAAGTGGGTGGGGCTTTCTTGTTGGTCTAGTGGGGATGCCATGGGGTAACATTTAAGTCGTATCAGTCATATACCAATTCATAGTTAGATACATCACTACATCGAATTGCATCTATTTCCTTGGGCGAAACTCTAATTTTGCTGCTTATTTCAGTGTATGCAGAGATACACACGCTAGCCCAGATTTTTGGTTGCTCATCTGTTATGATAGTCCCACGTTCCAGAGTATCCGCCAGCAATCTCCAAAATTAATACGAATGTAATGATGAATGTCTTGATCACATCTACAACAAAGTGCATGGAATCATCTCGTGAACGTCTTCAAACTCGTGAGCGGTTTGCGTTGGAAACGTGTGACCTTCAGTACCCCTTAAACACCTTCACCTTTTCCCATTTGCTCATTTGGAGGTTTGTCTAACTTATACAGACACAACAAAAATTGCACAAGCTGTTATAGATAATCTCTGGCTGGGGTATCAAAAAAGGCAATTTTTCGGTGGTACCCACAAAACATAGATATGGAATGATATGGAACACCCAGCAATTGTAAATCGTTTTCGATCGGGAAACCCTTGGCTTTCCACATCGTTTTGTCAATGACCCCTCTGGTCAATCATGTTTCATGCTTCAATTAAATTCAACTTTTTCATGCTCTGTGAAAACCATCCCATGAAATATCAACGGGATATTCCCATCATATTCCTTGTCATCACCACAGGGGAATTCCCGTCGCCGTCAATGAAGGCGATCTTGAAGTGGCAAGCTGCCTCGGTGTTGCCGCGCGAGGTTGTGGCGAACGAGGAGGCGCGGGCGCGCGGCACGAAGCATCAGAATGATGCGGGCTTGGAAAAAGGGTCCCAGATTGTTAACCAAGAAAAATGGGCATTCAACCAACAAACATGTTTTTTTCCCTCATTTTCAGACACTTAAAATAATTATCGAAATCCGTCAAAAAATCCATGACAAATCATCAACATTCTATTAAGAGCACAGATCTTGGATTTTCCAGTCATCAAGACAATCATCGTTTTTCCGACTTAAACATCTTAAACCACCATTTCAATCTTTTCAAATCATCATTCAAGGCAGGAAGCCGCTGCCTTTTTAAACGCTTCGATCAAAACACCTCCCCCCAGCCTCCAGCGCTTCAAACCGCGCCGTAAAAACCGAGGCCTACCCCAGTTGCAAGGCCAACTTCTTCCGGCGCACGGACGGAGGCAAGGCACAGCCCAGGCGCATGCCTTCGGCCTTCGGAAGGGTTTTTTCATGGTTACCCGGCCTGGTAAACGTTGACATTTTTCGAACTGGAAAGATCCCAACATTGGAAAAAGTTCGGTAAATCAACGAACTAAATGGGAATTTCCAGTAGCTATCTGAATTATCTCAATTTTTTTCAGAGGGGAATGGATAGTCGATATCATTGATATCATGAGTAAGAACATCTTTTGAATGGCAATGGAAAACTACGATCCGGATATTATGGGACCATCATGGTGCCTATCCGTTGCCTAAATTTCTTCAGATATTCTCAGGATATTTCCTTGCTCCATTTGGGAACTTCAATCTTAGGGGAATATAACATAATATAACATCATTTTAAACAGAACTCCCTAAATCCCAACGAAGAATCCATTCGCTCTGGGCAACTTCTTAATCCAGTCAGCAAAACAGCATGTTTTTTGCATCATTTCTTGAGCTTTGGCTTGGATTTTGTGATCCACCTTCTGGTCATGGCCTGGAAAATCCACCATTTAGAACTTAGTTCCCATGGATTTTCCCAGCGGTCCAAGTGTCATTTCAGGGGATAAAATCCCAGATGTTCCTCCATGTTCCATGGATGTTCTGATTTTACCCTCTGGTAATTTAACATAGCTATTGAAAATGGCCATTTATAGTGGATTTTCCCCTTAAAAACGGTGATTTTCCATAGTTACGTTAGTTTACCAGAGGGTACCAGCCAAAAAAAAACCATCGGAAGTTCCAGGACCCTGGAAGTTCGGGGCGATGTGATGTTCGTCTTCAACGACCAGGCGGGCGGGCTGAAATCGCTGTGAAATCCCCAGAGATAAAAATCCCATTTTTGGTCCGGTTGACACATCACTGGAAACGGTGTTGATGTTTCTACTGGACATATGTAGTACTAATAGTAATTAATAATATAGTAAGTAAAAGTAACAATGATAAATGTAACTACATAAATGATAATAATCATCATCACAAGTAGAATAACAATAATAACAATATCATCAACAATAACAAGAACAAGAACAACAACAACAACGACAACAACAACAACAACAATGAAAATAAATAACAACAATAAGCAACTACCATTTTGGTAGCAGATGATCTCATTTCTGCTGGTTATGTATCTGAAATTACCAGAGTCGCCCAGGGGCAGATGGAGAAGCCTGTGATGCTTGAAGGCGCCCAGTGCAGTGTGGCGAGCGGATTGGTACCTGAAAATGGTGGTTTTAGGCCTATTTTTTCGGGAGATTTACCAACGATTTTGCCGGATATCATGGGATATAGTGGGATCTAACGGGATATGCAACTAAGAACACGATGTTCGGGTTGAACATGGTGGAATAACGCACCACAGTCGATGTAGGATGCATTCACATGTTGGTGTCGAACTGTCGAACTGGGGGTATTTAGGGTATTGAATGTTGCATATTGACCTTTTTTCATCCCCATTTCAGTACGTTAAAGCATGAGTTTCGACGGTGAACATGGGTCCCGCAAAATTGAGGTTGGCCTTGAAGGGGATAGGTTTTTTCACATAAAAGTACCGTTGATACTCCATTCCAAAGGCGTCAATCACCCATTGAATTCCAGTATTTGTGACATTTTGTGACATAGCTCTGGAAAATGGGTGAACATGGACCATTTATAGATCATTGACCTACGACTTTTCTGATTTCCCATGGTTTTTTGTTTCCTATCGGAGCTCAACTTCGACTTTCCGATTTGTTTCCCGCGGCTTTTTTTGTGACCTGGGAGGCTCCAACATGTTTGTGAACCTGGACAAGTACCCAGTGGTCTCCGTTTGGTGACTGGGCAAAAACCCAACAAATCCCTGGCTGGGTTTTTCGCATCGTGGAGCCGTGGAGCTTCGGGAAAATTCAAGGAACATCGTTTGGCACTGAAGAAATGGAGGTTTTCATATTTTTTATTGGGAAAATCCATGAAGATTTGGTAAGTGATGGGCAGTTTTACTATTTTTATATTTTTTATGGGTGACCATCAGTTACTTGGATGATCATGAGATTGATCGTTAGTGACGTTAGTGGTTAATAAGCCTGGTGTGAGTCAAAGTCCCCTAATTAAGGGATCCATTGATGACTGGGTTAGAACCCAACTTACTGAGCTACTAACTCAGATGATCCTCCAAGTAAGTTGCCTCTGGTAATCAAATGTGGCTAGCTGGGAAATCCCCGAACTAAATGGAGGTTTGAATGGGAAAATCAACGAAGTAAATGGGGCTGACCCGGATTACTCATCAGTTACCAAGTGGGAGAATCCAAGTGCTGGGACCAAAAAAGAAGTTGTACCATTGTACTGGATCAAACTGGGAGATACGTTCAGAAGTGGTCCTAAACCCGGCGGCTTTTCGTGTTGGGGTCGGATATCATGGCCGCCATGGCGGCCATGGCCTGGAAGATTCAGATCATCGTCCACCAGGTCCACATTTTCTGCCACAGCCACAGCCAATGTGCTGAGGGTGTACTCTGCAGTAGGTGAGGCACTGGCAGTTGTCAATGACTATGAGGCAAAACTGCCAAGGAAGTGAAATGATCTTTGGTAGCTCAGGTTGATGTCTCCAGATTTCGGAAGAAGTTATTGTTTGAAGATTCGTCTGACGAAATTCGAGATGAAGATGTCGTTGCTTCAAATTTCGTGCGCGTGAAACTGGTGATGTTGGAATTCTTGCACCTGAAGCTGAAGAAGATCAGATGATCAGATGATCAGCGGATGATCGTTTCATCCAGGGACAGTGACCTTGATACACTTGAAGCGTTGCTGCAGGGTCCGCAAACTCCTCATGTCATGGATGGAGGGGGCCGAACTCCGCTGCTTGAGACTGGAGTGGATTGTGCCGCCAGTGATGGAGAAACACCCTCATACATTGCAGCTCAGCAGGGCCATGTTGAAATGGTCTGATAAAGAGCTCCCTGATGCTGGATTGGACTATGACAAAGCTTCAACCCCAACTGGAGCAACGCAGTTGCGTATCGCAGGCGAGAAGGGCTATGTTTGAAGTGGTCCACTTGCTGCTTAAGACTGGAGTTGATTTTGACAAAGCCTTTATAAGTGGTGGTGCAACACCATTGGACATTGCAACTCAGAATAGCAATTTCCAAGTTGCGCGCTTGCTGCTTGAGGCTGGGGGGGATTATGATAAAGCCTTAGCCACCGAAGGTGAAACACGGTTGCACATGGCAGCTGGGAAGGGCCATCTCGAAGCGGTCCGCTTTTCCATTGAGTCAGGGGTTGACAGAAACAGCGCTGACGCAAACCATGGAGCAACACCACTGTACATGGCAGCTCAGAATGGTCACTGCGAAGTTGTGCGCTTTCTGCTTGAGACTGGAGTGGATTGTGACACAGCCTTAAGCACAACTGGCGCAACACCATTGCACAGCGCAGCTGAGAAGAGCCATCTTGGTGTGCCCCGCTTGGTGCTTGAGGCTCAAGCGGATTATGACACAGCCTTAACCACTTGAAGGCTGGCGGCAGGACATTCCCTTAGACCCCGGTTGTTAATATTTTCCATGCACACAGACAGCAAAAAGGGAACTGTGGGAAGTTTGATTATAAAGAGCCGGATGTTCAGTCTGTTGCAAAAGACAAGTCTGCCGAACTGGCTGCAACATTGTGGATTCTGCATGAACCAGTCAATATATTTGAGACCGCACCAGAAGCATCTAGAGATATCAGATATCTAGAGTAACCACCAAAAAGATCGTATTTCCAGGATGGTATAGATGATGTAATTTCATGCAATTTCCCAGGTTTCCAGCTTTCGGCATTGACCGTTGGGGGTTGCCGTCATTTTCTTGTGAACAAATCCAGGGGACCCTCCATTGACTTGTTGCCCAAGGATTGAGGGTGTGATGCAGGCACGGGATTTGGGGCTCTGGGAGTGGCTTCCCGTCAGTTCCATGGCGCCCAGCTATACCTCGATGAGTTTCCAGTCAGCCCATGGCTGATTTTGGGATGGTCAACTTGAGTCGCCATCTGAGCCATGGTCAATACTCATGGTTAATAACCATTAATAGGGGCTAGTCATCCAATGGTTCATAGGGAATTTTAATAACCATTATAAGGATCCTTATTATGGATGGGATGACCATCAACCATATAGTGAGTATTGACCATGGCTCATCTGACTGTGGAACTGTTGACGAAAGGCATCCCCTTCTCCCAGTTCTTCTCGACGAAACGTCCAGGCACGCATGTTCATGCAGACCGAAGAGGAGGCAGAGCGTTCGGGGCTCCCAAAGACGTCTTGTCTTGTTGGAAGTGGTGAATGGTGGTCCAAAAACAGATACCCTCTGGTTATTTAACATAGCCATGGGAAATGGCCCATTTATAGATGGTTTACCTATTAAAAATTGTGATTTTCCATGGCTATGTTAAATAACCAGAGGGTATTTATGGAAAGTATGGCTTTATCTGAAAATGGGGGTACCCCCGAAATTCCTATGCATCAAAAATGTCTATGATAGTCTATGACCATTTTCCCAGTTGAATCCAAGATTCCTGGTGAACGCAACGATTTGAATCGCCTCTCCCAAGGCAAAAAGCCTTTTCAATCCCAAGGTCGAAGTTCAACCAGCAGTTCGAACAGTTCGAAGTTTCAATTACCATCTGGTATCATCTGGTTATTTGTGCCATAGCCATGGAAAATCACCATTTTTAATAGGTAAACCATCTATTTCTATGGAACATTTATACCATGGCTATGTTAGTCATAACCAGAGGGTACCACTTCGATGGATTCTCCAGCTATAAATCTCCATTACATCATTGCAGAGGATTTTCCAGCCATGTTTGATGATCGGATATCCCAGTCATCCATATCCCGATGAAAAACCTCCATTTGTCCCATGAAATCACTATAAAATCCCATTGAATCCCAGTGAATCACTATAAAATCACTATAACATCTATAAAATCCCATGAAATCACTATAAAATCTCATGAAATCACTATAAAATCTCATGAAATCACTATAAAAGTTCAAGGTCCTCCAACGACTCAACTCATGGCGTTCCGGTTCCCTAACTCAAAAAACCCATCGACGGAGATTCTGAGGCTGGGGCAAAGCCTTGGAGAAGGCCAGCAAGTTGTCAGCGGAAGCGGAAGAGGCTGGGACCATGGTGTTTGATGTAAGTTACACCAACACCAATGGGATATTAATGGGATTTTAATGGGATTTTATAGTAATTCAACAGGATATTCATGGGATGGCTACCCTCTGGTAAACTAACATAGCTATGGAAAATCACCATAGAAATAGTGAGTTTTCCCATTAAACATGGTGATTTTCCATAGCAAACTGTTAGTTTACCAGAGGGTAAGTTACACCAACACCAATGTTTAATGGATGGTAACTGGTAATTGAATTTCAAAAAGTGACTTTTTTTATGGGATTTTATAGTGATTCAATGGGATATTCATGGGATGGCTACCCTCTAGTAAACGTTTACATAACGAACTGGAAAAAAAAACACAGTTTTCAATGGGTAAATCCACCATAAATGGTCATTTTCAACAGCTATGTCAAATTACCAGAGGGTAATGGCGCTTGGTGTTTATAACAAACTACCATGTTTTTCTACTGTTCAACCTATTCTTCAACGAGCTTCACTTCCAATTTAATATATGTTGGGGTGATGATGATTTTGCTCCCAGTGTTGAGCATATTACTTTCGGGAGGTTGAAGCCAGAAAGCAGATCATGATTTCGAAGAATGGATGGGACGGGACGGTGTCATGGAGATGATGGGAGAGTCGGAGGATCACGTGGGAAAGTTGGAATCGAAGTCTCAATTTTTTCGACACATTTTGAGTACCCAAATGGCACCTTTTTCATAATCTTCCTTCAACGCTCTGGATAGCCATGATGTCATTCATCCAGAGAGGAATCTCTGCCTTGCCTTTCTTGCTGGGTTCAAGATGGAGGTTTATGTTTAATACCCCAAATTAGATCATCATGATGATACTTATGGATAGTTTACATAGTCCAGTTCAATCTACACCCAACAGTGATCATGGTTAATCATGGTTAATCTATCATATCATCTGATCTTTTGATTTCTACTTGCTATCTTCCGCTAGAACGTCTTTTCTGGGCTGTTGATCATTGACCTGGGCATGACATCAGGTTGGTTTCCAACTCCGAGAACTAGGGTTTGTGATGTATATATCAATAGTTTATATTAGTTTATGGGGTTTATAGACCAACTAATATTTGGGGGGGGCACCACTTTGTAGGGATTCTGATGGAAAAGACAGCGGCCTGGTTTCTACTAACCACTTTGAGTCTGAGAGGCTGCAACGGCTCGAGAGAAGGTGGGTCCTGGGGGTTCCTGTTTGGATCAATACCAAATGAACCCAATACCCTCTGGTAAATTAACAGTTTGCTATGGAAAATCACCATTTTTAATGGGAAAATCCACTATAGATCACCATTTTCAATAGCTATGTTAAATTACCAGAGGGTAGTAGAAACCCTCTAGACTTGGTTGAAGGGACGAAAAAAACTACAGGCTTCACCCCGAGATTTTTGGGCTGAATTTCATGGGAAACGCCATGATTTCAACTCTAACAACAATCCTTCAACAAAATCTACTCTAGCACCTGAAAAGCACGAGGTCCCACATCAAGTTTGAAAAGGTAACTCCAAAAAGTACACCTTTGGAAATCCCTTTGAAGGTTTAAGGCGCCACTTTTGTGACTCAAAAGTGGAGGCATGGCCAAAGGGTGTCTGTTTTTGGTTACTGATAAACCATGGGATGTTCCAGGAAGTTTCAAGATAGGCGAAAAAACCATGGTTTCCCAAGTGAAATGGTCTGCAAATGGTGGGTTATATCTATGTTCTACTAAAGAGTTTGAAAGTCCTTGGGCGTTTCACCAAACATGTTAGTCCCAGCACCTGGGACTTTCTAAATTTTGTAGCCAAGTTGAACAAGCACCACTCTTTCGGGTATCAATGATTTTGGATCAAACATCGCCGAGGCTGAGAGTTGGGGAGCCGAGCCTGGGATGACTCGATGGGACACCTCGACACAGAATTCGCTCGGCAGAGTTTCAAAGGAGTTCTATAGAATTATATATATATATGATAATATATATATATGATAATATATATATATGTATGTATTGTATATGAAGATGTTTCAATAGATTTAGGTGATTAGTAACACTGACATATGACCATACATGATCATACTACTGTATGTTCATATATTGCCCTGCGAAATCAATCCGATTCTTTGACTCGGGGGACCGGTTGGTTGAGGTACCCAGGTACCCAGCCGAATTTCCTTTTCTACCATGAAGAACATGGCAGAAACAACCTCTTATATATATATATCTCATGTCTTTTTGCTGATGAAATTTGTCAATGATTGGTTGTTCAACCTTATGATGGTTAATCAATTTTGGCATGTTTATTTATCAAATACCCATTTTGAAACAACCTCGGATGAATCAAAAAAGCCTGGATGGAAGCTGCTCCAGTTGGTCGCCGAGTCGCCAAGGCAACTTGCGGCGCTCCATGTCGCTGACCTCCAACACATCTGTGAAGGCGGCCGGCTGGGTCGATGAGCATCCCACGGATTGTATCACAACCCCAAGGGAAAGGTCAAGTCGAAAAATCAGAGTCTCAGAATTAAACATCGTTGGTATTTTTTTTGGAGTCGAAAAACAATACTTGCTTCTTTTGGTATATGAACATATACTGGTTGGTGGTTTGGAACATTTTTTATTTTCTATTTCATATATGGGATGTCATCCTTGGCATTGACGAACTCATATTTTTCAGAGGGGTAGGTCAACCACCAACCAGTATAATTTGAAGCTTTTCCGAATCTCTTTTTTCTTCAGCGCCCACCTTGCGGCGGGGGCGCCCTGCCCTTCCAGGCACCCAAGAAGTTGTCCAGCGAGGTGCGGTGCGTCCTGGCCGTTGAACGCACCGGTGACGGTTCTTACGGTTCAGCGTTCGGATGGGATGCTATTGGACCATGAAAAAAGATGTTGACCATCATTAACCATCATTAATAAATATTATTAATGATTATTAACCATCATTAATGTGATTATTAATAATTGTCCATTATGAATGATTATTAATGTTCACCATCATTGCTGTAACCATTATAAATATCCATTAGAAATCCATCATTAACCATCATTAACATCCATTATTCATCACTAACCATCAAGCAACAATCTTTTTCATGAACCATATGATTATCCCATTAACCATCGAATATCCATTAGAAATCCATTCTTTGGTGAAACATCCATTGTGTCCACTCGATTTCTAACCATCATTATATAACCATTATTAACCATATGATTCTCCTGTTATCCATGAAATCTCCATTAGACATATCCATTAGAAATATCCATTAACCATTATTAAGCATCATTAATATCCATTATTGGTTAACCATCATTGGTTAACCATCATTAACCATCATTAACCATCATTGGTTAACCATCATTAACCATCATTACCCTCTGGTAATTTAAGAGTTTGCTATGGAAAATCACCATAGAAATAGTGAAATTTCCCATGAATAGCATGGTGATTTTCCAGTTCGTTATGTAAACGTTTACCAGAGGGTAGTATGGATTAGTGCCATTCACCATAGTATAGCAGAGATGATTTGATAGAAATGATTTCTGTTGGTTTAAGCAGTTTAACCATTGTCAGTCCCATTGGTGTTAGTTTGCCATGAAACCAGCCCATTTGAAAACAAGAAATATTGGCGACTAGAAAATCATTCCTGAAATCCAGTGGTGTAGACTTGTTTTTCGCATTAAGAGAGCCATAAATTGAGAGATTCCCCATGCCATCCCCTTACATACATATGTATATATATATATAGCTATACCAAATTCCTTATCATGCTCGCTCTATGACGCCCCCTTTTGTTGATAAAACCATTTATAGCCATTGCTTAAGAGCTTTGAAAGGGTGAATTCTCAATATCCCTACTTTGGTTGAAGTGATTGATGGGAACATTTGCAAGAATCCCGTACCCATGGTCCGTAGCCATGGTTTACAATCAAGATTTTCCAACCAATCCACCAATCCATGGGCAGTTTTTGTTGGAAAAACCATGAAAAACCCATGGATCCGCGATTTTTTACTTCACCAATTTCTGACATCACCAAGTTCTAGTGACCAAAATCCCAAAATCCAGTGACTGGTTGGTTGAGGATCCCACCTTTTTCTTGCTGAAAAAAAAAACGCGTTGGTGAAGTCTCCAGTTTCTCGAGGTCTCCAGTCCCGTTTTTTTGACACCGAAACCGAAGAATTCCGAAAAACTCCAGATTCACTTTGCTGCAGATTCCCAAAGAATTCCCGAAAAACGGATCCTGTAGTTCACCGCAGGTGAAATCCATAGTATTTCATGGATCATTTGGATCAACACCAGCCACTCGCCTCTGGCAAGATTCACCACAGTTTTAAGTTGGCATCCAACATATCCCATTGCTGGTTCTAGATAGTTTTTTGTTGTTGAACTCCACAATTTTGGTTATATGATATAAGCTATATCCCATGGTATCAGGGTAGCCAGGGTAGCACCATGGTATCGTGATGAAATCCCGACTTTTCGTAGCGAAGTTACAGCCAGCATATGATACCCCGTCATGGATCAAAAAAATGTTACATCTTCATGGTGAAAAAGTAGAGTTATATCCCCTTAACTCTCGTTAGGTATCAGCAAGCTTATAGCTTTATATCCTATTTTGTTACTATGAATGGTGAAAAAAAACTATAGTTATATCCCATTAACTATAGTTATATAAGTTGTGATATCCCATTAACTATAGTTAACCATGTTATATCCCATATTAACTACACTGCACTTATATCCCATTAACGATAGTGAAATGATAATGACATATATTGTAATATCCATGAAACCATATTAGATATTTTCATTAACCACCATATGATATCCCATCAACTGTAGTTATGTAGCCATTCAACCATCATTTCTATCCCGTCTGCAGCATTTTGGTTGCTGAAGCTAGGAGCACAGCGCTTCCCAGAAGGTGGCTCGGGCCCGTTCTCGACGCTTCATTGAGCAGTGCCCTGGTGGATTTCATGGGATTTCACCGATGAAACATGGTGGTTTCATGGGATTTAACCCATGAGAAATGGTGTTTCCTCTAGCAAACATGGTAATTTCAATGGGATATGATGTTTTTTTTCCTCCAAGGAATAGTTACACTCTGGTAAATTCACATAGACCTGGAAAAAAGGGGAAAACCAACTAATCTTTCAAGCCTATCTGACAGTGTCTATGTGAATTTACCGGAGGTATCATGTTAGTAAAGCAATAATGAACCATCCCCAAATTTTCCATAAATGGGTGGTAAAGAACCATTGACACATCGATTATGGATTGGTTTATCATTGCCTTACTAACATGGGTTGGTCGACCTGGTTTCCTTTGAGAGGAAAGCACTCTGGCTGATGATTAGTTTCGGGCTTATATTGAGGATTGTATGATCGATTGTGGGAATTTTTAGCAACCAGTAATTATAGTTTCACTGCTCAAGTGGCTCTGGAAATTCTTGGGCTTTTGTCAGGTTTTTGTTGAGTTGGGTGAAGATTCGAGGCATCTTGAGGGAGGACCAGGAATGAGATCCCATCAAAATCGTTTGTTTTTTTTTTGCCATTTGGGGTGTCGAAATTTTACATTTCTGGATCTTTTCCCAACACTTCTGGCGAGTACATGCTGCGAATTTTTGCGAAGATGGGAAGATGGTGATTGGGCCGAGCATGTGGAGTGAAGATGACAGAAATGCGGACATCTAACCCAGAAAACGATGTGCAAACAATGCACGAATGCGGGGATGTGACCAAAAAATAGGGATGCATGAGACCAACCATGCCAATTTCTGAACGTCACCAGAGCAGCCCCATGTTGGGAGTAGTGGGTTGGTTTTGGGGAGTCCCACTGTTAAAAGGCCCATTGGTTTCACCCCACTGTGGCCAGAACTTTCAGGCCATTCGCATAAGGTCTACTATTCTTGGGAGTTTTTGAAACCACAGATGACAATCCCATGTCCCCAACAATAAAAAGCAGCCCAGAAGATCATTTATTCTTTAATAAAGATGTTTTCAGTGTTAAAACGGTCAGTTTTCCTTGTTTTCCTTCAACAAAAAAACACGAAACTGCACAGTCTCCCAGCAACGTCAAAGCTGCTGGGGATGAGGGGCAGATCCCAACCCAGGTCAGCAGAAATGCCACCGGAGCAGGCGGTGGGCGCGTAGCTTAGCATAGCAGGCATGGCACGTGTCGCCGGTGTCGGTTGACATAAGATGTCAACGTATCCCCTGGACGTTTCACCTCGATGTCAGCACCCAAAAGATAGGAGTTGGTGAAACACTAAAGTAGTGGTAAATGACTTTTCAGTTTTTTTTGTACGTGTTGCTACAATATCGTATGATTTTTTCAAGGGCCTTGACGTTCCAGCTGTGAAACCTTCAGAGGTTTTTTGTGTGCGGCGGCGTTATTTTGAAGGCGCCTCCCAACTCTTGCAGCGATGTCATGAAATTGTCATCCCACGGATTTTTCGATGACAGCCAGCTTAAAATTTGCATGTGGCACTGGGACTCTACAACACCTCACGATTTTTCCAATTTGAATTTAGTATCATTTTCAAATGGATGCATTTAGTTCTCCACCAGCCCGCAAATAGATGGACAACGTGTTTGTACACATGAAAACCTTGCACAAAGATACAAGGCTAGATATTTTAAGGTAACTGCAGGAATCTATGAACAGCCTTGGCTGGGCCGTTTGTTGTTTTTTTTTGTGTTAGTCCACCAATGGGGAAACGGTAGTACAGGTAGCTGTGAATTATTCTATGCAACAAATTAAAGAATTCTATGCAAACTCAGGGAATATACCTATTCCAGACTTGGATCATTCGAACATCTACAAGAACCTGATAAATGTGAGGTGCAAAGAGGCTACTTCCTATAGATTTTCCATTCAATCCATTGTTTTCGACAGCAGGAGTCGTGAGCCTCGCCGGTTTTCCTCGCATCTCCCGATCCGTCTTCGGCGGCGTCGTCCAAACTGAAGGGCTTGGCGGCTGCCCTCCGTTCGCACTGCCTGGGGGTGGATCTTTTCAACGGCTTGCAATGTGGGTATGGATCAATACCTATTAATACAATTTTTAATGGGATGAACATCCATTTACCAGCTATTTTGATGTTCACGAGGGGTACAAGGTTTTGACACACTGCCATGTATTACTTACTTGTTCTTAGTAGGGAATTTTCGGGAATGATCCACTGGCTAACCATCAATTTCATCATCCCAGCAACCCCCAGCAACCCATCCATTGCCTACGTTTAGCACCAATAAGATGGGAATGGGTCAGAAACCTATCACTGCCCATCCATTCACCAACTGTTTTGACATGTTTTGATCCATAACTCCATAACCATAGGAACTTTCGCCCTACAAACATTGGGGTTGGGAAATTTTCAAGGGTACTTCGCTGGCATCTAAGGCTAGGGGCGAAAAGGGGATCATGTCATGCTCCGAATATGGGATTTCAACCATCCCCAATTGTGTGTTTATAGCGGTGAATCCCACATGAATCCACTTAAATCATTGCGAAACTTCTGGATACTTCGCAGCTTTGGGCAGTGTGCTCCGACCATGTGGCGGAGATTTTTGCACACCGCGGCTTTGGGCGGTTGGCGTTGTGGGAGCGATGGCATTTGACGCCGACCGTTTTGGGTGCCCCCATGGAAGTAAACGTCCATTCAATTTACAACAGATGGCTTTCTACGCTCAGGCCTTTTTTTTTTCGGCGTTCGTTTCTGCTCTTCGCAGCCCACGCGTTGTGACACGAGCTTCTTTCATGGGTGCATTCTAAGAATGCCGCCGATTGATGGAGTTAGGTGTCAAGACCTAGCATCTCGCCAACGAAAAAGGCGCACAAGATCAGTTCACGGGAGGCTGATTCCTGAAGCGAAGTCACATTGGGAAAGGGCTAGGGTGGATTTTCCAAATGCACTTCGACAAAACATCAGAATGTTGCGGTTTACTTTTTTACACATCGACATAGGACAGGACTTCAATTGGAAACTCTGAGTTACCATTTTTTTTAAATCATCCCAGTGAGGGTTCGGTTCTCCCAATCCTTTAGTTTGGAAGACTGGGCTATTTTCCATGTCGGTGATTTGTCGGTGATTTTCACCACCTTTGGTAATCTAGCACAGCCATGGATAATGGCCATGGAAATAAGAGGTAAAGCATCTACAGGCCATTTTCCATAGCAAAGTTAAATTACTAGAGGGTAGCCTCTATTCAAATACGTCATGGAGGCCGCAAACTTTTCGTTCAACATTTTTGGGATGCTTGATATGGGGTCCCAAAATGGTCCCCAAAAACAAACGGCTGGTGGAATACGTCAAGATACGTCAAGAAACTGACTTAAAATGTTATCGAACTCCTTGGCTCATTTCATCTAACATTCGAATATGTTTAATGCCATATGTCATTTACCCTCTGGTAAACGTTTACATAGCTAGGGAAAATGGCCCAGTCGAAATAGTGGATTTACCCATTAAACATGGGTGGATTTTCCATAGTTACGTTAGTTTTCCAGAGGACCAGAGGGTACTGGAAATCAAAAAGGGGTCATCTTCACCAACCTGGATCCGATGCACTGAGAAGAGGCTACCGGGTACCCTGAAAAATCCTTATCGGGGGCGATCATGATTTTCCGCACTCAAATTTCAATAAAGTAGGGGTATCCCAAATCTTCATATTTTTGCTTAGATATCCCTCTGTATCCCATTGAATATGACATACCAATGGCCCAATGGCCATTGAATGGGAAAACTTCTGCAGCCGGCTCCAGTTCTTCTGTTCGACTCCGGGATGTTCAGGCGTTTTGCCGGGCTTTCTGGCATCACGTTTGTGAGCCAAAAACCATCACGAATTTTCCGGTTCAATCAGCATTCTTATGGCTTTGATCCCAATTTCTTGTTGGTAAAACCCAAGTTCTGTGGCTTCAAGTCCCTCCCATCCCTCCATGACTGAGCTATCCGGTGAAGGGGATGAGCTTAAACCATCTACAAACCATCATTTCTGGACGATATCCACAGTTTTGATCACCGAGAGAAAGTGACATCGCTTCAATGCCCTGTTTGATCCCCTGATCCTGAAAAATGACACCTTTTTGATGGTGAAAAATTCCCCATGGTTTGAGTCAGCAGCTTCACGTTTTCCGGGTGAAATCCATGTCAGGCGAGAGGAGCCTGTGTCGCAATTGCCAGGCGAGCCTGAGGGAGACGTGCTGCAGGGTATTAGGTAAAAATCAGCAAAGGGGTAGAACAATGGGACAATCGGATTTTTCATGGATTCCTCCAAAAGACGGAGGGTATACAGGGGGAAATGGATGATACACGCATCAAATGAGGTGAGGTCCCCTATTTCGAGACAGACCTATTTGATGGTCTATTTTCAGAGCACCTCACTCCTTTGATTGTTTTGAATGTTAAATTGAAAGCAAGGCCGCCTTCCCAATCGCACTTTTCTCCGGTTTGGCATCGATTTCGGACGGCAAAGACATTTTTGGAAAATGTTGGATTTCGGCATTTTTTTTCAATCATCAAAATAGGGGCATTTTAAACATCCACCACAGCATCCCCCGCCTCGGCCTGCTGCTGCTGGTCATAATTTTGACACAACAATTCCTGGTCGCTCCAGGCCAGATGCTCGGGAGTGGATTGTCCAATCCAAGCACCTCGGGGGTGCAACTTTAGAAATTCGGGAGGGCCCTGAGTTCCTATGGCTATCTGTTAGAGTTTTCTGGCTGGTGAAATTTGGGGCAGCCTATGTTTTTTGCAGACGATACCACTGAGGTGATTGGAATGATGGTTGGTAGCTGTTTAGTATTACCCTCTGGTAAACTAACATAGCTATGGAAAATCACTATTTTTAATGGGTAAATCCACTATAAATGGCCATTTTCAATAGCTATGTTAGTTTACCAGAGGGTATTATAAGGGCATCAGCCAAGAAAAAGCTGGAATTGATCCACAAGCTATTTTGATTGATGGGTGTAGGGTGGGGATCCATGGAAAATGGTCGACCTGTGCCTGCCGCCAGAAAACATTTGAGATTTGGGGACGACATAATTGTGGCATCGTTTTTGGGATCTGAAAGCATCATCCCAGAGTTTTCAAACCAGTTCCATTCTATTGGAAATCAGAGAAAAACCGTCTGGACCATAGGTTTGGTCCGTTCAACTAACATAACTTGGATAACTTGGCGGTTTTTGTTGCCGTTTTTTTTTCCCCGCATTCGAAGCCCCCATCCCCTTTTCGAAGCCATGACCTTGATCGACTGGATCACGAAGGTCCGGATTATAGCGCATCCACCGGCTTGTCTGGATTTCCCAGTGCCTTGGCGCCTGATGTTGGAGCGGTGCTGGTGCCCTGGGATGCCTCTTGTCCCACTATGTCCCAGTTTGAAGCATTTTTTGGTTGCTTGTAATCATTCCCGCAAGACAACTCTGGGTAGATTATAAATCCTGAAGCCACTATTTTCTCGAGCGAAATATTCACATTTATTTGCTCACGTCCCAAATCGTGCCTTTTTCCTAAAGGCAACGTCAATGATTGTTCATGCTTACCCCCCATCAAATTGAAATAGAAATGGAAAACACCATGATTGCCAAAGAGACATCATCTGCAAATTATGGTATTTCCATATTCCATATCTATGTTAATTTACTGAAGGGTAAATTCCATCAGATGCCTTTGTGTCAGAGCCCGGTTTCAAAAATCATGTCCACCATTCAACTGTCCATAAATTGGGGTCTCTTCAATTTATGGGAACTTCAGGAATCTTCAGGACCCTAAAATGGAGGTACTGTACCATATAAGGCCATATTTTGATATATTTTGTAGGGCACATAGTCCTTACATCGCCCTTAGGCCACCGGTATCAAGCACCTACCTAGGTGTCCGCGACAGAAGCCTCTCGCCCGGCTTGAAGCTTCAGAGCAGGGAGACGCAGATTTTGTTCACGAGTCGTGAAATTTTTTCGATCCCCAAAAAAGGGATAGACCAGTATCCAACGAAGATATCATCCATCATCATCCACTATTTAGGTCTAAATCCACTATTTATATATATGGTGAGTGATATCTATGATATCATAATTATATCATCCACTATATTTATATATGCTGAGTGACTATTTTGGTCATATCTCATCCACAATCGCCCAGTGGCCCAGGTCCGGACGCGACGATCAGTTCCCCAAAACCCAGCTATGGTACCTCGGTCGGGCTGGTGTTTCCAATGACTTTTCGGCCGGAAAACTGGAAACATAGAAGACCAATTTCTACCAAGTGTACCTTAAACACATTTAAATACCTCATATAGATTCAACAAAAAGTACCTCATCTAATATTTAATGATACCTCATATAAATTGTCGCAAAAAACTGAGGAAATGCGATGTGATTTTGCAGATTTGCATGACAAAAACGTTGGTGGCAAACCGAACCTTTTGGATCTGGGATCTTAGGAGGTGCCTTTCGTGATAGTCCTTGGAGAATTCGCTTCTGAGAAAAAACCATGAGGAACTATATTTGGGCATTAAAATACACCGGCATAGACCCCAGATAGAAAAGATTTCAGAAACGCTACTTCGCCACCGCAGTCTGGACAGCACCCTGCAGAGGACCCTGCAGAGCACCCTGCACAGCACTTTTGCCAGACTTCGCCACCCCAGTCTCTGCACAGCACCCTGCACAGCAGCACCGTGCACAGCACCCTTCGCCACCGCAGCACAGCACCCTGCACAGCACCCTTCACTACCCTTCACAGCACCGTGCACAGCACCTTTGCCAGACTTCGCCACCGCAGTCTGGACAGCACCCTGCACAGCACCCTGCGCAGCACCCTGCACAGCACCTTTGCCAGACTTCGCTGGGCAGCACCCTGCACAGCACCCTGCGCAGCACCCTGCACAGCACCTTTGCCAGACTTCGCCACCGCAGTCTGGACAGCACGCAGGCTCAAAAGTTCGCCACCGAAGACCCCACCTTTGAGAAGTAAGAACCCCTATATAGCTTGCCATCTATCTGGGGAAAAACCAGGGGTTCCGGCAAGTTTTTCCATAAACCAATCCATTGGTAGTCGGCTCAGAACCCCATGCACCAGTTGCCGAATTCGGACGATCCTCCCCTGCCATTTGGAGGTTGGATTCAGTGGTTAAGACCCCATGTATCGAACACCCTGAAAAATCATGGGCAGTCAACGTGGTAACGTCCCATTCTTGTTGCGTTTTTGCGGCTGCGCCCGGACCATCCCGCAACGTGGCTGAGGAAGCTTTGGATATGGCGCGGCAGGGGCACCCAGGAGTGTGACAGGGACCAACATTTGAGATGGTAATTCTGCGGAAAGTCCACTTTTTTGGGGTGTCCATGCAGGACGTTTTTACAGCCTCGAAGTTGACAGCAAGGTTTCCTTTTTTAAATCTCTGCATGCACATCAATCAGGCCGGTTACTAGAGGTTTTCCGGTGGGGTACGATGAATCATGGCTTTACCCCAATAGAAAGCTTAAGCCACAGAGCCACTCCATGATCTTGAAAAACGCTGTCACAGACTCCGGGCTCCTTGTCTCCCAGAAGCATGACCGGAGTGGGACAGGAGCCATGAGACGGGGTAATGGGAGCACAGATGGCCTAAAGTCCAATCATCGTTTTCATCATGTTCCTTATTGAAATAGCGGATCACTCCAGAATCGACATCTACAAACTACAGTAAAACATGGTTACGGTGCCTGTCGAAGTGCGGCGCTTTCAGCGTTTCTGAAAGTAGACAATCGTCACTCTTTTTTTCATCTTCATGCGAGACGCCATAGTCCAACTCTGCTGTTGTGCTTTTCACAAAGCTTTCCTAACTGGTCCCATAGGGAGTAGCCAGGAGCCAACACTTCGTGCAACCATTGCCATATTAGGCAATGTCTCATCAAGGCAGCTGTTGTTCCATGCACATTTAATTACCTTGAAGAGAGAGTCTTTGGGATATATGATTTCATATTATCCCATGTTCGGTCAAGGACCTGTGTGCCTGCTACGCGTGATCCTTTGGATCCATTTGGGACCATTTTTGTAAATTGTCCATCTTTGTGGCTCACATGTTCCTCTCGACAGGAACGTATCAGGAACGTCTTGCAAGTTACTGGGCGAAGATGTTACAACGTATCAGGAACGTCTTGCAAGTTACTGGGCGAAGATGTTACAACGTATCAGGAACGTCTTGCAAGTTACTGGACGAAGATGCTACAACGTATCAGGAACGTCTTGCAAGTTACTGGACGAAGATGTTACAACGTATCAGGAACGTCTTGCAAGTTACTGGACGAAGATGTTACAACGTATCAGGAACGTCTTGCAAGTTACTGGACGAAGATGTTACAACGTATCAGGAACGTCTTGCAAGTTACTGGACGAAGATGCTACAACGTATCAGGAACGTCTTGCAAGTTACTGGACGAAGATGTTACAACGTATCAGGAACGTCTTGCAAGTTACTGGACGAAGATGTTACGACGTATCAGGAAATCATTATTGACAACGCAGACCACAGGATGCTATTACACCCCCCCAACCCCCCCCAACCCCCCCCCCCCCAAAAAAAAAGACAATGCACAAAAGTGACAACAGTCCCGCCCCTCGAGGGGCGCCGTCACCTAAAACATCTACAATCTACAGTGAGACATTATTGGCAAAAGTTGAAACCATGGATTTTGGAAGGCATGGCCCATTTAGTTCGATATTTTTACATTGATTTACGACAAAACAACATGGTGATTTACTTGCAGCTCTTGAATATTTGGATAACTTGATATTCACCATGAGACACTGTATATATATATATACAATATTATATACATATATAGTCATATATATATAGACAATAGTATATCATGTACACTTCATACATATTTATATAGTGTGTACATATATATATAAATGTAACCTTGCTATATTGGGTGTGACTTACCCAGTTTACTTGATACCCATCGGCAATCCCGTTACAAACCATTATTAACAACTCATTACTAACAACTCATTACTAACCATTATTTGCCATTGAATATACAGTAGATATTCCATTATATATCCAATAGGTATCCATTGGAAATCCATTATTATTTGGTTAAACATCCATTGTGTTTCCATTAGATATCCATTATTCATCACTAACCATCAACCAACAATCTTTATCATGAACCATATGATTATCTCATTAATCATCGAAGATCCATTAAAAATCCATTCTTTGGCGAACCATCCATTGTGTTTACCCGATTTCTAACCATCATTAACCATTATTAACCATATGATTCCCCCGTTATCCATGAAATCTCCATTAGAAATATCCATTAGAAATATCCATTAACCATTATTAAGCATCGTGAATATCCATTACTATCCATTATTAATCACTAACCATCATTGGTTAACCATCATTAACCACCATGGAACGCCAGGAGGGCGCCACAGAGGTGCAGCGCCGCGCCGCGGAGTGGGAGCGGCAGATCGAGCACCTGGACGCCAAGGTGAGCATGGCATCCATGGGATTCCTATGGAAATCTTAGGGAAAATGATGGAAAATGATGGAACATCCAAGGGAAAATAATGGAAAATGATGGTTAATGATGGAAAATGATGAGAAATCCTAGGGAAAATGATGGAAAATGATGGAACATGATGTAAGATCCTATGGAAATTCCTATGGAAAATTTGATGGAACATGATGGGAAAGCGTGAAGAAACCAAGAAGAAAGGGTTCCCACATGATTTGCACTGCTTTCTCTACCATGTTTTATTTGAAATCATGATTGTAACATGATTCATACCAAAAAATATGGGGAATCAAAACAAATGTTTTTTTTGGGGAGTTTATAGACAGCAAGAAACATATGGGACATGGTTCCGAAACATCAAAAAACCCATGGGATTTGATGATTTGATCATCTTCTTAATCTCGATTACCAATAGCCAGTTTTCGCCTTGTTTTTTTTCTATTGGATTCATTTCAATATCTATCTTGATATTCCTAAAACAACTCATAAATATCTAGTAATAATATTAGTTTCATGTCTCCTTGGTTTAGTATTATTTAACGCCAGGGTTACCATGGCAGGAACTCGAGATCCATCAGACGCAACTTCGTCTCATCCGGGAACAGCTCGGAAACCCGAAACGGCAGCGTTGGAAGCGTTGGAAGCGTTGGAAGCCTTGTCACTTGGGGGTTTCCTAGAATAGGGTAGCCCTAATCATCCATTTTGGGGTATCCCCATTCTAAAGTCTTTAATACTTATTTAAATGGATTTAATAGGTTTCCCTAAAATAGGGTTTCATAGGATTTTCCACGATATAAACCATCCATTTTATGGTGTATCCCCATGACCAGTGGGAACCTCCCACTTGTTAACATCAAAAATCCATCCATCCTTAGACTCTTAAGAGATCCATATTTAAATATATATATTCATCATCCATCTTAGCCGAGTTGATTTTCCCAACAAAACTGAGGATTCTCATCAGATTGGTTTGAGGGAAGATTGAAACTGGAAATTATGGTTAAATATCCCATTTATATCCCATTCAATCACATAAAAATCAGATTCAATCACTATAAAATCCTCTTTAATCACAGTTTTCATTAAATCATCATTTCCCATCATTTCCCATGAAATCATGATCAAAATGATCAAAATGATCAAATCCCCATTGGTTTATCGAAGGATTCGTATACCGACTCCGAAGATGCGCGTCACCGAGGACGGCGGCCTTTCGTTCCGACTTCGCGGCGCTGCGGAAGGAGCTCCAGGACATGAAGGCGGCTGAGATTTTCGAAGGAGAAACTCATGGTGGAGCCGTGGGAAAAGCCATGGGAAATGAATGGAAGATACACCTGGGATACACCTGGTTGGGGATAATTTTTGACTATCCCGTGATATCCCAGAGGTTGATGTTGCTGGGATAATATGGTGGGATTTAAGACTTAAGACGTGCTATTTGGGATGATTTGCAGCTGATGTTCATGTCTATTTGCAAGGGATTTTTTGATTTTTTGATTGGGTTTAGGTGGATTGACGAGGATTGTCAACTGCGTTTCAGTGGACTTACGTGGATTTTGGCCAGATTGAAGTGGGATTTTAACCAACAAGAACTCGTTTTTTTTTCACACGAATCCAACAGAAAATGCACATTTCAGTGGTCGATCCGATGTCAGCCGCCAAGGCCTCCGTTCAACAACAGCAGGCCAACAGCCAGGAGCAAAACGCCAGGTGTGGGTGGGGGGGTGTCTGGGAGAGATCTGGATCTGGAAGCTCCGAAAATTGGGGGAGAATAACCGTAGTCATGGGGGTAGTCCTTCGTTTGGATGGTTTATTTCATGGAGAATCCGAGAATCCTATGATGGATGATGGTACCGGGGTACCCCTATATATAGTGAAGTCGAATCATCGGTGCTCTTTTTGGGCTCGTGGAAACCAGACATAGCCGATTCTCTGTAGATACCCTCTGGTTATGACTAACATAGCCATGGTATAGATGGCCCATAGAAATAGATGGTTTACCTATTAATAGCATGGTGGATCTTTCCATGGCTATGTTAAACATAACCAGATGGTATCTACTTTTTTTTCCTATAACAACAATCTCCCCTTTGGGAATCAAGCTGGAAACTTGCCCATTTCAATGCCCATTTCATGGAGAATTTCCTAGTTCGCCATGTTTGTTGAAAAGGGATTTGCCGCCAGGTGAGATTGAGGCCACTCATTCAAAACTCGTCTGAAGATGTCTGAAATTGTTGACAATGGTTGTTTGAAACAAGAGAGAAAAAGGACATGACCACAGATTTTCATCGATTTTCTATCCTGGAAATTTTGGAACGCAAAATTCACTTCCGGAAAGTTCCGGAACTGGGGAATGGCCCGGATTTGAAGTATCATGAACTCTGCACCATATTTTTGGGATAACTTCAAAAACACATCAAAGCAGCTTTGGTTGGTGGTTTGGATCATGACTTTTATTTTCCATTTCATATGTAGGATGTCATCCTTCCCATTGACGAACTCCATCATTCTTCAAGATGGTTATTGCACGACCAACCAGTATTATTATTAACCATCATTAACCATCATTAACCATCATTAACCATCATTAACCATTATTAACCATGGAAATCCCATTAAATCCCATTAAATCCCATTAAATCCCATTAAATCCCATTAAATCCCATTAAATCCCATTAAATCCCATCAGTTAGTTACCATCAGAACCCACCATTTTTGGGTCCGAACACCTTGATCCACCCACATTCGCCGCGTCGCCGGGTCGCCGTCGCAGGTGGGACGAGCTGATCACCAAGGAGAAGCAGGTGGTGAATTCATTGGGAAACCATGGTGGATGTAGGGGATGAAACCAGATAAAAAAGGAACCATACCATGGGGGTGCTTACCCTCTGGTAAACGTTCACATAACTATGGAAAGATCCACCATGCTATTTTCATGGGAAAATCCACTATTTCGACTGGGCCATTTTCAATAGCTTTTTGCATGTTTACCAGAGGGTAATATGGATGGGGGATGGGATGATTTTCCGACTTCAAATCTGGATTGATGTATAGGGTAGGAGTTTGTTACATGCTCAGTGAACGTGATATCATGAATGGAGATATCATGATAACTACGTCTAAAAAAGTGCAAACATAGGGAGATGACACGATTTATCCAATTTCAATTTGATGGAACATTTCAGGATCTTAAAATAGATAACGAGTCGGTGAGTCGATCCTGTATTTATGTTTCCCCTGGTTGATTCAAGTTAGGGTGTACCATCTTTCATAGATGAATATGCGGAAAACTTGCGTATCGTCGTGATGTTTATGTAAAATCGGTCAGTCCTCCACAATGCAGAGAATTTCGCCAGGTGAAGTGTCAACTGTGGATGAGAGTACCCTCTGGTGAACTAACATAGCAATGGAAAATCACCATTTTTCATGGGAAAATCCACTATTTCTATGGCCATTTTCCATTGCTATGTTAGTTCACCAGAGGGTAAGGTTGAATTCAGCGATGAATTCTGCGGCTAAAGTGGAATTATCCTCAGTGTCCTCCCACATTTCCATACTTTTTCACCATCGAATGTGGGTAATACAATGCCATAACCCACCCATGACTGGGAATGGTAAACATACCACCTATAAAAATGGTGATGATTGGGGGATGGTGCTTAAATATTTTCTATTACTATAGTAATAACAATAGTGTGTTATATTACCATTATATGTGTTATTAGAAACTATTGTCATTATAATATTACTATACATAGTATTATATACTATAATGGTAATAATACCTTTTTTTAACCATAGTAATATGGTGCAAATGGCAATTGTTTTGCCCACAATCCATCGATTCGGACATCATGATGACACCATGAGGTGACCTAAAACCATTCGTGGGACGGTCTCAGTTCTTCTTGAATGGAATGATTCCAATCTACGGTTCAAAATATAATATATATATATAAATAGAGAGATAATATACATAATATATATATATCTATATTTGTATATTAAATCTATTTCTTACTAAACCCGATCTAAAGTGGGGGTGTAGCCCAAAGGCAAAGATTGGTGCCGCAGGACAACGAGACCCGGATCTCCAATTTGGAGCGGGACACGCCACTGGGTTTTGACCAAAAACCGTGGGGATTGAACCCAACAAAAAGTGGCATTTTGAGGAGCGGAAATGAGGATTTTAAGGCGCACGTAGTTTTGAAGCAGCCAACATGGTGTTATATATATATAGAGATGTATACATAAGGAATCAAAGATGGAGAGAGCCGAGGAGGCAGATGATCTCTGAACAATTTCCAGCAACCTCTGTTGCGACCAAACCAAATAACTTCGCTGGTTTATATTGGGGGGAACCACCACTTCGAGAGCCTTAAACCTGTTTTGAGATCCATTGCAAACAATCCAGACGGTTGAGCTAGATTCTGCACCAAGTTCCCGTTCCCCCAAAATGATAGGGTTCTTTTAGTTTGCACGGCCTATTTTGGGATGTCTTTTCTGTTCTCTTGAAGCTTTGAGACTCTATCCACGTTTTGGACCTGAAACTCGATTTCATTCTTGAATTTGAACGGTATATCATCTCCATTCATCTCCACTATCTTACCATGGGATCCATGGGCAGAAAAAGAGCCAACTGGTTGCCAGTTCTTGCCCTAGCTTTCCCAGTTGTTGAACTCATCCAACACCTTCAGGCACTGAAACCACCAACAGACGTCCATTCCGAGGCAACGGCTGCGCGATGACACACAACTGTTGAAGCGCGAGCTGCGTGGGGGTCCCTGGGGTCCCTGGGGTCCCTGGTCGCGCAAGCGCGATCTTTGGCGCGTTGGCTTTGTCTGAACGATACCTCTGAATCCAATGGTTTATCATCATCTATGAACAAAAATGCTATTTTGAGGGTATACCGGTATACCCTATTCTCAGACAGATCCATATGATTCCATATGTTCATATTTCTTCCGGTTTTTCTTTCCATTTTGCTTTGAGTCTGGTGGTTTTGGCCCATTTTCAGGTGGCCAGGACATTTCGAGCCTCCTGCAGGCCGTCCGGCGCGGAAATCCCACAGCAATGATGGTCAGCAATGAAAACACCACCGGAAACATCGCCAACATGTCGGGTCTATGTGAAATATCATGACTTCAAAGGAATCACATCATCTTACTACATCCTTTTCTTTAGGATCTTCATGGGTCAAAATCGAAGCGGACACCGCCCCGAAAACCGAAAAACGCCCGAGCCTTCGTCGCCTTCGTCAGACCCACGATGCGGATCTGAAAAGTTTGAAAGACGCGCATAGTGACCTGAAGAGCGCGCAGAGTGCCAAAGATCAGTGCCTTGACAACAAAAATTTGGATTTCAGCCCTAAAATTTGGAATTTTCACCCAATGCTGTTGCTTTGTGAGTTTAGTGTTGTTTTTTTTGTAATCAACGGAAATCTAACCATTGAGAATGAGGTTTGACGAAAACTGGGATCAAACCAATGAAAACGGTTGGACAAAAAATGTGTTGCAAATCAGAAAAGCACATGTAGGATAGTCGAGATGATGAAAATGAAGTTGAACATAGTTGAACCATATGGATTTAAGCATTGAACAATGGGGGTCCACGTGGTTTTGCCAATGGGGTTTACCAAGCCTGTTCTTATTGGGCCAGGGGTTTGGGGTGTGATCAGCGGAGGCACCATGCGTCGCTTCAACAGCGGGTGGATTACTTGGAAAAGATCATGGGCGACTCGGCGGACAAGCACACGGCTCACATGAAGAAGCTGGAGGCAGGTGTCTTTGCTGAGAAAAAAAAACCATGAAAACTGGTGCTGGTCTCCAGTGATACTGGGATGATGCTGAACTATCTACTGTATTATATATATATACACGTATACATAAACATGGACACTTTTTTTGTAGGCAGAATAAGCTACTTTAGCTACTTTTGACCCAAGAAATATTATGCATCATTTTTTCCCTGATTCGCCATCCTGGTTTCGACTCTGCAAAAAAAGCAGCTACAACTGCAGCTCTCCGGCCATGCTCATTGAAAATATAGACCTGATCCTCCCCTTGATCATCAATCTATCTTAAAGACTGGTTTCCTTTGAAGAACGCTCAATGTTCCCTTTTGAAACACATGGAAAAACCCTTAGGTTTTTCCTTTGGACATATATTAATAATGGTGTTGTCCTAAGGTTTCCCTTGACCCCCATGGTTTTCTCTCACCAGGAGCTGCAGAGCCATAGCGAGGATCACAAAGGTCGACACGCAGAGATGGCTGAGCACGTGACCCGCCTCAAGCAGGAGAAGGTCGTCTTGGGGATGATGGGGTCGTGACGTGGCCATGTAATCATTGTTCATAGGGCTTACATAATTATAAACCACAGGTGGTGGATGATTTCATGAGTTTTGTTTTCTAATTTTCATAATATTTTTTGGGGGTTGAAGTATATGTGTAACTATCAAATATATGGAGATGTAATTGATAAATGGTGCTTGACGGATGATTGGCTCGGGTCTTTTCATGTTTTTTTCACCTGGTGATGCATAAACTGCTGGTTTTGCCCTGGGAAAAGCTATGGCTGAAACCATGGCTTGTTAATAAACCAATCCAATGAGGTGAAGATGAAAATAGTTCTGTGCCAAACAGTTTCCTGACCTATTGCTTCTGGTCATATTGCCAAACTTGCGTCATTCACTTGTGTATCCGGCTCTTGACTCTGAGATTCAGGTCAGCTGATGGTTGAGTTGTTTTTGTTTCTCCCCAAGTATTCAATACCCCTAAGAGCTCATGGGATAACGTGATACCCCCGGTGACTGGGACTGGATTTGCGCATGGATAAAGCTCAATTATTGGATGGCTTCGCAAATCGGAAGTGTCAGCCAGGAGTCACTCTCCAAGCGTCATGCCAGCTTTGAGGAACTTGGATTCTGCTGGGGATTGAAACATGGATTTCACCATGGAATTCTGATAAACCATGAAACACCATGAACATTCACCGAATTCGACAGTTAGATTGAAGTCTTGCGACCATTTCGTTGAGATCCGACGCTTTTCACGAAAATTGTGACCTCTTTCGAAACTGGCAGAATCCAGCACGCACATCTGGCAGAATCCTGGAAGTTCGTCGCCATTGGGAACTGGGTCCCGACTCGGTTTACGATTTTTTTGAACTCGACTATTTTGACTAGTTCATGATGATATGGATTGATACGGTATGGAAAAGCTAGTTGAACTAGTTGAACTAGACGAACTAGCAAAAAGAGTGAGTATGGCACCCATTTGGCACTTATGGCACTTATGGCACTTATGGCACTTATGGCACTTATGACACCCATTTTTCCCCCTTTTCCAAACTTTGTCGGTGAGGAACGCATGCGATTCCTGGAGCAAAGCCTGGGCGATTCTGCGGATCGACATCATAAGGCCCCATCGATCCATCGTTGGTCGGTCGGTCCATGGGGGTAACCCGCCATTTTTGGAGGGCCATGGGTCTAGCATGGATGAAATGGTTAAAACACGGTTAGAAAAAACTGATGTTTTTTTTTTTAAATACATATTTTAATGTGAAACATGGATGAAATATGGGTTTATAACCTCCAATTCTTACTAAATCCATAGTTTATGGATGTTTATGGCCAGTGAATAGGGCAAAGCAGTGGAACCAATGGAATGAGGTACGGCCTAGTTTCAGCTGACTGGGGATGGATTGTTACCCATCAAAAGATGGGGAGATTACGGATGGAAATAACTGGAAACTGGAGAATTGCCATGCTGAGTTTTTTCAGAAATTTCCCATGAGGAATCGTGATTTGCCATAGCTTTTTTCGAAATTTTTCCTTGAGACTTTAGCATGTTTTCACAGCCATGGGGCCGATTACACTGAACGAAGCACCCTGGCCTTCAGGAGTTGAAAGCTCACAAAGACACTCAGAGCCAACAACACGCTGGCTTGGAGGCTGCTCGGCAGCTCCGACTTTTCCAGCGCTGTTTTTTGACCAACTGGTAATATGAAACTCATCAGAGATCATGACAACGTGACAAAGTGGGATCGTCGCCAGGAACGCATGAAGTATCTGGAGAAAGTCCTGGGCGATTCCGCGGAGGAACACGCCAAGCTGCTGGCGAAGCAGAAGAAGGACCGTTCAAAAAATGGGGGGAGAGCTGGGATGCCCTGAATGGTTTCCAATAGGAGAATTTAAGGGATGATTTTCTGGATGATTTTCTGGATGATTTGGAGGTACCCTCTGGTAAACGTTTACATAACTATGGAAAGATCCACCATTTTTAATTGGTAAATCCACTATAAATGGCCATTTTCAATAGCTTTTTGTATGTTTACCAGAGGGTATCCATCGGTATCCCAGATGGAGAATTCCCAGCAAAAAACAGGAGCCTCTGGGACTTTGGGCAGATTGAAGCCATTTTTTTTGCTCAACAAAGATTACAAGACGGGAGATCATTGAACAGAAATGAGGGCTAGAGAAGCTGCACGGGTTTTGAATGTCCTACATCAACTTGTTTGTTCTTCTGTTTTTCTTTTGTACTTATATAATCTGATATATATATATATATATTTATATTCATATATGTATATTAAATATATTATATTATTCTTGGATATTCTTGGAGTCTTCCATGTGGCTACGATGAGCTCTTGGAGTCTTCCATGTGGCTATGAGTCTATGAGCTGGACTCGATGTGAGGACTTGGAGGATCACAAGCAGAGCTTTATGAATCACCAGAGGGACTTTGACGATCATCGCAGCCAGCTGAAGAGTCAACAGGTCGGCGCCGGGGAAGCTGACCTGGACCCACTGGATCTGAGATGATGTGGAGTCCAATCGACACTTGTTTTTTTTTTGTAGGGAAAACATATGAACACATATGGCAGTGTGTCAAAACCTTGTACCCCTGTAGTTCACATCAAAATAGCTGGGATTTATGGATGTTCATCCCCCTAAAAATGGTATTAATAGGTATTGATCCATACCCATATACCAATTTGATTGGAGAATCATTTTTCATTATATCGCACGTAGCTCACAGATGCTCACAGATCATCTCCACTTTTTTCCTCAGAACTGTTCTACGCCGGCATGCGGAAGGCTATGGTGGAACGTCATGCCACCCTGGAACAGCGGCTGGATTTCTTGGAACAAACCATAGGCGCATGATGTGGGGGTCTGACTTGGAAATGCACTCTCTGCATGCGTATACGGTTTTTCTATATATATACATGCTTACACATGTCTGTAGATATTTATACATGGTTATAAGTAGATATAGCTTGTTATATTATAGGCGCTTAAACATGGTCATAAATGGTTATAGATGGTTATAGATGCTTATAGATGGTTCTAGATGTTTATAGATGCTTATAGATAGACTTATAGATGTTTACACATGAGTTTGGACATGTTTATCGATGGCTATAGATGTTCACACAAGTTTCTAGACGTTACGTGTTGATAGATGTTCATTTAAACGTTCACACATGTCCATCGTTAAACATGTCCTCGCGGTTCCTTGAATGAGGTCCCTACCTGGGCCTCAGAATAGCTGGGATGGTCCCGACATGTCTCACCATTTTCAAAGGGTAATTTTGGTGATTCCATTCTCAGAATTTTATTTGGTCATATATATATATATATATATTTGTTGTTTTTAGTATTGAGCCATCCACGTTTTTTTTTTCAAAGAACACATGGCTTAAGCACTTGGGCATTGCGGAAGGTCAGCAATGTGGATATCGCAAATCCAATGTTTGGATCCGAGGTGTTTAGACCAAAATTGGAGGCTTTCATGTTGATTTTCAGGGGGGTACCCAGCCTGGTCCTCCAGGCTGGGCCCAATCATTTCCCAGCATTTTTCCATATGTTTTTCCCACATATTTCCAATATTTTTCGCATCAACATGGGGTTTGTTTGGCGTCTCCCCCCAGCTTTTCAGCTTTAAAGGACCAGATTTTCAGCTGTCCCGAGCCGCTAGGAGATTCAGCCCAACACCACATGAAGCAGCTGCAAGCACATAAGGTGCAGATGTTTTGGGTGCCAAGCTAGGTAAGTTGGTTCATAACTTCAATTGCTGGGACTTGTAACAGATGATATATGATATATCTATAGTTGATAGGGTATATCAATGTTTATCACATATGTTTTCAGACCAGCAAATCTGTTGCGTTTTTTTTGTCCAAATGGGATCCTGAAAGCAGATCACCACTATTCTTTTCCCAGCAGTTTTCAGAGTTTTTGTGGGTTTCCATCCATTCCTGCGTGGTTCCAATCGAGCATGAGGCCATGTTTTTCGCCATATGGTACCTCCAAAAATCCCAATGGCCGGACTACCAGGCCATGTAACTTTTCCATGTCGGCACCAGGCTGATTTGGATCAGAAGCACCAGGCGGGAGGAGAGGTGGAGCTCCATTTCTGGGACGCTTCGCGGGGTGAACCCCTCGTCGAATGAGGCTCATTCCTCCCTGGCGGACCGTGTGGAGTACATGGAAAAGTGGCGGGGGTACCTAGCTGCTGGGTTTTCCTCACCCGCACCTTTTTCAGGGCTCAAAAACGAATCAGAACGAATCACTGTGAATCAGGGGATGTTTCATGACAGGAAACATGGAGGCGCCCAAAAAGGCCCCCGTTGATTAATCCCCAGTGAACCTTGGCTTCGACACGGGACACGGGAAAGGGATGGAACGGGATCATCCGCCATCCGCCATCCGCGCCAGGTTCAGTGGTCTTCCAGGCTTTTCACCACCTGAGAGGCCAGCGTAAGTACCCTCTGGTAATTTAACGTAGCTATGGAAAATGACCATTAATAGTGGATTTTCCCATTAAAAATGGTGATTTTCAATAGCTATGTTAAATTACCAGAGAGTACCAGTTTTTTGCAAACTATGGCTCTTAGGAAAAGACCACAGATCACATGGGGAACCATGATAGGTTCCCCCACTTCCAGTGGCTTCTTGGATTCTCAGCTTTCCAAATCAAAATTGCCACATTTTTTTGTGTTGGATGGTATGCCCCAGTTTTGGACGCAGCCAGATCTCTCAGAAAAAGCCCAAGATGAACTTGAAATTTCAGCTCTGAGAGTTGGTTTTCTGAATCCAGACGAGCATGTGACGATGGCCACTCTAGAGATTTGGCGACGTCCAGTAGGTCAACAGAAGTCCTGTTGCAAGTGATTCACATTTCTTCCCAACAAAAAACCACGATTTACCTCCCAAAATGGTGGATTTTCCGTAGCCATCTCAGTTTCCCCAAGGATTTCACCACTTTTTCCCCCGCCGCGCTAAGCTTCACGGCAGGTTGTCCCTGCCAAGCCGCAGCCCCTTCGTGCCGGAGATGCCACGCAGCCCGCCGAAGCTGAGCTTTGGGCAGTTTCCGGAGAGCAGCTTCAAGTGAGAAAAGCCGTTGGTTTCAAGGATTTTTCTTGGGGAGATCATGGGAAGATGATTGGAATATCAGATATATCATGGGAGAATTTGGTGAATGGTGAATGGTGGCCGAAAAAAAACAGCAACCCCCAAAAAAAGATAGAAACATACAATCATACTGACATCGTGATACGTGACTTTTCGATGTTTTTGGGGATTACCATGCATACATTTACAGATTTTAGCCCTAGATTCTCTCTGGAAAATCCACAAACAACCGTGGTTTCCTGCAGATTTTTTTCCTGAAGCCAATTCACTGAATGATGATTGTTTTTTCTCCAAGCGATTCACTTGACCCTGCGCGTCTTCGAAGATTTGTATCGCTATTCCGGGGGGGCTAAAATGCCCCACGAACTGGACATGGGCGTGACTCCACCCTGCACGTGGTGCGGCCTCCCGACGGGCTGGTTCTGCGAATCCTTGAGGGTGCTGAACTGCAATGCAAATATTGACTGCAGAGGATGGGAATCCAATATGTCAGCCTAAAAATCGGTGATCAATCGGATATGTAGTGAATGTAGTGACTTGGACAACCGAAGACGCTCCCAAAGCTTGAAACAAACGCACCTGACATCCTTTTTCGGTGGCACCGGTCGCTGCGAGTTGGGATACGAATCAAACGATGGGATTCCGAGGAAACAAAGCAGGTCTAGGAGGAAGCCATCCATTTTTATCCCATTTTTTCCATCATGATGACTGTACCATTACCAAGTACTGTAGAAGTATCAACTCAGTTGGCAATTCCATCCCCCATATGTTTTGATTCCATCGAAATTCTACCTCCATTGAAAAAGATCATTCCTTCCATCCATTTTTTGGTCGCGAATTCCATTCCTGCTTTCGCACACCATTTCTGTTTTTGGTTACAGCATTCTAGGTTGAACCCGTCCCATCAACTCCTGATGTTCTTGGAACATGGGGAAGTTTTTGGATTTTTCGGTGGTGGAAAGGATGTCCTTATCAGAAATATGATGGTTAGCAAGCCATTTCCAAAACTTGAAAGACATTTGAACATTGATGGATTTACCATGATTTATTTCACGTTTTGGGAATCATCATTGAATTTACTGTACACAGCATTCATTTCCAGTTTGGGAATCATCATTTAATCAAATGGATTTTTATTTCAAGTTTGGGAATCATCATTGAATTTCTCCAGACAGAGCCTGAACAGGTAGCTTTTACTTCGCACGGTGGTGCCACCTTTTCCACGTCGGCAGGGGCACAGATTCCATAAACACCAGCTATTTGACCTAGGGACCCCCATGACCCAGGGACCGCCATGCCTCAGAGATCAGGGGTCAACGATGTGACTTCACGGGAATGATGTGGGACTATTCGGGAATTCTTCCAAGCCGAATCTTTCAGGTTAGTGAGTTGTTGTAATTTACACATGACAGATCATATCATATCTACATTGGAATATCTATATGTAATTTACCGAGATGTATCAGATCTACATGCATCTCCCGCCACACACGAATATATTTATTGCCATTTTTTCCGCAGTTTCTCAGCACAGTTTATCAGTTTATCCTCTTGCTTCAGTCAGCAATGTGGTAAACCCGATCTCAAACCATCCCATGGTCATTTTACGTCAGAGGACAGTCCCAAGAACCAACCAATCCATGTGGTATATATCTGAAGATTTCAGTCAGCTATAGAATTTCAGTCAGTAAATCAAAACCATTCCATCCAGCATCTGTGCCCCAGGAAAATGGAACACTGCGTCATGCGCCCTGCGAACACTGCGCGAACACTGCGCTCCGCACAGCGCGAAGCGCACGCTCACCGCACTCGGAAAATGTCGAGAATCGAGCGGCTGGGATGGGGTCTTGGCAGCCACAGAATTTCTTCAGAGAACTTGGGAACATGGATATATTCTGCTGTAAGACCCACATGCCCACAGGTTGTGATTTTTCCGGTTATATCATCCGGCTGTAGGTAGACCTGTGCAGAATTGACCAACTCTCTTGTTACGTGGAGATTTTCCAGCCGAGGTAAGCTTTTACTGAAGAGCATTCCAGTCAGTAACTGGGTTGTACGTCATTTATAATCGCATTGTGCCAGCACAGCGGTCCCGGAAGTTTTTCCAAGCGCTTAAGCATGTAGAGTAGCTGATCAGGGCTCCAAGCTACAGGTAGCCTCCAGTAATCAAAAGTGGCAATGGAGGAACTTCGGTTTTCATGGAAAAAACATGGTAAAATCCTCGATAAATGAACGTTTTCATGGAAAATCATGGGAACATACCCTATAACTTCAGGTTTCACTGGGAAAATCATGGGAAATACCTTATCAATGGAGGTTTGAATCTATAAATGGAGGATTTTCAATTGCCACGTTTGATTCTCAGAGGGTACAAAGAGCCAATTTACCACCCTACATTTGGCTCCAGTTTTCCAGGTTTTATGGTGAGAAAAGCGTCCTGAAATCCTCTTGGGGTTGGCTGAGTCGAGGATTTGGAGCATTTTCCCAGTGGGAAATTCACTGGAGTTTTGGGGAATCTTCTTTTTTGGGAAGATGTTTTTTTTTTTTTTTTTTACTTTTTTGGGGGGGTTCCTAAGTCGCACTAGTCTAATCTAGTCTAATCATGATTAAATGACTCTAACTCTATCCATTGAACCATCAATGGGATGATCCTATGCCATAGGTTTTTTTTCATCAAAGACCATGGCATCATCCCAGTAGCCAAGTTGGTGCGTGCCAAAGCTGCACGCCCTGGGTCTGCCATGAGCGCGGAGCCGCGTGACAGGCCTGGCATTTTTCATTGCCGTGAGAAAGCCACACTTGGTGGCTAGTCCCCAAAGTGGGTTATCATGGGTTATCCCATTGGTAGATGGAATATAATAATATAAGTATAGTTACACGCAAACACCCCGTTTCGCCCACACCCTGCTTGACTTGGGACGATCAATAAGGGTATATTGTTGGGAATATAAAGGTCCCACCCCCGTTAAACTTTACATTCAATTGGGAAGATCAACAAAGGTGTTAGGGAATATAACAGTCCCCCCGTTAAAATTTACATTCAATTGGGAAAGTCTACAAAGGTGTTCGGGAATATAACAGTCCCCCCGTTAAACTTTACATTCAATTGGGAAAATCTACAAAAGTGTTAGGGAATATAAAAGTCCCACCTCCGTTAAACTTTACATTCAATTGGGAAGATCAACACAGGTGCTAGGGAATATAAAAGCCCACCCCGGTTAAACTTTACATTCAATTGGGAAGATAGATCAACAAGGGTGTTAGGGAATATAAAAGTGCCACCCCGTTAAGCTTTACATTCAATTGGGAAAAGCTACAAAGGTGCTAGGGAATATAAAAGTCCCACCCCCGTTAAACTTTACATTAAATTGGGAAGATCAACAAGGGTGTTAGGGAATATACAAGTCCCTCCCGCGTTCAACTTTACAGTCAATTGGGAAGACCAACAAAGGTAGTGATGATGGTGATGATGATGATGATGATGATGGTGGTAATGATGATGATGAAGAAGAAGATGATGATGATGATGAGGGTGATGATGAAGATGATGATGATGATGATGATGATGATGGTGATGCTGCTGCTGATGATGATGATGATGATGATAATGATGATTATGGGGATGATGATGATGATGGTGATGATGATGATGGTGATGATGATGATGGTGATGATGATGATGATGGTGATGATGATGATGAAGAAGATGATGATGATGGTGATGATGAAGAAGAAGATGATGATGATGATGATGATGATGGGGATGATGATGATGATGGTGGTGATGATAATGATGGTGATGATGATGGTGATGATGGTGATGATGATGATGATGATGATGATGATGATGATGATGATGATGATGATGTGGAACGAACTCGCACATCCTTATGCTATGCGTTCTTATCTAGAACATCAAGTTCACTATAGTGCTAAATTTGTCTCTTTTTCCCACGTTTTCAGCTCATACGAAGAAGGCGGGCCATCAGGCGCGGGCAAAACGAGGTGTTAGGTGAGATGATCCTCCAAGTACAAACACATTCTATGGGCTACGCAACAGTTGTGGACGGAAAAATCTCGGTTCGGCGTGGAGCTCCATGTATATACAGCAACTCAGGTCGCGCGCAGCGCAACTGAAACTCATGCTGTGGGGGGGACTTAGCTCCGGGTAGAGATGGCAGACATTCGAGATCGTCGTTTTTGGGCTTCAAAAAACAAGCAAAAAAAGAGATAGACAGATCAATTCCTGGATAAATTGAAAGATTTTTCTGGATATAACAACCCAAAAACTGTGGCTAAAGTAGTTTCTCTGATTTTTGTTGGGTTAACCCCTTAAATACGACTGGATTTTTTCACCCCCAGGAACTTGATCGATGTCTCCAGTGAAGCCTCCCCGCTTGTTTGGTTTGAATATCTTTGATATCCCTTTCCTACCACTTTTGTTTATCTGATGTCACTGCTATCACTGCCATCACTCGGTCTTGTTTTCTATCCGGTGAAGGGAGGCCAAGGAGCAGTCGTTTTCCAACCTCTAAGGCGTCAGCAGGAAGACTTGGATGTGGTCTTGCTTCTGGTGGCATGGTATGTCGGGCCGCCCGGTGCTTTCCTGCTGAGGCACACCTGTAAGCGCAGGGCTATGTTTGCGCCTATGTTGGTAGACCCCACGGACTATGGATATAACACCTGGATAGTGTATAACTATAATCCATGAAAACTATTTAACTATATATAATACTATAATCATAGTGTATTCCATCTAGTACTTAACTACAATTTGCTATTAAATTATAGTGTTTTCAACACCTGTGGATATGTTAACAGCTATAGTAACTATAATTATAGTTACCATCTACCGAGGGATCATCCATGATAGCCGCCACTGGCAGATGGATCCACCTCGCAGGTTTGCGAGCGAGCACAGCCGTTGTAAGATCTGAGTTGGTTTCATAAAAATATTCCATTCATGTTCCATTCAGAAACCAGCATTTTAATGTTGGTTAAATCCCTTCTGAACATCTGAGTTGGAAATGTGTCTTAAAAAACTGAGTGATCCAAGATTTTCAACTCTTCATTGCTTCACCTTGCTGCGAGTTCTGCTGAGGTCTGGCGAGAGAGGGTGGCATGGCTACAGGTGGAGCCCTGGTTTCCCGATATTAACCTACCTTAGATATGGTTTTTCTGTGGTATGCACCAAAATGATCAGAAATGATCTGAAATTTCATGAAGAGTCTCCTGGTTTGAACGACATGCGTTGGGCGTTGGGCGTTGGGCTTGGTTTACTTGAGCTTCAGTCATGTGCTGACGAAGCCCGACCTTTCTCTGAACGATGAGTTTTGTTATCCACAGAGACTGGGTGGCTGGGTGGCTGCGGGCCCAGTGATTTTTCGACCCCCTGAGTTGGATCACCATCCGCCTACACCAAAGGTTTCACCCTGACATCTCCAGCTATTGCGGTCGGTGCTGAGGTCCATGTGGGGAAACTCCCAAGTCATGGGGGTACCCCCAGTCATCATCCTGAAATTTTCCACAGGGATTTTCCATGACATCAACCAGCGAGCTTGGGGGTAGCCCCATGACTATGGACCCCGCAACAGGACATCCCAAGCGGTTTTTTCATCGCAACCGCAACTGACGCCAGACCTCACTTTGGTGGAAGCGTACCTCAGGCATCTGCTGGTATCTTTGGGATGGAGTTGAACCACCACCCAGAGTTGAACAAGTTGCTCCGACAATTGTAGTTCAACAAAGTTTGGGATGAGTCCAACAATTTTTTAAGTCGTTCCCAAGTTGCACCATGGGATTGTTCATAGATGGCTGTGAAAAGCAAAGCAACGGCGATGAACTTTTTCGGAATTGAATCGACGGCGATCCTGATCCATGTTTGGGGATATCGTGAGATTCTTCATATCTCTTCCATCTCTGGGGAATTTTTAAAAGATGAATAGTTTTTTTTTTTAAATAGGAGCTAAAGATTTACCCTCTGGTTATGACTAACAGTTCGCCATGGAAGCCATGGCCCGTAGAAATAGATGGTTTACCTGGGTTTACCTATTAATAGCATGGTGATTTTCCATGGCGAAGTGTCAAATAACCAGAGGGTAAATCCTGATGGTTTGATCTTGTTTGTCATCGATGAAAAAACCAACATTTGGTAACCTCCCGATCTGTCTTCGGTATGAAAGACGTCGAGTTACCCAACAATAGCTCTTGTACATAATTCAACAACAGCTATGGGAAAATCACGATTTTTAATGGCTAGCCATGGGCCATGGCTTCCATGGCTATGCAACAAATGACCAGAATGTGTCTTTTGGCCTGATATCTGACTGTGTCTTGAAACATTGATGCACAGCTCAGGGCATCAGGGCACAAGTTTTTTCTGCGAGATGAAAGCCGGCAATTCCACTGAGAAGACCGTGGCCAAAAGCTAGAGATAGACATGGGTATGGGTCAATACCTATAGATACCATTTTTAGTGGGATGAACATCCATAAATCCCAGCTATTTTGATGTTCACCAGGGGTACCAGGGTTTTGACCCATAGTCACATGGTAAACTGAAGGGAAAACTGCAGAAACTGCACTGGTCTATGGCTACAGCGGTCCACGAATCAGTGGGGCGAGGCCAAGCTGCGGGACAACATCAACCGTTTTTGTGAGCTGCAAGCGGTGGGAATGCATATATAACATATATAATCATGTATATGTACTGTATATATATATGATATATGTTCGAACATATATATATATATATAGATATCAGGTATACAGGATATTATGTCTACAATATATATATCAAGTAACTATATATATTGATCCATTTCACATATATTTGTATATATTAACTGCCGATATACACTATGTAACTATATAACCAGCTGACAGTAGAATAAAACAGATGCACTACATAACTACATTTTTCTATAAATAGACACGCTATTTACCCTCCAGTAAATTAACATAGACCTAGATATGATAATCTGTAGGTAAATTTCTAGTCACATTTTTCCCCAACAGCAAAACTTTGCTATGGGGTCTTTGGCTCAGACTAGCTCTGGTGCGATCCGGTGCAGCTTCAACACCAGGTTCCGGACAAGGTTCCGGAGGGTTCTGGTGCAGATACCTTGTGAGGTTCCGGAAGTTTCCGGTGCAGGTACTCGGTGAGGTTCCGGAGGGTTACGGTGCAGATACATGGTTAGGTTCTAGAGGGTTTTGGTGCAGCTACCTGGGTTACGGAAGTTTCGGTGCAGCTACCTGATGAGGTTCCGGAGGGTCTAGGTGAAGATGCGTGGTGAGGTTCCGGAAGGTTCCGGTGCAGAGACCTTGTGAGGTTCCGGAGGGTTCTGGTGCAGATGCTTTGTGAAATTCCAAAGGGTTCCGATGTTTTTTATGGCATAAGCATTTAATTTAATTTTTATGGCATAAGCACTTTTTATGGCAAAACCGCAGAAGCTTTCAAGCTGTTGGGGATAGCACCTGAGTTTATTTTATCTGTAGAACTATAGTCACTATAGAATCTGTAGAACTGGATTCACTATACATATAGATATGTATATATATATGTATATATTTACTACAATCACTATACAATAATCTATAACTATAGGTAACTATAGTCATCTGCTGATCCCTGCTGCTGATCCCGGCCCCGACAGGTCGCGACTGCTTTCTTCAGGAAGTGCTGCAGCACTGGCGGAGTGCCGTGCCGCTGAAGCGGCAGGACCGCGACATGTCTCCGTGTCGATGGCAGGGGTTTCATGGTGATTTCATGGGATTTCAAAGTGATTTCATGGGATGTGAGTGGGATAAATGGAGGTTCAACATGGTTCAACCTGATAATATGGCTGGTGCCCTCGGAAAATCCTCCTTTGATGCCAGCGAGAAGCAAGTTCGGGGATTTGCAAGCCATGTTTGAGCCTACGGGTTGAAAACCGTCCGAGCGTTTTGGGCATTTTTATATATGTTCCTTGGGGTGGGGTGGGGTGGGGCAATAACGTTCACGTACTTGCTCACTCCCATGATGTTACGCCACGGCACGTTCACTTGCACGTGCGCACATACGTCATGCTACGTTGAAGATGTGTCACGTCACGCAGGGGTGGGGTGGGTGGGGTGGGCAATAACGTTCACGTACTTGCGCACTCCCATGATGTTACGCCACGGCACGTTCACTTGCACGTGCGCACATACGTCATGCTACGTTGAAGATGTGTCACGTCATGCCGGGGTTGGGTGGGGTGGGGTGGGGTAATAACGTTCACGTACTTGCCAGTGTTCCCGATCAGTTGACATCTTGCCCAGAAAACGAACAAAAATTGAATGACCTCATTTGGACGTACGTTCGCAAATGGCAGTGGCGATGGGAGGCAAATGTAGTTGGAAAAGCGCTGTTGGAGAAAACAGGTGCGTACTTAGCGAAGATGTAGAGATCACCGGAAAAAATGGCTGCCGCTGAGGTTTTGGGCACGCTGACTTCCCAAAAGGAACCTTTTTCGCACTCCGACATGTCGACTATATACAGTAAATCCCAATGAAAATTCAAAATCACAATAGAATTGACCTTCATGGACAACATAGAAACATGAAAAAACACTGCGAAACGCATGATTGACTTCTTGCCAGTCACATGAAAATGCTGTTTTTACTCGGCCCATTTCCAACCCGGCGGGATGTTTGACCAAACATATCGGAGAACTATGCATGGAGAATTCTCGGTGACAATTGGATATTCAAACACTCTCAGGGTACAAAATCTGCTGGTTGATAGCTCATTCCGAACATTTCACCCACCATACATACTTCAGGGTAATCCTGTGTTTCTTTGACTCCAAATTTTCCCAGCCACACCATGGGTTTATCAGATTTAAGGGGAAAACTGGATGACTTGAATGACTTGGAGTGGGAATCATCCCGAAGTAGCCTGAAATGTCCACGATGTAAAAAATTGCCCCAGCCTTGTATTCACGATGTAAAACCATGGAGTCCTTAAGAACACATATATATATAGATTATATTATATTATATTATATTTTATTATATTATATTATATTATATATATTATATAGATTATATTATATTATATTATATTATTTTATTATATATATATTATATATATTATATTATATTATATTATATTATATTATATATATTATATAGATTATATTATATTATATTATATTATATTATATTATTATATATATATTATATTATATTATTTTATTATATTATATTATATTATATTATATTATTGTATATATATATTATATTATATTATTTTATTATATATATTATATATATATTATATATTATATATTATATATATTATATTATATTATATATTATATATTATATATATTATATATTATATATATTATATATATTATATATTATATATATTATATATTATATATTATATATTATATATTATATATATTATATATTATATATTATATATTATATATATTATATATTATATATTATATATTATATATATTATATATTATATATTATATATTATATATTATATATTATATATTATATATTATATATATATTATATATTATATATATTATATATATTATATATGTTATATATATATATTATATTATATATATTATATATATTCATATATTAGATATATCTATCTATCTATAGTTTATTTATTTGCCCCCCTCAGAGAGATCCACATATCCATCAATAAATCAATAGGTGCAAAGAAGTAATTATGTAAATATGAACTAAGTTTGCGGCAGGGCAAAGCTAGCCGCAGCACGGTAGTCCCCATGACAATGGCGACCGGCTGGGCAGATGGGCCCGCTGGCAGAAAGAGATCATGACATGAGAGACAAGCTGCTGATTGCTTGACCGAGGCTCCAAACAACCGGAATCCTTGATTCATGATATACAGAAGAAGTGCTTCGCCACGGAAAAAACAATCCAGACTATGTATTGTGCCTGCCACGCACTTTGTGATGAAAAGATCCTTTCCACGCAGCAAGGGAAGGGCAAAACCCCGCTTGTGTCCACTAGACGAAGGGAAGAGCCCCCGCCTGGGTGACCAATAAACCCCTTCTGTCCATGACGTGGCACAAGTGCCCAGGCGGAGGGGGGCAGGTCCAAGATCAAATGGACCTGACCCCCCGGCAAAGGGCTAACAAACGCCAAAGAGAAGAACAGAGAGGGGATAGGATAGACGGCGCATTTTTCAGTGTTGGGGTAGTAGCCCCCTCGACACTGGAAAATGTGTTAACTATATGGGTATAATGATGGTATACAGACATGAAAGAAGGGGACAGAGAGGATAGGATAGGCGGCGCATTTTTCAGTGTTGGGGTAGTAACCCCCTCGACACTGGAGAATGTTGTCTATATGAGTATAATGACGGTGGACGAACATTGAAGAAAGGAACAAGGACAGGATAGGATAGACGGCGCATTTTTTCAGTTTCGGGGTAGTAGCCCCCTCCATGCTGGAAAATGTGTTGTCTATATGACTATGATGGTAGACGGGGGATAGGATAGATGGCGCATTTTTCAGTGTTGGGGTAGTAGCCCCCTCGACACTGGAAAATGTCTTGTCTTTATGAGTATATAATGATGGTAGACAAACGCAAAAAATGGAACGGGGAGGGGATAGGATAGACGGCGCATTTTTCAGTTTCGGTGTAGTAGCCCCCTCGATACTGGAAAATGTGTTAACTATATGGGTATAATGACGGTAGACAGGGGATAGGATAGACGGCGCGTTTTTCAGTGTTGGGGTAGTAACCCCCTCGACACTGGAAAATGTTGTCTCTATGAATATGATGGTAGACAGGGGATAGGATAGACGACGCATTTTTCAGTTTCGGGGCAGTACCCCCCTCGACACTGGAAAATGTGTTGTCTATATAAGCCAGGTCAAATCTATGAAACTTATGCTTCAAACATCACCGCCCTGATGATGGAGAATTATATAGAGCATCCAGCAAATTTCAGCATCGGGGTAGTACCCCCCTCGATGCTGGAAACATCTCTCCACCGTGAAGGATACACATTTAACGGTGACTCGGACTTCGCTCGTGAATCTTCGCTCGGCACCAAGGACAAGTTGCCACCCTTCAAGCGCCTGAGCCACAAGGAGATGCAGGAATTGTCGCTGAAGAATCTGCCAGGCGTCACCGGCCATGGGTAGTTCACCGCGCTGAAATTGGTAAACAAAACATGACGGTGTGATCAGGAACCAATGGGAGGTTTGAGATGGTTTCAGCAGGGAAAATTGATGTGTGGATGGTGGTTTTGATTTGAGCTCCCAAAAATTCAATCTACTTGATTTAGGAAGGTTACGCAGTGATAACTTCGAAAGTAGAAGCGCCTGCACGACTCAAACATGCTGGCGGTGAGACATCAATTTTTTGATGGTTGAATAGTGAAAACGTTATTCCACAAAGATCTTTTTTATCTGCGGTTTTAAACCTCATGAACACGCCATGTTGCGTCTAAAAACGGTCTTAAATATGACCAGGTATGGCAATCTTTGCAGGGGAAAACGGTCAACCATGATAGCAATGTTTATGCAATCTAAGGATAGCGGCAATCAAAGGTGGGGACCACCCCCCCCGCCCCACTTGCCATGTTTGTTTCGAGGATATCCTAATACCAGTCGCCCCATATGAAGAAGTCTCTCCTGCAATCATTGTTTTGGATTTTCCAGGTCACTTCTCCGGCACGAAGTTTCCACACAACGCACAGCAGCCCAAATCATCCTCCTGGGCCAAGTTGGTACACGGATGCGCTCCACAAGTTTGGTACCTTGGCCGAGTGTCTGGGGTGCTAAGGGATGCTAAATTAATTTGGTTGGCGCAACAGCCCAAATATGAATACATTGTACCAGTTATACCGGATACCAGCATGCCTTCTTCCGTCGGAAGAACATTGGCCATAGATGATAGGTCCTGATATAGATGGATATTGATTTTGGGGATCATGGGAAGTAGATGACTAAGTAGATTGATTATCATTCTGCAATTCAGGACGGAATTCCATCACCTCTGCAATTCCATCACAGCCCAAATGCGGAACCGCAGCCGCGACAAGCCAAAAACAACCAACGTCGTCTCTCGCCTCCCCGCCTCCCGTCTCCCTGATCTGATTCACATCGAAGGAGATCGTGACCGGCACCATGCACGAGATCCTGCGTGTCCGGAGCCAAAAGAGGCGAGTGCACAGGGCTGCTCGCCGGTGCCTGACCAACGTGCGGCGGCACCACAGCCCGAGGGCGTGGCCACCAAGGGTGGCCCGCCTCGTGCGCGAGTTACTCGCGCACCTGGGGGCTTAGGCCGGGGAGTGCAGCTGGGGCCCGGGATGACCACGAGCCACATCAGTTATATAATTATTCGCTAAAGGCAACTTTCCATCTTCCATCTAACGACATTTCAAACCATTATACTTAATTATAAGCAATGGTGTGCAACTTCAAGATTGCGCATTCGAAATTCCTATTTGGCAAGACTAGTTGTATATATTAGCTTCTTTTAAAGCCTCGTAAACAATGTTTTTATAGCTCCAAGAGACGCGGTGAACGTAGGGGGTACGAGTGGCTAACGGACGTGGTGACGAACGTAAGGCGAACGAGTGAACGGACGAGTGCACGCGTGAGCGAACGAGTCAACGGACGTGTGCGTACAAGTGGACGGACGTGTGCGCGTACGTGCGTGCGTTTGCACGTTCACTGGCCGTACGAAAATAAGGTCGACTGGAGTTGACCTTATTTCTGTACGTGCAAAGTGCTACAATACTAAATCAATACTAAAAAGGTAGAGGAAGGCAGGGTCGTGCAAAAATAAGGTCGACTCAAGTCGACCCTATTTTCGTACGTGCGCGCAGAGCGTGGCGAGTGACCGTGCAAGCGCACGGACGTACGCTCACACTTTCGCTCGCACGTACGCTCACTCGTACATACATACGTTTTCACGTACGTTCACTCGCACGCATGTCGTTCACACACACGTTCATACCCCCGTTCATGTCACTCGTCACTACACGTACGCCAGATAACATAAATATTTTTACGAGACTTAAAAAACGCTAATATATTAGATTAGATTATATATATTATATATATTGTATTATGGTATATTATATTATATTATATTACATTATATTTTATTATATTATATTAAATTACATATTATATATTATATATATTATATTATATATATATTATATTATATTATATATATTATATATATATTATATTATATATATTATATATATTATATTATATATATTATATATATTATATTATATTATATAAATATATATTATATTATATTATATTATATTATATTATATTATATTATATATATTATATATATTATATTATATATATTATATATATTATATTTTATATATTATATATATTATATTATATTACATATATATATTATATTATATATATTATATATTATATATATTATATATATTATATTTTATATATTATATATATTATATTTTATATATTATATATATTATATTATATTACATATATATATATTATATTGTTTTATATATATTATATTTTATATATTATATTATATTATATATTTTATATATTAAATTATAGTATATATATTATATATATTATATTATATGATATTATATTATATTATATATTATATTATATTATATTATATATTATATATTATATATATTATATTATATTATATTATTTTATATTATATTATATTATATTAAATTATATTATATTATATTATATTATATCATATTTTATTATATTATATTATATTATAATACATTATATTATATTAAATTGTATATATATATATATTACATATATATATTATATATATATTATATTATATATATTATATATATATTATGTATATATATATATATATTATACACACATACTTTTTCCACTCATAGTACCATCAACGTGTCTTGCTCAGTTGGCACTTGCCGTTCTCAGTTGGGGATTGTCTTCTCACTTCGCGTCAGTTGGATTCACTCTTGGGATCCAGCTCAATACAGTTGGGGTTCCATATGGTTCTACTCTACTCATCATGATAGTGAAATTGGATGTCAGAAACATGTTTTTTTGTGCATGTTTGATATGTTTGATCCCTGAAAAACTATCAGTAACTATCATGAACTGGTTGTTTTTTTTTGGGTTTTTGAACTTGGGCCGCCAGGTATCGCAGCCCTTAGCCAGTCGAATGTACTTGGAAAATATGGAGAAGACGCTATCTATTGAAAAAAAACCTGGAAGAACTTGTCGGCATTTTTTGGGGACCTCTACAATACCGTATTCCCCAATTAAAAATATTAACATTTCTTGATTATATACTAACCATTTGTTGGACAGATAAGATACTCATGTGACTCATGTGGTAAACCCAACAATAAGACTTCCCAACAATCGACCATGTGGAGGTCATTTTACATCAGTCCCAGGCGTATACAAAATGCCCTGGATGAATTTGATCATGACCCACGTCGCTTTCACTGGAATGATGAGAATCGGATTGGGGGAATCATTCCCAAATGGCTTTATTGTAGCTATTTTCCAGTGAATTATTACAATTCAGCAGAATTCAGCCAGATTTACAGGATATTCTATGGGGATATCATAAGGATATAATCATCATTTTTTGGGATTTACAAGCAAAAATCATCGTGAACTGGTATCACAATTGGAATCCTTGTGGCTATCATCCCGATTACCCTCTGGTAAACTAACATAACTATAGAAAATCACCATTTTCAATGGGAAAATCCACTATAAATGGCAATTTTCAATAGCTATGTTAGTTTACCAGAGGGTATATTCATAGTGGGATTCACCTCCACGTAATTTCTGATTCACCTCCTCCGCAGCACGCAGTCGCTACGCAGTGCACGTAACGCGCAATAGGAGGCGATCGATGAGCAGCTCATGTCGCTGCGGGGGAGCATGGTGCAAGATGCCAAGGCCGGGATGGTGAAACCGCGTGTGGACCGTTGGGGGGGTATAAAACCCAGAAAATGCTGGGGATAGACTTTGATTTAATGGGACATATCTAATATATGTATATATGTATCATTTATATATGATAATATATATATATATATAGATTACATAAGACAATATAGTATAATATACACATTTATGTATATACATATATAATAAAACATACACATTTAAGTATATATATATTATATCATTTCGATGCCTTATACATGTATATTTGATATATGACATAATTTGATAGTGTATGATATCGTATGGTATGATATGATTTTTATTCCATATTATATTTGTTATTAGGTGATAAACATCATCCTCAAGTACCTTTATCATTGGGTTTACCACAAACTATGTTAGTTTACCAGAGGGTACCCATTAAATCCATTATGACCAATTTTAATTTGTATGACCTCGATTCCTCATGAAAAATCCCACGGATTTTAGCACTTTTTTCAGACCTTCAGGCAACGGACCGGGTGGCGGAAAAGGTCGAGGACTCTTGGCTTCAACAGTGGCTTTGGAGAACAGGCTGAAAAGCAGTGATTTCAGTTGATGCTTCCATCATTACATGTTTTTTTTTTTCATTTTTTTGTTTGGGATCCGCAGCAACAATGCATGAACATGTATGAACCAGAAAAGGGGGCGCAAATCATAAATCGTTCCAAGTAAAACTATACCCAACACTAGGAATCAGCTGGAACAAAAACATGTACTCTTTGAGGTTCCTCTTTCAAAAGAAGGGCCTGCAAGATCTTTGGGGATTGTCAAAATCTTGGGGCACCCCAATGTCCAAAGGATTTTGCCAGCGGAATTTGAGAGCGGGATTTGGCACCATTTTTTGCACCATCAAAATTGCCATCCCAGGTTTCACTGAAAACAAAGGTGCCGGTACTCGTTTTTCTTGTAAATGACTTGCAGCATCGCTGTCATGTTGCTGATTGAATCCTGGATTTGCTGAGTTTATTTTTACAAAACGCCCCTGTGCATGTTTTGTTGTCACAGAACAAGGAACCTCTTGAGAATGTAAGATATCTAAGCCCATGGCGATCCGACCATAGTCCCATAATTTTGTAGCCAGACCTCCATTTTTGTTCAACCTGAAAACCCCGGTCCGACCGTGGCAAAGGGTACCGAGAATCATTGAACATTTCGATGGCTCATTGTGTTTCCCACCCAACTTTTTTGTTCTGTTTGTAAGATTAGATTAGCCAGTCCCCCATATTCCCCAGTGTTGTTGCTTGGACTCCTCATATCGTCGCTGAGAGTCCCCTTTTTTCTGTGTGGCTTAGCGAAGGTTGGTGGTAGAGAAGCTTGTCCATGCACCTGTTCAAACACAACTCGGTTTTATTCATGGTTTATACCGATTTATACCACTTTTTTCCCAAGATTTCAGGATACCCGAAGAATCTCCACACTATTGTCCATATTTTTTTTAATTGTTTGTTGGGATAAAAAAAATCCATCACCCGCTCAAATCCTCCTTCCTTGGTGAGTGTCACCAAATGTTATGATCATCCCTTGGAATCGATGGGGTATATTTCAGCCATTGACAAACGAAGATATGATGGGGAAAGACATGTACTTAGCATATTTTTTGGGAGAAGACATGTACTGTACCATCCAGCTATAGCTGGAAACCAGCTATGACATGCTATGACTATCGACCAACTGCCAAAATTTTTCTGACTCAAGGAGCATGGCACCAAAGTCCTACATCAGTTGCAGGAGGCTTTGCAGAAGAAAGATGCGCAGACTTGGAGGCCAGAAAATGCTTGGTGAACCATGGGACCATGGGCGGATTCGGAGACCGAGACGACCTTTTGGCTCCTGGCGAAGCTTGGGAGTTTCAGAATTGGTCTTCGAAAGCCAGAGTTTTATCAGACTTATCTTGATACTTGGATGTGATCTCCTGAAAGTACGAAAGTCAAGGGACTTCAAGGGACTGGTGACTGGAGCAATCCGTTCCAGGGGACACCAATCTTACCATAGAGTAACAACTGCTGGAGGTCACAGGGCCATAAACCCCAAGGATCAACCAGGGATATGGGGGATATGTACAGCATTCTGTAAGGATTTAAATGATATAAAGCAATTTCATAAACTGCAGAATGTGGATCCCAATGTTGTTTGTTGGTGTTTGTTGGTCCCCCCCTTCTGTATGAACCCCACTTCTTTATTAATTTATGGGTTCTTGATCACTTTGGATGTAAATTCATGTTCCGAACCTGCTTGGTTATCCAAGTAGTCCATAAAATAGCCAAATATTTTTCCCATTACATCCCCAGTATGCTTGGTAAATGTCACCTTTTTGAGCACTTTGTTGGTTATATCCAGCACAGGAAAACCGGAGTGACCTAGGGATAAATTTCAATATTTCAATGGGATAAAAAAGACAATTGTTGGCTGTAAAGGTAAAACACTCATTTTTCCCACATTTTCATACATGTTTCCCATATCTTTCCTACATTTTCTCTATCTTTCCCACATTTTTCCAACATGTTCCGTATCTTTTTCCCAACCTTTTCCTGATATTTTTCCCCCCTTTTCCACGTATCTTTCCCCATACTTCCCTCGCTGTCCAGGCGGAAGGTCTTCCATGCCTGGCAGCAGTGTGCTGCTTCGAGGCATCAGAACTTCGGCCACGTGCGGAGGCGGCTCAGCCACCGAAAAATGGTCCAATTTGGGAACTCCAACAAGTTAGCTAAGGTGAAGATAGTGAAGATAGATGCAATGTCACGTCTTGTTTTTTTAGATATTATTGATACATCGTTAAGTAGTCCTATGTATCAACCTTAACCTTCGGGAATCTCACGGAATGGGCGCGTGGAAATCGGCCCAGGGCTCGACATCTGCTGTGCAGACGGCGAGCCTTTGGAGCCTGGCGTCAGGTGCGGAGCAATGGGAAGATCTAGGGCCCTAGGGGACTTCACCAAGAAAGACACGGATTATGGGTTACTTAACATAGCCTCTGGTCAATTAACTAACTTGTTGACCCTGAAAAGAATGGCTAGTTTTAATGGAAACTCATCTTCCAACCCTGATGACTGTCAGGGTCTATGTTAATTTACCAGAGGGTATTATATATATAATATTATAATATAATATGATATAATATGATATACAATATAATATATAACATAACATAATATAATGTAATATACTATAATAATCTCTAATACATATACATTTATATAATGCATACTAACATTGAACATACAGGGTAAGATTGGCCAGCGCACCAACTTTTCTCAGCATCCATAGCTGACAGAAAATCGAGCAGTGCATCCGGCAGGTTTCACCATGAGGTTGGTGGCTTTATAACCCACATGAACTTTGAAGTATCTATAATTAGAACCCACATGTGAAATTGGAGTGATGAAAAAACCAGCTTAGCGAACATGGGAAAAGGCCCCGTCACAAACCAGGGTAAAAAGAACTTGGGGATGGTGAAGTCCATGGCTTTTCAGATCCAGTGGATCCAGCCGCCATTTTTTTTGGAGAGGCGCTGGAGAATCGCGAGCAGAGAGGCGCAGCGCGGCTCTTCCTGAAGTTCAAGTTGCTACACCAAGGTCGCTTAAAAGGGGGACGTGGTGGCTGGGGACCTCGCCCGGAGATGTTGGATGACTTGGATGGGTTTTTTGATTTCTGGAAGACGACCCGTTTTTTTTTGGGGGAAAAAACACATGATTCAACTAACAGGATGAAAATCATGATCTTCTCTCGCAATCTTGGATATCTTGGTACCCCCTGTTAAACTAACATAGCTTTGGAATCCAAAAAGGAAGATTGCCCATTGAGTTCGCGACTCTCCAGGGAGCTGGCAGAAGGAGCAGCTGCACGTGATGCTTCTGCGCTGGTTCAGCCTGGTACAACGGCCCAGGTAACCCGACGTCAGGGGATGAGTTCAAGTCGCGAAGAGACACCCGAGGTATCATCCAGCTGTTAGTTTTGTGAAAGAAATAGGGAAACAACGATGGTCCAATTGTGATGCATTGTGGTTGTACAAAAAAAGACGTTGCCCATCGATAAAGCTAGAGGTGGTGCCTGGGATTGCTACCAACGGTCCCTTCTGGGTGAATTTGGGATGAAATCTGATGAATCCTGAGTTCAGCTCTAACCTGTCAGGTTTTAACAAGTCAGCTTTGAACCTAACACAGGGACAGGGCAAACATATTTTTCCACGAAATCAGACAAACCAACATGTTTTTGCAGCGAACATCCGCCACAAGCAATCAGTTTTAAATCTCAAATCAGCTCCAGTTCAGTCAGTTCGCCCTTAAAATCAGCCGAAAAGCGTTGTTTTTTTGAACCCATCAGCTTTCGAAAGATCCACAGGCGCCGTTTTGGTGCTGAAAGGCCTTGGCAAAGAGCCTGGCAGTTGCTGGCGGACGGGAATCTCAGATCTGGGATGGGATACATTAGCTTGGACATAGGATATGTTTTTAAATGTTTTTTGTTTTTGTTTTTATTTGATATGATGATTTTTGATCATTCATGGTGGATAGAATCCAGTTCTATCCATATCATTCTGAATAATTTGGATTTTAGTATATAAACGTTTACAGAGATATGGAGGTTTCCTACATGTGGGTACCCCCAAATCATCCATTTATAGATGGATTTTCCATTATAAATCCTCTATTTTGGGGTACCCCCATTTATGGACACCCCCATATGGATCGAGAACTGGATGAAGAATTCCCATAGGATTTCAAGGTCAATGTTCGTGTAAAAACTGGTACGGGAATCCCGTTCTCGCCCAAGCAGAAAAGACCTCCGGTAATTAAACATGGCACTTGGACATCCTTTTTTTTGGCTGGTTTTTTCCCACTAAAAACCTGCATTTACAGAGAATTTTTTCATGGATTTCCCCTTGCCACATTTGATGAAATGGAAAAAAGCAGCGATTTTTGAACACAACGACTTGGAAGTGCAGTTCCAGTTATTTCAGTAGATCTATTTCACCACAGTTTTTTTTTTCCCCCATGGCCCATATCCCAACCTGTGGTTATTCATATAAATCACATATCACCAGAGGTTACCTTAGGTAGACCACCGAGGTATCCCAAAGGATTATTTCTTAAGCCCCACAATGGTGAATACACCATGGTTATGTACTCATAGAGGTAGCCTCTGGCCCCCAACTCATTCCTTTCCCTCCAGGCTCAGCAAATCCTGGCCACAGATCAACGGCTGCTGCTGAGCCATGTGTCACCAGCTCAGGGGGCGAACTGCGACCGGGAACGTCTGGGCCAGGATGTTAACATCTGCTTAGCATCCATTTTGGATTCATTCGATTGTTGTTTTAGGTGATAGATCCACCAATGATGGAAACTCGCGTCAAGATCCGAGAAGTCTGATTTTTATTGATTTTCACGATGTAAATCAGCCACATGTGGGAACATCTTTGAAGTCTTCAGTGACTCAAAATATGAATTTTCCGCGACTGCTCGATCGACATCCAAACGGAGTCGATCGACCTCCTTGGAACTGCTACAGATCTTTGGAACAGCCACCATTTAGCAATGAACATAGATATCTGGGTAAATTATAACGACCTCACTGCGACCGAAGACTGGAAATCATGGTTTATGTCAGGGAAATCATCCCCAAATGGCCGCAAGATTCAGGTTAGTGAATTATTATAATTTACCCAGATAGATATGGACCTGGTGAAAACCCAGCATGTTTGCAGATCACGTGCAGTTCACGGGGCAATTCCATTTGGGATTTCCATGTGCTATGTTGATTTGCCGGGATTTTCATGGGGCAGTAGAGAATCCCAATCTTCTCTCAAGTCAAATTATCTGAACATGACACAATTTCGGGTCAGCCATGGCTGCTGACCCAAGGGTGCGGATGGCACCAGCCCCAAAACTTAGTGATGTTTCAAATCGATACGCGCATTAAATCTCCTGATATCCTGTGATTTGTTGATATACTTAAACAAAAATGATTTGTCAGTTCTATCCCATTATTCTTGCATGATACCATGTTTTGTTTATCATATCCACCACAGATGCTATATGAAATTATATAGAGAGAGCAACCCAGAAGATACACTTTGCTAAAATCAAGGTTCAAATGAAAAGCATGATTGTATTTTTCTTTTCTTCATTCAATTTTGGAGGTTCCTATATGTATATATATAAATTATATATATATATATGCATGTATGTATGTATCATATTATCATATGGTGGAATCCCACCACATTTGCCTAGAATATAATCCCTATATCAATATCTGTGACTACCTCTCTCTCTCCCTCTCTCAATCCCTCTCTCTCTCTATACATAGATGTATGCAATCAACCTACCATTTGGGATGGTTTATGCCCATAAAAATGGTGATTTTGGGATGGTTTATGGGTCAACCTATTGGGTGAAATCATATCCCCACCCGTGACAGAGGCTGCACGCGTGGCGGGCGGTCCACGGGCCCAAGTCAAACCGGGGCGGCCTCGGGTGGAAGCGGCCATTGAAGAAAGAAATGTCGCAGATTTTCGATTTATGGTGGATTTATGGGATTTCATCAATGAACATGGTGGCAGAGTGGGGATTCTTGATGGATGACTTGCAGGATCACGCCTTTTTCAGTAACTGCTTGGTGTTCGGGCTGGGTTCACCGAGCGTTGACTTACGATCACCGGGGTTACGATCACCAGTTGCCACGTTTGATGATCCTCCAAGCAGATCATTATGACCCATAGAGGGATACCTATGTACCAACCAGTATAATGGTATAGGATAGGGGTATTTCATGGCATCCCGTATTCTTGAGACAATTTCGCTTCCAATACTTCCAGAACAAACATTGAACAATACAAGGTTTACCACTGTTCTTTGGCAAAAACAGAGCTCTCAGAAAAACATGTTTCCATGGCCAACGCCACGTGGGTTTCGAACTATGATATAAGAAACCACATCATTTCATATACCATCTGGTTATTTAACATAGCCATGGACAATCACCATTTTAATAGGTAAACCATCTATAAATGGGCCATTTTCCATGGCTATGTTAAATAACCAGAGGGTATTTTCCCTGAAAATGATCCCCATGCACAATAGTGGCAGATCCCCATTTGGCATCGATGATTTTTTTTCTACCATCCCGTCCCGCAGCATTTTTGCAGGTCAAAACTTCCGCGCGTGGAAGTGAGAAGCTGAAGACGCTGCAAAAGAGGCCAGATTTCGGTGCCTCTGAAAAAGGTGGTTTCCGGTAAGAGTGGAAACTTGGGAAATCCAACGAAAGTTGTGTATGGCATAATTATCATAACTTGGTGGCTCATCCCACTTAGTGAGTTTTGTCCCAGTTATAAGTGGATTAACCCTACTTATCCCACTTATAACTGGGATATAACTCACTTTACTAAGTGGGATGAGCTAGCAAGTATGTATGAATTTTCCTTTTAGAGTGATCAATGTGGCTTGGGCAACTTGAATTTTTTCTGGTCCCAGACCCGTTGATGTTGGCCAAACAAAAAAGCTGGGTGTTTTTCCCATGGTGGCCTGAGCCCATCCCAACAAGATGTGGCTTATGATACAGGTTATGCATGTTTAAGGCCAGGTGAAAGACTCGGGTAGTGAAGTGGCTAACATTGGCTAACACTAATGTCTTTGGGAAGTGGCACTTTCGGCACTGAAACACGTCATGTGTGTTTCTCCATAGCAGCTAGTGTACTTGAACATCCAATGCTTCGTCATCATTATCGATAAACCCAAACATCCTAGTGTTGGTCATATATCCCATTATCTCCCAGTTTTATCGGATTTTATCCCCATCATATCCTTATTTTTTTTGCCCCGAAAAATTTCTTGCCAAACGGAGAGGTACAAAGCCAACGAGAATGAACGAAGGAAAGTGCAGGCCGCCCAACCAAAAAATTCCCCGCGTCGTTGGTGTTTTCGGGTTGCCTGTTTTGTGTGCTTCCAACAAGAATCAATGATTAATGGGAAGATACGAACAAGAATGATAACACTGATACACATAGTAATAATGATGATGATAATGATAACAACAACAACAACAACAACAACAACAACAACAACAATATTTGTATAGTCATCTTCGAGAAGATAGAATCTGGAAATTTCAAAACATGATCACCAAAATAGAATTATGAACATTCCACATCCTATCTACTTCAGGATGACCATGATGACTATACATACAGAGAGAGATTTAGTCGACATGCACATCTTAAAAAAACGAGATAAAATTTGACTTCCGATGCAGAAATCAAGCAAAAATACGGTGTTTGGAATGGGTGATTCACCCCAGGTAGGATAGGGTAGGATAGTTCACCCCAGTGGGTCCCGACAAGCCGACTGTTACCCGACTGAATTCATCGAGGGGATCCGGATTTCACTTGGTGAAATGGTGGTCACTCAACTCATCGTGACCCTGGGATTTTTAGCCGTGGGTTTTTTGTGGGTGAATAGATGTGGGATTCATCCCCTATAAACCATCCTCAATATGACCATATTTTTTTGATGGCAAATATATGCAAATATCATCCCTAAATGGTACAAGATGGTGACGGAAAGTTCGAAGTTGGTTTACACCCCCCAGAAACTATAGAGATGTATGATGTATATTTTAAACCCCTAGTTATCGGAGTTATGAACGAAATTAGCTAACAATGGGGCACCAACCTTGTTCAACTCATATTCCATCAATACTCCTTTATATTCCATCATATTCCACACTGGCCATAAGAATATTCCACAATCACCCTTTTCACTCGTCCCTATTAATCAGTGATAACCATTCATAACCATTCATAACCATTCATAACCATTCATAATCATTCATAGCCATATATAACCAGATATATAAATAGCTATATATATATATATAACCATATAACCATTATATAACAACCAACTATATAACCATATATAACCATGTCGAATACCATATATAACCAGATAACAGCCGTTAATTACCATATATAGTGAATCCATGAACCTCCAGGGCTGTCGTCAGTTGTACGACCTGCTGGTCAAAGCGGACGTCTCCTGCCGCGGAGCCCGGGTTTTTTTTCCATAGTTTGGGGCACCAAAAAGGACGCGTTTCACTGAGAAAAAGTGGGATTTATGGTGATTTATGATGATTTATGATGATTTATGGTGATTTCACCAGGAACATATGGTGATTTAACAACCTCAAATGGTGCTAGAAATGGGGATCTACTGAAACAGTCATGGATTCACGATGGCGAACCTCAGGAATGTCATTGGATTGGTTAGTGAATTACTATAATTTATCTAGATACTAATTAGATACTATATATATAAATATCTAGTTATATTTATCTAATAATCAGGAATATCTGTACGATATCAAGAATATAATGGTATTGTTCAATGATATGATGATATTCGGACAGATATTAGTGATACTAATTAGATCCCAGTCGCATGTTACTGAAATACCTTACGGGAAATTCTGCAGATACCAATGATGGGATGTAGTCGGATATAGATATGTACACTGTATGTAATGCAATGCAATGCAATGTATTGTAATTTGATGTCATGTAATGTCATGTAATGAAATGCGAGGTAATGTATGTTTACATATGCTCTCTCTCTATGTTTTTCATATTTGCATTGTATTCAATAGATAAACATATACACTGTATGTAGTCAAGAATATGATTTGGTGTGTTGTCCAAAAACCGGGCATACCCTGAAATACACCAAGGTTCATCAGGATCTGTCCGTAAATGACCGTTTTAGGGTCACCCGGTGCTGAGGTTGAATAAACTCCAACTCCCGTGTGTCCATTACCACACTCTTCTGCCGTATTCACACACAAACTCATATTATATGCATGTATAGCACATATAGTATATATATAGGGCACCGAGGACAGATTGATATATTTTTTTCCATGGTAGATCATGGATACTTCATACAATTTTCCAGCTTTCAAGGTTTCGAAAACGGTCGCTCCCCAGTGAGGTCATTTGCTGGCCCACTGCATGAATGCTTGGAAAGAAACGCGGCCTGGAAGCCCAGGGCTTCCAGGCCCAGCTGTACCGGGTAGCCTATGGCAGCTATGGACCACCACTTTCAATTACGGTAGATCGTTAGGATTTTCACGGGCCATGAATTTCTGTGGCGTTAGTTCACTGGAGGGGATGTAGCCTCAAATCCTGTAGCTTGGGCGGCAGAGAAAACAATCAATGAATTTCCGCCGCTGGAAGAGGCTGGTTCCAAGCGATGACATAGGATATTTTAGGCTTGATATCCTCTGGTTTCATCAAAGGTGGCAATTGAACCTGGCCCATGGATGATTTTCCCATTTCTATAAACCTCCAGTGAGTTCGGAGGATTTTCCAGCCTACCACCGCTGAAGCCGAGGGGTGAATGACTTCTCCAATAGGTAAGATATTGCTGATGACCCCCCAACTAACAATTTGACCCTGAGAATCACCGGAAAGAAAGGACATTAGATGACATTAGATGACATTAGTCTCAAAATGACCCCCCCAAGTCATAGCAGGGTCGAAGTGGGACAGTTGCGGATGGGATGAATGGGACGGTGAGAATCGCCTGCCCCAGGCTCCGGCGCACAGTGGACGAGGCAAGATGTGTTTTTTTAGGGGATTTTCGAGCTAACCTAAACACCATGTTTCAGCATGTTTCATGACCAGAGATTAAATTTTCGAGCAATTCGCATGTCAGGAATTGGGGGGGATATAGAGTAGGTTGTAGTGATAGGCCATGTAGATAGGGACGCCACTAATGAGCAGGCACCCAGTTTGGTCAAACGAAACAGTCTATATAAACGGCGTTCCATGTTGCAAAAGAATAAGCATTTGCAGGTGAGCCACGTACGAAAACATTGATATTAGGAGAGCAACAGCTTTCACGTTCACCGTTCAAATCCGAAAGCGGACCACTGTTCCTCCTGCAAAAATGGCACACATACTCACTAAGATATGACGATATACCCTCTGGTAAACTAACATAGCTATTGAAAATGGCCATAGAAATAGTGGATTTTCCCATTAAAAATGGTGATTTTCCATAGTTATGTTAGTTTACCAGAGGGTACCATGAAGGAAATCATTTTAGAATACATCGAATACATCTCAAAAGTTCAGATCACATGACACTCATCCATTTTGGTTGAGGGGAGTCTCACCAAAGATTTTCTGCTTGGTTTGGGACAGGCACATGAAGGAAAATGTCCAGCCTATTGTGTCGGAGATGGTTGAAAGGATTTTGCAGGGCTTCAGACGTCAATATTTTTTCCAAGACCCTCGAGTCATCGAAGTCGCAGCTTTTCCAGCACCATGACACCATGAAGCAGCAGAACATGAGCTCTGCCAGACTGGGGAAACCTGGGTTGAGATACGTTGATCAACCAGCTACCATCCCTTCAACTTCGACCTTAAGGCCCTAAGAATCAGATTCGATTCGCGAAGCGGCGTTTAGCCCAACATTCAGGCCCCCCTCAACTCATGGCAGGGTGGATTTCTTGGGGGCTGGTAGTCTTGAGCCAAGTTGGGATATGTCCAGCTAAACAATGATCATTTGACATTTGTACTTTTTTCCATAGGATCCAGCGACATGAAGGTCACGAGCATCAGCAAGACAAGAAGAAACGACCAAGATATAGAATTTAAACGATATTCAGGTATATTTTGGACCTGTTTCTTTCAAGTAACTGCATTGGTGGCTGATTTCAAGCAACTTTGAAATCAGTTTTGCCTTATTTACCTTGAAACATTTTTAACGGCATTTGTTTTGCTGGCAGCCCAAGTTTCGCTCTTGGCAAGAACATGTTTATCAAACTTACCAGGTCAACAGCAAGTCCCCAGCCCTAGACAAGTCCAAAACTTGGATCCGAAAAAAGTCACGTCCGCTGAGTCCGCTGTATGGCATGTCGACCAATGGAGCCCAAGCCTCGCTGGCGCCGCTTGCTGCGGCTGCGCCGCGACAAGAAACTCCGTGGCGCCGGCCCTGCTGTGCCGCGCGTGAGCGCACGCGCTGCAATGAGAGAGGCGCTGGGACCCACCGAGACCTTTGAACCGCCGCCCTTGCCATGTGGACGTGGCTGGGATCGGCGATTTGACGGTGGATGACTGAGTTCTACACTGGGATTGGGGCCTGGTACAATGCTTGTTTCAAGGTACAATCTCCTCAGAAGCAAAACATGCGGCTGAATATGGACCCAGAAAGGATTCTCTCAGTCACCAACAAGAGTGGAAATAAGCCACTATTAAAACAAGAAGTATCTCTAAGTAGAGGGAATACAATATCACATAAAAACTCGCAAGTCCAAATAGATAGAAAAGTCAAAAAAATCCACACCTAAAAGCTCAATTTGAGTGATTCATTGTTCCTTGTCTACATCCAAAAGGGGGCCGCCTGCTTTGTATCCACGTCCACCTTGGAGAATCCCATGAATCCAAAGGGGTGATCGGATCACCAGTTGTGACCGTGGGATGATCCTCCAAGGAATCATCCCAACCATTTTTTGTTTCTTCACTCAACATTTTTCTGGAGTAAATACAATATAATACAATAAAAATCATCATCTATCATGAGTACTTCATGACTTCATGACTATTCACGACTTGTGTGAACACCATTTTTCTCAGTTTTCCCCATTTGGATGTGGGTCAAAATGGAAGACCTAGGGGACCACAGATATTAGTCTAGTTTAGTATTAACCATCCAATTATTGGGGTACCTAATTTTGACCCATACACATTTGTTCTCCATGAAAATCAGTTCTTTCGACATCTCATCCCTCGGAAACCGCTTGCGGAAATTCCCAGATTGCATGCTATCGCTGCGGATGTCTGATTCCAATGATGGCCTCGAGGAGTGGCCAGAAAGATGGGTGGGTGAGTGGAATTGACCCGGCCTGGTAAACTGCTCCATAACTATGGAAAATCACCATTTTTAATGGGAAAACTCCTGAAAAATGGCACACATACTCACTAAGATATGACGATATACCCTCTGGTAAACTAACATAGCTATTGAACATGGCCATAGAAATAGTGGATTTTCCCATTAAACATGGTGATTTTCCATAGTTATGTAAACGTTTACCAGAGGGTACCTCCATGATTTCGCCAATTTTGAACCCCCCAACAGTGGGCTGAGAAGGGAGATCGACCTGGTGGAGCTACGAATCGAGTTTAGCACATGATTTTTGTTAAATGCCCCTGTTGTTTGGCCAATTTGGAGGGGCTATAAACCCAACTGGTTTTGTTCCCATTTATATTTCCACCAATAGTTGACGGCTCATGAAATCATAGTAGCGACATTTTGAGAACAATCATAATTCAATGGAGGAGGGAAACTCTTCGGTTGAAACTCTGCTTTGCCCGCATGAGAATGTGGGGGTAAACTGCTTCGCCCAAGCATCAAACGTTGGGGACTGTGGCCCCTCATTGCTGAACGCAGGAATTGAATGCTGAGCTTCGTTTCACCAATGGAGAGATACTCGACTGGTCGTTTTTTTTTTCTGTTGCATGGGTGGTTGGTTTGAGACTTACTTTATCGCTCTGACGGATGAAATTATAGGCATTCACTGCTGAATTTGTCGGAGTTTGATGTATTTCAATTTTTTTCACAGCTCTCAAGAATCTGCTCTTAGGGGTCCCATTCATGAGTCAAGGTAGGAAAATCAAGGGCTGCCATAAGCAGTCGAAACAGGATCGACGGTTTCTTCGCAGTCGCTTCCCCTCCATGATGCAGAGGTGTTTCTGATGGAGAGCCGTCAGTTGTTGCACCAACTTTTTCTGGCAGGGATGTCACCAATGACTAATGAACACAATGTTGATATGAAACTAGTGAATACACATACATATATAATATATATGTGATATGATATGATATAATATGATATGATATAATATGATATGATATAATATGATATGATATAATATGATATGATATTATGATATATAAAAAACTATATAATATATTATATATAAAATATGATATACATATATGTAATATAATATGATACTTATATAATATATTATACATTATATATTTCATATATATATATATATTTTCATATATATATATATGTATATATATATATATGTATATGTATATAAATAATGGGTATGGAACCATGACCAACCAGTACTTTTCCACTTTTTGGACGTTTTTTCAGCACAGAAATTGCCTGAGGAAGGCGGCCAACTTGCGCGGCATGTACATCTTCCGAGAGGAGAATGGAGACTTCTTGGCAACTTGGCTCAGTGATTTTGGCCTGGTGGAAACTGGTCTGGACCACTCTCCATTGGTTTTACAGTTCGCATCATATGACGAAACAAAAACACTTATCGCGTTTCATGTGAAAAATTCCATATTAGTTCATTGTTTCTGTTTCTCTGCTTTGCATTTTTAAAGTCCAGGTAGCCCTTTGGCTGGAAACATGACCCATAGCCCATGACTTCGCTTTGGTGAATCCCCATGTTAAGGAGCCAGACATCAGCATTGTGGGTTCAAGAAGACCCGCATCTGGTAGCTTGAATCCCAAACCACCCCAAATCCAACCAAGATTGATTAGAATCTATTAAAATCAACCAACATTTTGGGTGTTGGATGTTTCTGCAGTCCAGAGTAGCAGCCCAGCAGCCCGAGTTAACCATCAGACACCTCCGATGGTTCCCTTCTAGGACTGCTGCGCGCGTGGTCCCGAAAGGCTCAAAGATTTGGCGTTGCTTGGCTGCAAGGATTCAGCAAAAAGGCGACATTTTCATGTAGACAAATTGGGAGTTCAGCGTTCAGCAATCATATGATGTACCCTCTGGTAAACGTTTTTTGATAACTATCAAAAATCACTAAAAGTGGGGATATTCCATTTATGACTGGGGATATACCCATTGGTAAACGGTTTGCTATTGAACATGGCCCAGTTGAAATAGTTGATTTACCCACTAAACATGGTGGATCTTTCTATAGCTATGTAAACGTTTACCAGAGGCTAACGAACATGAACGAACAAAGCAGGGGGGTTTATCTGATACCCTCTGGTTATTTAACATAGCCATGGAATAGATGGTCCATAGAAATAGATTATTTTCCCAGCTAGAAACCTCCATTTATGGTTGGAATTTTCCATGGCTATGTCAAATAACCAGATGGTACATCTCTAAAGCCAGATGAGTGGATCAACCCATCCCAGCATTTAGATCATATCCACAAGATATTCCCATGAACTCCCCCCAAAAAACAGGGATTACCATTTTATTGCCAGTACATCCCCATATACAGCATATACATATACATATACATATATAGATACATATATAGATACATATCTATGTATGTGTATATATACAGTATATATATATATCTATATCTTGGTGAAATCACCATGTCAACTGGGCGCACCTTTTTTCCCAGGCCGGTGCTCTTCAACGAGTTCGGTCGTCCGAAGGAGGTGCTGAAGAAGCAGTGTGGGGTGCGCGCTCGCACCGGCGGCTTCCTATGGTGCGGTCCTGGGGTGGTCCTGGACAAAGGTGATGGGAAAACCATGGTAAAACAATGGGAAAACCATGGGAAAAGCTTGGTGGTATAGCTTGATTCACACGAAATTCGATGAAAACTGGGGGATTATGACTAGTGGAAATGATATAACCAGGAAAAAGGAAGAACAACAGGAAATTGGGATAGAATCAGCAACAATGGGTGCTCATTTTGGTACAACCTTGGTGAACGTTGCGCCCTGCGGTTGGTTTTCATATTGCCGGTTACCATGTCAATAGCGACATGACAAAATTTCAGGGTGGGCCCAGAATTCATCACGGATTATGAATCCCTGGCTGAAAATTACCCTCTGGTTATGACTAACATAGCCATGGAATAGATGGTCCATAGAAATAGATGATTTTCCCAGCTAGAAACCTCCATTAATGGTTGGGATTTTCCATGGCTATGTTAAATAAGCAGATGGTAACATGTGTTCGCTGAGTATCTAGGATTGGTGGTGTCAGTCAAGGAACTTTTTTCCGGGGAATTTCAGCTTGCAAGAAAGCGGAACACACCCAGAAGTACCCGCCCCAGCGAGTTAACAATTCAAAGTTGCAGATTTTTACATGTTCTCTGCGAAAACGCAATGGAGTGATCATATACCCTCTGGTAAACTAACATAACTATGGAAAATCACCATTTTCAATGGGAAAATCCACTATTTCTATGGTCATTTTCAATAGCAATTTTGACATAACCAGAGGGTATCATGATCTATCCCAGACATCCGTGCCATGGTCAAGTTAGCTGGCCGACTGTGGATTCCCATTATGGGATGGATGACCATAAAGAATTTCTAATATGTTTTGCCTCTAGCACATATGAAACCAGGAATCATGTGGAAATTCAACGATAAAACCTGGGAGATTTAAGAATATTTAGGTACGATTTCAGCAATGAATAGTGGGTACAGCACATTTTTTTTGTCATTTTGGTACTTGGTCAGCCCTTCTTCAGGCTCGTGAGCCTTGACGTGTCAGAGGAGTTGGAGTTGGACATTCAGAAGGAATTCATTCAGAAGGCCCAGCTTGGAAGGTTTTTTAAAAAGGGCTGGTTTTTTCGTGAGATTTTTTGTTTCGGATTCTCATGGGATCTTCATGGGTGGTTGGTGGTGACTGGAACATGACTGGATTATGACTTTCCCATCATATTGGGAATGTCATCATCCCAACTGACTTTCACTCCATCATTTTTCAGAGGGGTAGGCTCAACCACCAACCAGATGGAATTCGAGAGGAATTTTCGTGGGATTGGGGATCAAATGGATTCGAGAGGAACATCTGCAGAAAATTGGCACCGTTTTGTTCGATTTATTGGTTGACTAGGTATATGATTCATGTTAAGCCCAACAATTGGACACACTCGACTTTTACAGGAACAAATCACAAATCCCCAGTATTTGGTTGATGAAACCTGTTGAATTCCGATTCTTTAATTCAAGAAATCCCCAGTGCTTTGGCATGTTTTGAGGATCTTGGACATTTTGGTGTGCCTCAAAAACTGGAACCCCAACATTTTGTTTATCATCAATTCCCCCAATGGGGTATTCCACCTTTTGAGATAGGTTAGCCATGGTGAATGACCATGGCTACAAGCGAGTGATCCAATGAATGAGGATCTTGGTTAGACTGGTTGTTATATCCCATGTTTTTACCATGATGGATGGTTGAATCCCCATTGTGTTGCTTATATATCCCTACTGCTCCGCCATTTCTACTTGGTGGTTCATCCCAGTTAGAAATAGGTTTTTTCACTACGTCTACGTACTTTTTTCTGAGGTTATCATCCATTTACGATTCGTGGGATGTACACCCAGGTAGGACAACCATTGAAAACCCACTGAAAAATCATTGAATTCCATTATAACCCCCAAGTAAACATCATTCAATCACTAGAAAATCCTATCAAAATCCCGGTAAATCACTATAAAATCCAAACCTTTGGGGGTCACCACCATGGTTCAACGCCTGAGGTCTTCTGCGTTCTGGCCGGGGCGATGAAGAGACTGACCCTGGTGCTATGTCTTCATGACAGCCACTGGGCATAGCCAGTGCAAGCCAGCACTGAGATTGGCACTGGAGCTTGGTGAAATAGATATGTATATATATATATATATCTATGTATATATATCTATATATATATATATCTATCTATCTCTATATATATATCTATATATATATATATATTTGCAATGATGTATATAATGGTTACAGTTCCAGTAGGTGCGCTTTACAGTTCGAATTTTTCTGTAGACCCAGTAAAATTCCACCGGACCTCCGAGGTATCGACCGTGTGCAACACATGGATCTTCACCCCATGGAAATCGTTCCGTGGCAACGCAGGGGGGATTTCCCCCGGTGGGTTGATGAAAAACGTGCCTGGATGATGCCAACTCATTTTTTTTAACACCCCCATTAAGTGGTTCCAATGATGTGGAAATTCCCAAGAAAAACTATATGGTTTTGAAATTAGGATTATTAGGATGGGAGTACTACTGGAACCGATACAGTATAAATAAATAAATAAGTAAATAAGTAAATATATATATATATATTATATATATATGAAAAAAACGATGTTCTCGGTTTATGAAATTGTGTACAGCCCCCAGTTCACTGGGATGATTTACCATCCAATTGGAGATGCTCAGGGTCAACTCACCCAGAGGCTTCTCCAAGGATGGAAAAACCTAAGAGTTGATGCTGACTGGATCATCCTAAGAGCACGGTAACCTCTCATCAAAGGAAGGTTTGTAGCCAATTCTGTCCACCTGAAACACACAGCACATGAGAACCCAAGGTCAATGCACAAGAATGGAAGGCCCTCAACTCACCAAAGCTAACCCTATGTTGGGCATCCTTCGTGTTTTTTTTGGTGCCAAGTCAGTAGCCAAGCCTCCATTTCTTGGTGATTTTTCCACCATCCCAGGTCCAACCGGCCCAAACATCCACCGAGGACGGGCAGCAGGTCTTCTCTTGGGAGAAGCGTTCCTCGGATCCCAAGGCCATGGCCATGGTGGCCTCGCAGGAGCGGCGCCTGCGGCCGCCCGAGGAGCCCATGGAGCCCGAGCCGGCCACGACGCTGGAGGCGGTGCTTCCGCAGCCGCTGGAGGCAGCAGGATGGGATGGGGGGCGTTGAAACCATGGAAACCATGGGAAAATTGGGCTTATTTCACCATGAAACATGGGGAAAACCCAGGTTTAACCATGACGAAACTGGGAGTTTGAAAGGATCATCCACTTACAAAGTAGAAGTCCCCGACTGTCAGGTAGGTGATCCGACCTACAACTGGGGTACAAAGCACTTACTAACATGCTCCTTTAAGAGGGGGAAGGATGCTAACAGATTGGGGGGAACCAACCGGATAGGTATTTCAACAATAACTAGTCCTTTGCTGTCAATGGAATATATTAAGCCAAGCAGCTAAACATCTGATTCATGGCTAAGGGCTTTGGCATGAGACGGGGATTTTTTGGGAAAAGGTTTGAACACTAGGAAGTTCAACCGGCAACAAAGTAGGGATTTAAGATGATGTTACCAAGAAATTTGGAATTCAACAGGGAAAACATCAGATATTTATAGATATTTACTACTGAACAACAAACATGGGGGATAAAACTACGAGAACATGGCATTTTTCACCAGCAAAAAAAGACGTGGATCATTGGACACAAATTTTTGCCAAGAAATGATGCAGAAAATTGGACATTTTTATTGTAGCAATTTATGCCCTTCAGATTTGGGGATACTGTAGAATTTATGAGGCTTGAAGAAACCGACCTTTGGAAAACATGTCAATAGGAATTCCAGGATCCTAAAATGGAGGTACTGTACCATATAAGGCCATATTTTGTGGGGATATTCCCTTACATAGGCCTTACATAGGCCTTATATATGGTAGGTACCTCCAATTTAGGATCCTGAAAATCCCATTGATCCTACTTAGTGTAGAAACTATGAGAACGACAACCCAATGATGGCATCAATGGGGAGGTTTTTTGGGCTGTGGGTCAAAACCCTGGTACCCTGGTTTTCACAGCAAAATATTTTGTGATGAATGTTCATCCCTGGTAAATTGCCAATATTGCGGGATGGTCATCCATTTTTGTAGGGATTCATAAACCCATGACCATTGGTTTCCCTTCCATACTGTATATGTGACTGAGCATGGCACATATGAGTTCTAACATATCAGCATCTGTTGTTCGATAAATTTACATGTATTTGCGTATATCTACATATATATATATATTATCTTGTAACATACTCTAGTAGTGTATCTGGTATTTGCTTAGTGTACCGGTGTCTATATACGTGGGTCGTTTTTCACCGCGAAAAACCGCCTAGGCTCCCCCTGCAGCGCCGCCGGACTTCCCCCCTGAAGCTCCGCCCCTGGTTGAAGCGCCACCGGCTCCAGAGACGGCGCCGGTTGCGGTGTGGCTTGATGAAAACACCTGGCCTTTCGGATTACCGCTGTAAGATAGCATGGACATATTTCATGGGGATGCAACTTACGGGATATAACGATGAAACGACAATTGGAATGTCACCAGTAAACAGCTAAAATGGTTGGTTTTCATTAGGGTTGTTCCAACCTACTGGTAAATGATAGCCACAAACAAAATGAATTGGTGTTTTGACTTCTTTTTGTGCCCATACGTAGTAGGATCGCGGCCAGCGAACAGCCTTGATTTCTTGAAAAAACAGGGGGACACTTTTGATCCCTTGTGAACTGTGAACATGTTTTTTTTTTTTGTGGGGTACCCTGATGTAAAAAACATAAATGCGGAAAACCGCCATGTATGGTTCATTTTCCGAACGGAAACCGGAAACCATGGGTTTTCCACATCTATGTTTACCCCAGGGTACTTTTAATTTAAACCAACATACAATTTGTTCACATTGGGCCCCTCATTTTCGGTTTGTGTTGGAGAATTCATTCATGATAGAACGCAAAACTTGTTGAATGTTTGGTGCGCATAGGTACCTTAAGACCGAGAGACTCTCACGAAGGAATGGGGTGAGTATCAAATGGAATGTTCACAAATTCTTCGCCCCAAAGAATCAAAAAGGAGTGATTTTCAGCGAACCAAGTCTATAGATTTCCATTGAACTCATAACGGAACACTAGCACCACGCAATTTTTGAAACCGTACGCACTTTACCCTCTGGTGAACTAACATAGCAATGGAAAATCACCATTTTTAATGGGAAAATCCACTATAAATGGCCATTTTCAGTTGCTATGTTAGTTCACCAGAGGGTATGTAATAGTATCTTGCGTTGAAGTACCACAAACCAGGGAGTCTTTCATACCATAATCCAGGTGAAACCGTAGTTCATTTCATTCTGTCTCTATTGCAGCGGCTCCCTGAAACCATGGAAAAAATTGAACATCAACTTTTAAATTTTGAAAACATCAATTGAGTTGAAGTAATCAATGTCTTTTCATGTCTTTTCTTTAACACCATGATGAAACATGATTAAACTATCCCCCTGGCAATACCTCTACAAAGTGAAGGAACCTGGGTTCCCAAAACCATCTGGTTTTGTACACGCACTTTCCTTTACAAGGTTGGGATCTCATGGTCTGACATAGATGCTAAATTAACTATTTTTCTATAAATAGATGAATCCCAACTTTGTAGAAGGGTCCCAGGGTGTTTTTGAGCCTGATGTGCAAATATGTAGAAAAATAATAACTTATATCCAGTGTTGTAGAGCCAGACCCTTCTGCCAGACTTGTCCTGGTTCTTGTGCAAACGTTGTGAAACCACGTGGGCTTTACAAAGTTCAAGAAAAAGGATTTTTGGGCTTTTGAGCTTCAAAACATGATGCAAATTTGGCATTTTTTTTGAATCCTAACTTTGTAGAGCCTTATGTTGTGAAAAAAACACCTGTCATACAGTAATATGCTTGAACTTTGTAAGTTTTACATTCTATGAAGGGTCCCGTATTTCAACTTTGTAGAGGCCAAAATTGACCCAAAACTTGATGTGTGGGAAAAAAAAGTTTGGCTTTTCCCAGGTAGCCCATGGAATTCACCTTGTGGGATATTATTCAACTCCCAGAGTTTCTGAACGCCATGGATTGGGAAAACCGAGGCCCACGGCTGCCACAGCCGCGCCGTCGAACTCGACGTCGATGCCCAGTGCGCCGTCGAACGAGATGAGTCTCAGAGTGGTGTGATGGGTGACATCGACGACTTGGCGTTTTTTTTTTTTTAAAATAGGGTCTGATGGGGATATAACTATGATATAACTATGATATAACTATGATGATCTTTGATCACATCACTTACATGATTGACATCAATTGATGTCACATTTTATAGCATATATCGAAGAGATGGGGATATAAATGATGGTTGATGGGTGAAGATTCAAGAGTCCCAATGTACATAGATAACCCAAGGGTTATATAATTGGAAAACAACACCACAACAAACAGAAAAAACAAACCAGAACGCCTATACAAATCCAAAAAAAACAAGAAAAATAAATTGAACAAAAAATAAACACACACAAATCAAACATTGGGGACAATGCAGTTTTTTCATTGTTTTTTGTTTTTCCGCTGATTCTTTCCTGTGGGTTCGTATTTTTGGTGAATATGTTTTTGATTCGTCTCTTTTCTTCTCTTATTATTATTATTTTTTCCAAGAATCAATTTTCTCTGTTCCAGCCGGTCCTTTAATTGAAGATTCAATCCAATTTCACGGTTTTCTTTGATTTATTTCCCCTACCCCACCTGCTGCCTAGCTAGTCCCTGTTGTTTGAAAAGTTGGGTCATAAGTTACAAGTCAAAGCTCACTGGTTTTCAGCCAACCGAATACGTAGCAGGGCATGGCAGAATGGTTCGAGGGGAAACTGAAACAATTGTTCCTATTTAGGGGGTACTTGCAGCCCCTTTATTTGATGGTTCCAAGGTTTGCTTTCACAATTTCTCTGAAACATCCACCCAAACAAAAAGTCATGTCAGAATTGGTTCAAGGGAACATTGAAAAAAACAATCTCCCCAGAAGTCATCAGTCAAACACCTTTCAAACCAACAACCCCAAAGAATAGATCAATGGGAATTTCAGGATCCTAAATTGGAGGTACCTACCTTATATAAGGCCTATTTTTCAGGCCTAAATTTCAGGGAATATACCCACTTTTAAGATGGCCAAAAATATGGTACTTACTAACGTACCTCCATTTTAGGTTCCTGAAATGACCATTGAATATTGGTATAGATGGCCAAAAAAATAGTTCGATGATTTACCTATAAACAAATGGTGGTTTTCTATAGCTGAGATCCACAACAACAATCCAATGGATCTGCCCAGATTTCAAACCCCACAGAACTGTCCCCCAAAAAAAGAAAAAATCGCGATAGCATGGCCATGGCCAACACCACAGATGTTCTAACAAACATATTGTAATAATACCGTAGGCTTAGGTTTACCAATGATTTTTTTCGTAGAATTAACGTAACAACAACTTTTCATAAACAAACATGGTCTTGAACATCAAGTAAAGCGCATAATTTGTCCACAGCTTTACCCGTAATTGCAAATATACCCGCCAGTTTCCCAACCATTTCCCATACATGTACACAAACAATTGAAAAAAACGCAGGGTGGGTTTAGCCACATATTTCCATCAACAGTTTACACACATCTACAAATCTTACCCAAGAAAAGTCCCATAAGTAAATCTAAGTCTAAGTAACAATCCAAAAATCGAAAAAAACATAGATTTACCCATCAGATGATCCACAATTTCTCAATTGACCCAGGACTCAAAGCTCTGCGTTGATTTCTCCGGCGGTTCCGGCGGCGAACGCGCCTGGTACACCAAACAGCATGGCCGGAAGTATGGAGGTGGACCGGGGAATTTTAGGACTTGGTTTTAGGTGGCTGGAAACCCATGTTTTTGGAGTTGGGAGTTGGGAACCAAATCACTGTTTTTTGGTTATGGGTTTCTTGTTTGATTTGTTTTTACCCAAGTGTTGTCAGCATTTTGCTTGTCTTTGGGCTCAATTTAGTCGAAATTTACGGCTTTTCTGTGAAAAAATGAGCCAACACAGATGGGGATTTGATCGGGAACATCTTATCGGAACAGCTAGTTGAACGGGAGCCGAAGCGCGATTTTTTTAAAATAGCATTTCTTGCAAGCATCGGAAAATGTGATGGCATGATGTGATATGATGTCCAGCTGAATATTGGCTATTTTTTTTGCAGGCTATGAGCACTCACACATCCTATGATCTGCCCAAGACGGGCAGGGCTGTAGGTGTTGGGGTCTAAGGGCCTGAAGGTTTAGGTTTAGTTTTTTGGGCGCTTGGGGACACATTGAGTGAAATTTTGCAGTTTGTCGCACCAGTCACCATTTATAAATTTGGCAACACGCAAAGTGCGTTTGTCTGTGTATATTTGTTGGGTCATCGCATTCAGTAAGAGTGGATAGTAAAGGTTCAAATTTGTTCAATCCAGTCATAGTAAAGGTTCAATCCAGTCATGTTTGGATAGCAAATTTGAACATGACTGGATTGAACATGACTGGGAGGACACCCAAACATCTATCCGTTTAAACCTCCGTTTAAACCTTGCATGAACATCCGGTGGCTTTACACGACATCTCTGATGCTTTTTTTTGTTGGTTCCATTTTTTAATTTTTTTCGACCCTACCTAGCTACCCTCTGGTAAACTAACATAACTATGGAAAGATCCACAATTTTCAATGGGTAAATCCACTATAAATCACCATTTTCAATAGCTATGTTAAATTACCAGAGGGTAGTTTGATGTTTTTTCAACTGACGTTTTTTTTTTTAAATAAATATGGGTCAATATGAGTTGAACTGACCAGCCAGGAGATTTTTTGGGTGTTCCATGGGGTGTAAAGTATTTCTTCCAACGCGGCCAGGAGTTCAGCGATGTTGAGGGAAACACCTCCGTCCCAGCCTCTCCGGGCAGAGATTTCCGAACTCGATGGCGGATGAAAGGTGCACCGTTGAGCCATGCAAAAAAGGGGATGGACGCATTAGAGACCATCAAAGATGTGCATTAAATTTTTAAATTGATTGAACCATCAAACAATGGAATTGAAGGAAGAACATCCGCCATAAATTTCACCCAAATTGGGATTGCTAGTAATTATATGACCATTGATTGGAGGAGTACTTGCCAAAAAGCCCTTTTTTGAAATGTCGGACACTTTTGGACCCAGGGATGGGCAGTCACCATGCAATTTTGGTTGAGAACCAACTTGATGATCTGGTGCAAAACCATCATTCAAACTTGATATACCCCATTTATGTTAGCATATATACCAGCACCATGGATCCTATGGGTCTGTTTTTTGATGACCACTCCGATCTCACGATTTTCGCAGCAGCTCGCCGCGCTGAGGCAAAGGTTCAGCGAACCGGAACGAGTTGCCGGCGGCGCAAAGTACTTCGCCACCACCTGCTGCAGCAGCCCCTGAAGCTGAGCCAACCAAAGCCGTCCCCGCCCCTGCTGCACCAGCACCGGCCGCGGCTGCGCCGGCACAAGCTTCCGTGGTTCCAAAGGCAGGCAAGGCGGTTGAAGTGAAGGGCAAAGGAAAGGTGAAGGGAATCTTGGTGGGTTTAGCGCTGTTTTTTTCGGAGAAAGTGTGAAGGGATGGTAGGGGCTGACCCCTTTTGCTGAGTAATTTCGTAGCTGATTTTGTTCCTGATTCTTGGTGGTTAGACCTCCTTTGACGGGTGAATATATCTACAGTATTCTACAGTTGGATGGGTGAAAATAGACGAATTTATATACATCATTGGGGGCCCTTGCAAAACTGGTTGTTTCGGTTAGAATCAATACACATTTTTCCATGTAAATCAGCGTTTTTCCAGGCATAAACACATATATATATAGAGAATTCATCATCTACGAGTGTTTTTGAAAGTTCCAGAGTTGGGAGGCTGATCAATCTAGATATTGATTCACCTATGATTTTAATTGAGGTATGGTGATGCCAGTTAAGGCAAATCCGAGAACACCAAGGAGTGGATAGGAAGTACATCTATAGGGAATCCCCCAGTATTGGACGGCTGTATCTAAAAAGATTGACAGCCTTCTGCCATGCCAGAGTTGCAGCAAGGTGATTCCTGTTTTAGTCATTCTAGTCCTTGAACATGACCCAGAAAAACAACACACTTTGCAAGAAAGCACCACTAGCTGGATCTGTTTGGTCGTTTTCATCCACCCCGATTCATATGCTCCGCATTGTGACATCAGCCAGTTGACATCGGTTATATCCCGAGCCAATGAAGCCCTAGACCGTCCCATGTTGAGGCCGCTAAGTCAACCATCAAAATACCATGTACAGTACATCTCCATTTATGGTTCGTAAAGTCCCATGTTTGCATGTTTGCATGATTCATGTTGGGAAATGATAGTTTCTTAGCGAGAATCCCAATTGTTGTGAAATTCCAAATATTTTCTGTGGTGAGACCCGGACACAGTTGACCCCTTGTGGTGGTTGGAAGCCAAATGTTCATAAATTAACAGGGAACAACAGGGAAACTCTACGGTTTTTGGTTGGGTACGGTTTGGTTGAATACCTTCAAACTATTCTGAATCCGTTCAGCAAGTTTACAACTTCAGAAACTTGAGCAGCCATGCATAGTGGACCTCCTCAATTTACATTTTTTCTTTCTGGATAAAATCCCCCATCAAAAAACAGCACCAGGATGGTTAAAAGTTAAAAGATGTGAAATTCCATGAAATCCCTCATGTTTCAGGTAAACTATATGGTAAACTCATCATTTTTGATCATGTTTGTTAATCACCCATGAACCGCCAGGGAACCCCTTTATAAAATCATATTTTCCCAAGTTCTCTGAAGTAAACCCCACTATAGCAACCCCCAAAAAAGATGCCGAAAAGTGTGACACCTGGAATATCTATTGAAGCATCATCTATAATCACATCATGACACATCAAGTTCAACACAACTCGATCTTTTTGGGCCTATTGAAATCATCATGAAAATCCATTGAAATCCCTTCAAAATTTACCCTCTGGTAATTTCACATAGCTATGGAAAGATCCACCATGTTTCATGGGAAAAACTCACTATCAATGGCCATTTTCAATAGCAAACTGTAAACGTTTACCAGAGGGTATATCCCATTAATATCCCATCAAAAATCACTATAAAATCCTATAAATGGGCAATTTTCAATAGCTAAAGGGTCCCATATCCCCTGGATCCCATGGAAACTGGGTAAAAAACACCGAGTCCCATGGGATCCTAGGGATCCCATCGAACCCCCTGAGGAAAGCTGAAGACCCCGCTGGCTGCGACAACCAAGCGCCGTTCCAGCGACATGGAGCCGCCGCCCCTGCATGCCGCCATGCGGCGGCAACGGCGCGCCGTGTCCCTGGAGACGCCTGGCGATTTCGCACCGGGACGTCGTGGATGTTTTTTGGGGGAAAACGTGGGGATTTCACGGTGATTTCACGGTGATTTCATGGTGATTTCATGGGACATTGAATATATTTGAATATTATAATCCAATGGTTGATGATCATTTGCCCGATGAACATTAGGCCGACCATTGGGGGATACCTTGTTGTCAGACAGGTGACAGACCCATGACATGGAGTTGGTGGGTGTTTTCACCAACAATTGAAGATCTTTCCGATTAGATACTTGAGAATTGGATGGTGATTTGTGATTTTGTGGGAATTCAAGCGGCAAACTCGGTGACACATGTGACACTGCGCGGGAAAAGAAAAGGATTTCACTCAGTTTTCGATCAATCCAACGGGGCTTTAAAACGAATGGAGGGAGTCTGGCCCAATAGAAATGTGTTTTTTTTCAGCAGAAAGAGCGGTCCGACCAATGATTGGAACTGGAATGGATCCCCAGAAATGATCTTTTAAACTTCTTTGGATCGAGATGAGAGATGAAAACTTCCATGAAACTCTGGAAGTTTTATGGATTTGAATGTTCAATATATAGATTTTTCAACGGATCAAGCTTCAAGGGAAGATAAATTCACGAAATTTCGCATGGAGTTGTTCCATCCATTTCTCCCATTTTCGGTGAGGTCGGTTCGCCTTGAAGAGCCGCCGCTGCCGGAGGGTGCCCTGGAACGAACGCCCAGCACCTCATCGCTGTCGCAGCGGATGCAATGGGCGCTGCTGCGGTCCGCCACGTGCGCGCAGAGGAAGCCATGGCGGTGATGGGGGGCCAAGGGTGCCGTGGGGAGTTTACTGCTGGAGTTTTTGGGTGGATTTAAGAAGCCATGGATTTTTGAGTGGAAGTGGGAGTGGGTCGGAGTATGGTTGATATATCTGCTAAGATTTATGGCTTAAGCCATTTGTGAAGAAAATTAACTGCGGCTATCTCCCTTTATAATCGGGATGTAGATTTATGTTGTAGCAATGCTTGTTAACATTACTAGCTTGCACCATGCAAAAACGACGCGAGGATGTGGGCCAAGCAGATGCAAAAGCTGGAAAATGGACGTGCCGCAGTTCCTTGGGCAGTACCCTCTGGTAAACTAACATAATCCCTTCCTCCTAATACTAAACCCCCCCCCCTAATACAAAACACGGCAGGTAGTTTTTAGTATTAGGGGGGTATTTAATATTAGGGAACCAAATCGAAGTCATGTTAATTAATTAATTAAATTTCCTTATATAACGCAATTAAAATATTGCCAAAAATGGCAGTTCGAAGCTTACCCCTAATACTAAATTAAACCCTTAATACTAAAAACTATTTTTTCCGATCTCAAAATCAATTAAATTTCCTTATATAACGCAATTAAAATATTGCCAAAAATGGCAGTTCGAAGCTTACCCCTAATACTAAATTAAAACCCTTAATACTAAAAACTTTTTTTTCCGATCTCAAAATCAATTAAATTTCCTTATATAACGCAATTAAAATATTGCCAAAAATGGCAGTTCGAAGCTTACCCCTAATACTAAATTAAAACCCTTAATACTAAAAACTATTTTTTCCGATCTCAAAATCAATTAAATTTCCTTATATAACGCAATTGAAATATTGCCAAAAATGGCAGTTCGAAGCTTACCCCTAATACTAAATTAAAACCCTTAATAATAAAAACCATTTTTTCCGATCTCAAAATCAATTAAATTTCCTTATATAACGCAATTAAAATATTGCCACAAATGCAGTTCGAAGCTTACCCCTAATACTAAATTAAAACCCTTAATACTAAAAACTATTTTTTCCGATCTCAAAATCAATTAAATTTCCTTATATAACGCAATTAAAATATTGCCAAAAATGGCAGTTAGAAGCTTACCCCTAATTGCTAGAGTAGCTAGGCAGCTTGGAGTGAGGGATTGGGACTAGGCCCCCTAATACTAAACACCCCGGGGTGAACTAGTTTTTAGTATTAGGGGGGAGAACCCACAAATGGTAGGTTGATTTTTAAATTGTTTTTTAAAGGGGATCAATTAAAAGTCAAATTGGCCAAACTGAAATTTTCGGAAATTGGAGATGGATGCCTGTTTTTAGTATTAGGGGGACGTTTAGTATTAGGAGGAAGGGATTAGCTATTGAAAATCACCATTTTTAATGGGAAAATCCACTATAAATGGCCATTTTCCATAGCTATTTTGACATAACCAGAGGGTAAATCTGAGAACCAGGGAACCAGAACAAAACGTGGCTCCGAAAGTGGAGGATCTAGGACCATGGTGAAACCCTGCAGGACCATGGGGCCCCCAGAAAACGATGGTTCATAGCGAGCCAAAAAAAAGATCGACACATTGAAATCCGACCAAAATAGTGGCAAATAAAAACTGCTTCATCTTTTTTTGGGTTACTATCATGTATATATATATATACTATATATATACTATATATATATACTATATATATACTATATATATATAGGCATACATATCGACTTGAAACTCGAACTGCAGCCCGGTGATTCCAGGTCGACATCTGGCTCGGTGACGACCTCCCTGAGAGCCTCGGATGCCGTCGGGCCTCGTGAAACTAAGCCTGGTGCTAAACGTAGGGAATTTTTGGGAATAATTCCATGATTATTCCATTATAGTTATAATAAGAATGGGGGTTAAAATATGTTAAAATGAGAATTATTATTCCACTGGCTAACTATGAATATCTATGAATAATGATCCCATTTTAACCCCCAGGAACCCATCCATTCCTTACGTTTTTTTAGCACCAGTATAATCAGTATAAGTAAATGGATGTAAATGGGTGCCACATTTTGTTGCTAGCAACAATCCTCCAAATTTCCCATAGATCCCATGAAAACTCGGAAAGCTGTCGCCCCGGCTGAGGAAATTTCAGGCGGGCGTCCACAAGGCCTTCATTCGCGGCATGGTGGAAGTGGCATCGGCCGTGGAGCATCTGCTGTGGCAGGGCAAGGAGCCCGTGACTCGACGGAAAGAATGGGAATGGGATGACTGGGGATTGTGATATGACTATTCTTCCTATTGATGAGTGTTATTGTTATTTTTAATTGTTGTTTTTCATTATTGTTATTGTTATTATTGTTATTATCTTCTATTTATCTATATCTATTTATCATTTGTTATTTATTATTTATCATTTATGATTCATAGTTTACCGAGATACATGATGACATATGGGTTTGGTTTTCATGGCTTGTCACCCTCTGGTAAGTTGTTGCACTTTGCGAACTAGAAGCCGCGGCTCATTTTAGTTCGATGATGTAGTGTTTTTTTTTGAATGTGGTGATTGTCCATAGTTACGTTTCATTACCGGAGCCATGGCTCATTTTTAGATGATTTATGATTATTCACCTACTAAAGATGGTGACGATCCAATAGTTATGTGAAATGACCATTCAGGACTGTTCCCATAAGCCATAAGTGAATTGTAGCCACAAGGCCGACCCGAGAGAGGGCCAAAACATCCCTCTGAAAATCTGGGCTGTTGGGAATGTTGGGAGAGTTTCCCCCTGAGGACTGGTGCTTGGAGCAAGAATCTAGGAAATTTGCTCATGATCCTTCGGATGTTTTCTTTTGAATAGCTCATGTATTCCTGAGTTGGTGGGGTATCGGCCATACCGAATCGAGAGGCGATTTTCTGGCAAACAACATCAATGTTGTGCCATCCCCCAATATTAAACACACCCTAAATGGTCCCAAATAGGTGTAATTCCCCTATTTCTAGGCTTATTTTGATGCACGGGAAGGGGATGAAGACGCCCTGAAAAAAGGCAGATGAAGCTCGACTCCATGTTGACCCCTCAAGTGAGCCATGTCCAGAACCTCTTATGGTTTACATTTTTTACATTTGATGTCAATAATCTTATGTCCATTTGAACACCATCTCAGCTCCCATAATGCCCCCATAAAATCAACTCCCATAAATGCGAAAGACTCAAAGATGGTTCATTTTCATCTATTTTCAACCAGAGAACTGGAATATCCTGGGACGCTGATCTCGAAAATCCCTATTGAAAAAATGCTGGCTTTGCCCCGAGGCGTTGGCCACGCTTCACTCCGCCTTCCCCGCCAGCATGGACGGGCACTATGCGGCCATGCAGCAGCGCATGCTAGGTCTGCGGGTGCTAGAGGGACGACAGCGTGGCTGGGAAGCGACGTTAGCCATACATGGGGAGTTCAGGGGCAAAGATATAAGGATTTCAATACGCATAACTAGGTGAATTCGATGGGTTTCTGGATGGTTTACGGTAAGAAAACTAATATAGAACTCGTTTACTTCGTGTTTTGTTGGGTGAACATGAAACAACCAAAAACATCACTGGGGGAAGCACCCCGCACCGTAGCGCCGTAGGGGTTGGGCACCGTCCCAGGTCACAGCCTGAGCCACTTCTACGGCAAGGGCGGTCGCCTTGAGGACGTCCTGCGGCTGCTGCTGGTGGACGCTGAACGCTTCTGTGGCACGGCAACAATCGCGGGATGACTTGAGGGTACCCCTCCCCCATTTTAGGAAACCTCCATTATATGATATATATATATATACATACAATATGGCTTTCTAGGGATTTTGAGGTTTTCATCTTGTTTTTGAAGAGAAAAATGATGCATGGTTGGTGATTTTATTTGGGTCAAGGTTAGCCAATTTGGGATGATGCAGACCCAAGACTAACCAATCCCTTTCCCCCTAGGAAAGTCACCCAGAAAAAATTCCCCCTTGGGGAGTCACCCATGGGGAAAGTATGGGATGAAATCATATGTGACTGGGGTCATCATTTTTTTGGGGGGTTTAAAAGGGCTGAGTGGGGGATGGGATTTTGAATATTCTTAGGTCATATTGAAACATTCCAATTAGGATGGGGATATCCAAAGTTGTAACAACACCCATTATCCGTATTCATGATTGATCATCAATCATTCACCTGGGTAAATTATAACGACCTCACTGCGACCTCACTGGAATCATGGTTAGTAAGGGAAATCATCCCCAAGTGGCCTTAATTCAGGTTAGTGAAATATTATAATTTACCCAGATTAACTATTGATTCTTTATGATGGTATTATCCCCAGCTACTCGCTGGTAAATATTCCCTGGACTTATCCGTACTTGGATGTGCATCCCGCTTAGTAATTTTGTTTGCAATCCCTTTTAAAGCCCATTTCCTCATCCCTAAAAATGGGGACATTCCATTTATGACTGGGGGGTATAACTGTACAACCCATTTACCCTCTGGCAAACGTTTACCGTTTTGTCAGACTGGAAAGATCCACCATTTTGTAGCTGGGTAACTCCGTTATTTCAATGGCCATTTTCAATAGCAAACTGTAAACGTTTACCAGAGGGTATATCCCATTAATATCCCATTGAATCACTATAAAATCCCATTAAGTCACTATAAAATTCCATTCAAATACCATTGAATCACTATAAAATCTCCTATAAATGGGCAATTTTCAATAGCAAACTGTAAACGTTTACCAGAGGGTATATCCCATTAATATCCCATTGAATCACTATAAAATCCCATTAAGTCACTATAAAATTCCATTCAAATACCATTGAATCACTATAAAATCTCCTATAAATGGGCAATTTTCAATAGCAAACTGTAAACGTTTACCAGAGGGTATATCCCATTAATATCCCATTGAATCACTATAAAATCCCATTAAGTCACTATAAAATTCCATTCAAATACCATTGAATCACTATAAAATCTCCTATAAATGGGCAATTTTCAATAGCAAACTGTAAACGTTTACCAGAGGGTATATCCCATTAATATCCCATTGAATCACTATAAAATCCCATTAAGTCACTATAAAATTCCATTCAAATACCATTGAATCACTATAAAATCCCCTATAAATGGGCCATTTTCAATAGCTATTTTGACATAACCAGAGGGGTACCCAGCGGGGCCATCCCCTGAGGTCAGAAGCAGGACGCCAGCGTGCAAGACGTTGGCGAGGAACCGACGCTGGGCGGAATTCGGAAAAGCTGGTGGAAATTTTTTAATGGGGACCGAACAATTGAGCCGACGACGAATGGGAGATTATAGTGATTTCATGGGATTTCATGGTGATTTAATGGGATTTCATGGGATTTCATGGTGATTTAATGGGATATGAATGGGATAAATGGAGGTTTAATGGGATGTTAATGGACTATACCCTGGCTGATTGGTGTATATAGGGACTTATACTGCGAAAACATGATGATATAATGGGACTATGACATAATATAGGGAAACCGATCAACCAACTAGAATAATGAGATAGGATAGGGGTATGTTTGATGTCTCATGTGGGGATTTGACCAAGAAAATTCTGGGGGGTATAAAACCAATCAGTTTAGGGGGATATTCTATATGATTCTAGTGGATGAAGATTATCCAACGTACCTTATATTGGATAGTTACTTTACCCCGACAAAAAATTATCAACCATCTGAGATTTGAGCCAGACAGGTCTGCCCTTCCAAGGTCCTTAAGCCTATCATCTTAAAATGATGACTGTAGCCTCAAGATCCAGTTGTTCATCACCATATCTTCCATTAGACTCGTCATGTATCGCACATTATCGAACCATCCCCATTTTCAATCAACCCCGCACTCGCCATGTTGTTGGTTAAAAATTCTATCCCATGACACATTCCGTCAATCATATGGCATATGGCATCCCCTTACAATGATTGCATACAGATACCCGGAACTTCAGGGTTGCTTCCAACACCCCACAAGCGGGGAAAACTGGGTAGACTGAAGCCACTAAGCCACTCAACAGACCATCCTGCTTTGCACGAACATATGGGGAGATGCAGAGGGTTTCCGAAGTATTTTTTTCCCCCTTCCAATTCATTCTCGGGATCTGCCTGGGACAAGCCCAAGCCGGTTGATGATTCGTTTGGGAATTATGATACTAACCAATATTATTTAGGGAAACCACACTCCACTAAGGGAATTCACTTCTGAAGAACAACCAGTGTAAAGGATTTGCGGTGATTTCTTTGTTTCCAGCCATCAAACTTCGACATTTTTTGGGGCAAACTACATTGGAAACTCTAAATATTTACGTGTTTTTACTTGGCACGTGGACATGTCGATTTTCCATTCATCCCCAGTTATCCCCAGTCATCCCCAGCACCATTTCAGCAACTACCATGATCATTACTTTGGGGATCATCAGCACTTTAATTAATTGTTTCATGGTGATCACCCGCCAAATATCAAGGATCGATTTTTTGAGCACCGAAGAACAGTTTCTCACCAACGGTCAATTCCTTTAACAAAAATGCATGTTTTTTTTGGATGACTATCCCACAATGATCCCAATATTATCCCACAATTTCATATCATTCTCCAATATATAATAATATATATATATACACATATGCATATGGTCCCGTCCTCCGTCTCTCCAGCCCCCCCCCTCCATGGGTTGGGTCCCCAGGTAGTAGCCCCAATTCCCTTCTATTTGCAAGCTATTGGCAGCATTTCTGAGGTCCAGCGTCGTATTTGCTAGGTCTTTGCAGCATTTCTGACTACCAGCCTCGCATTTACTAGGTACATGCTACCTTTTAGGCGACCTACATAGCACACATACTCCTTCAAAGTACCTACGTGCTACCTATAGTCATACATACATGTGCTATATATCTACTGTATCTACTTCCTGTTTACTACCTGTGTACTCTGACAACACTACCTCTATTGAACACATACCGTACCTACCATATATGTCAATGATGCCATGCATACCATACCTATCATATCTATCATACATATGAAATGTAATTACCACACCTACCATACATACAATAGCATACATACAATAGCAAACATACATGCCATACATACCATACCTACCTTAGATAGGACATATTCCATACCCATCATAGTAACCATACATACCATACAGACCATACATACTGTCATATCAAACATACCATATCCAACAGACTTACATACCATACCTACCACATACAATACCAACCACTCATGCCATACATACCATACCTACCATACATACCAAACATACCATACTTTCCAAACATGCCATACCAGACCGACCATACACACCATACATACCCCCCATACCATACCACACCCCCACCACACCACAGGGGGGGGAGGGGGACAGTGCCACACCCCCACCACACCACAGGGGGGGGAGGGGGAAGATCTCATATGGGACCAGTATATGGGACCCCTCCACCACACCACAGGGGGGGGAGGGGGACAGTGCCACACCCCCACCACACCACAGGGGGGGGAGGGGGAAGATCTCATATGGGACCAGTATATGGGACCCCTCCACCACACCACAGGGGGGGGAGGGGGACAGTGCCACACCCCCACCACACCACAGGGGGGGGAGGGGGAAGATCTCATATGGGACCAGTATATGGGACCCATCCCATATGGGGGGGGGGAGGGGGGGGTGGCAGGGCCTGGTGCATATATACACATACATTTCCCACAGCCCTCTGGTATTTTCTTCACATAAAAAAGCTGGCTGGAAAAGTGTTTGTTGGCTTAGATCCACCCAATGACTAGTTTGTTCTATCCCCTATATACCCACAATTATTAAAACATGATCATGATTGTTACTATAAATTCCCACATTTCATTCATGACTATCAAATCCCACAAGTTCATGGATTTACCATCGATTTTCCAATGTTTTCATAGATGTCCAATACATTTTGCAATGATTTCCCCATGATTTTCCCATGATTTTCCCATGGTTTCCCATGATTTTCCTATGATTTTCCCATGATTTTCCCATGATTTCCCCATGATTTTCCCATGATTTTCCCATGATTTTCCCATGATTTTCCCATGATTTTCCCATGATTTCCCCATGATTTCCCCATGATTTTCCCATGATTTTCCCATGATTTTCCCATGATTTTCCTATGAGTTTCCCATGATTTTCCCATGATTTCCCCATGATTTTCCCATGATTTTCCCATGATTTCCCATGATTTCCCCATGATTTCCCCATGATTTTCCCATGATTTTCCCATGATTTTCCCATGATTTTCCCATGATTTTCCCATGATTTCCCCATGATTTTCCTATGATTTTCCCATGATTTTCCCATGATTTCCCCATGATTTTCCCATGATTTTCCTATGATTTTCCCATGATTTTCCCATGATTTTCCCATGATTTTCCCATGATTTTCCCATGATTTTCCCATGATTTTCCCATGATTTCCCCATGATTTTCCCATGATTTTCCCATGATTTTCCCATGATTTCCCCATGATTTTCCCATGTTTTTCCCATGATTTTCCCATGATTTTCCCATGATTTTCCCATGATTTCCCCATGATTTCCCCATGATTTTCCCATGATTTTCCCATGATTTCCCCATGATTTTCCTATGATTTTCCCATGATTTCCCCATGATTTTCCCATGATTTTCCCATGATTTTCCCATGATTTTCCGATTTCCCCATGATTTTCCCATGATTTTCCCATGATTTCCCCATGATTTTCCCATGATTTTCCCATGATTTCCCCATGATTTTCCCATGATTTTCCCATGATTTCCCCATGATTTTCCCATGATTTTCCCATGATTTTCCCATGATTTTCCCATGATTTTCCCCATTTCCAGGTCAATTTGTCCTTGCTCCCACGGCTCAGGTCCAGCGCCTGGGCGGAGCGCTACGGCGCGCTGCCGCCGCGCGACGCCAGCGAGACCTGGGCGACGCTCAGCGCTGCGCTGGGCCTCGATGCCGACGACGGGGATGCCAAGCGGCGGCGGGTGGCGTAGGTCCCTGGCAACGGAGAATTTCCTGAGTTTTTTGGAGGATTTGCCAGTGAACTAAGTTCCATCTTGAATCGACACAGTTTCAGCCACGGAATTTCCACTGCAAGATTTGCCAGTGAACTGGGTATGGATCAATACCTATTAATACCATTTTTAGTGGGATGAACATCCATTTACCAGCTATTTTGATGTGAACTACAGGGGTAAAAGGTTTTGACACACTGCCAACTAAATGACTAGTTGCAGGATTTTGAAAAAAATGATGGCAAATCAAGTGATAAAAAAAAGGATTTGATGCTGTTCCTATGGGATTTGGATGGATTTGGGGGTTCTGATGGGATTTTTGTTGAGGGGTTCCTGTGTCCTATATATTTCCAATGAGATTCTCTGAATGGAAGGTTAAGGGGCTGAAAGCATAGATCACACTGCCAGATTCACATGTGAGTTTTCAGGGTGATTTGAATGGGGGGTTCTGTGGGGATAACAAGGAAGATGCCAGATTTCATGACTAGGATTTATGGCAATGAAATGACGATAGTATTGGGGAACTAAAGCAACAAACATAACTTGCAAGGCTCCCCAGTTGTGAAAAATCTGGGAATGGAAGAGGTGAACTGCTTGGAGGTGGCCGTGGCCATGATGCCCAGAAAACCATGGGATGAATCAGTTGCCAAGTAGGACCAACATCCGTAAGGGGATGGCCCAATGGCCCGTGCCGTCGCGCTTGCGAAAAGGCAAAAAGGATGGCGATGCCACGCCGGGCACTGGAGAATTGAAAATTTGGAACAACGACTACCAACACATTTTTTCGGGGTACACTCTGGTATCTCACATAGCTATGGAACATGACCTGTTTGTAAATGATTTTACCTATCAACAATGGCGGTTTTTGATCGCAAACTTATAGCAAACTGTTAGATGATTATGGCTTACTATGGTATACTGACACAGACCAAGCAGAAATCATACGGGAATAGCCAGCAATCATTGGAGGAACCACTAGCATGAAGACTTCAGATTTTGCCACCTGGGTGCTTGATCATAGAGGTTGCAATTGAGTAGCAGATGAAATCACTATTTAGGGGAACTGACCTTTTTTTTTATCAACGAGGGTCTATTCATCTGGGGTTGTGACATTGTTGGTGATATTGGTTATGAACATCCCACAATACGCTTGGCCTATCTCACTCACCTTGCTGGTAATACCACAGGGTACCAGGTTCCGTCGATATTTTTCCCCAAAAATCAGAAGCGTTGCGTCGGACAGCCGAAACAATTTGATTGCCTTTTTTATGGGGAAAACAATGGTTCCCGTGAATTTTCCCGCAAACCAGTCCATTGACAAGATTTTCTTTCTAAAAACATGGTACCACATTCATTTAGTCATTTTTCCATTCAACTTGCTGTAAACTGCACGCAAATTCCCCAGACACACCCAATAGGCAAAAAAAAATCCTAGAAGATCCAGTGATAGCCATAACATACCCTCTGGTAAACTAACATAGCTATTGAACATGATCATTTATAGTTGATTTTCCCGTTAAAAATGGTGATTTTCCATAGCTACGTTAAATTACCAGAGGGTATCCCCATGGTTAGTGAATCTCTTTGTTGCCCCAGTAAAAAAAAACATGATCCAAGCCTGCAGGGGATGGAAGTCAGTCTTCAGTCGCTGGCGACCGAACTTTGGGGGGACCGAAAATAGGGGACTGTTGGGGATCTGATTTTTAGATGTTCGTAGCACAGGTTTTTTGTTTTTTTAAATGTTTATTGACCCATAGCTGGGGTCAAAGATGTTTTCTGTTCATCCATATTTTTCGGAGGGGTTGGCTCGAACAGCAACCATGACCCATTGTGCATTCCATGAGCTCGCGGCGTCGTGAAAAACATGGAACACTTCCAGTTCGCAAACAGTCGGTTTACCGGAGGACACATTCCATTTCAACTTCACCAGGATTTCACCACTCATGATGATTATAAATTCTGATTCACCAGAATGTCTATATCTCCGATATCTCCAGTTATAGATTATGAAACCATCATATGAAACCATCATTTCACCATGAATTTCACCATGCTGAACCACCCGTTGCGCTCGCTGCGGTTCGTCGCTTTGAGGTCGATCCTGACGGCCGCCAGTTCCTCGCTGAGTTCCGAGATGAGGGCCTTGAGCGACAGGATTCAGCCCCTCGGTACCAGTTGCGGTTTCCCCCCCCTTTTTTTTGTTTTTTCCAGGGAAAATCACTTTTTTTTAATGGGAAACCACCATATTGGAAAAAGACAGACATTTTGGATGGGAAAACATAGGAACACCCCATGTTGACAATTTTAGGAAACCACATTTTATAGGAAAACACCCCTTTTGAACATCAAAATAGCTGGGATTTATGGATGTTCATCCCCTAGAAATGGTATTTATCAGTATTGATCCATGGCCATAGGAAAACACCATGGTTTCAGGAGAATATTTTTTTCAACATGTTCGAGCCATGGACGAAGATTCGGTGACTATGTAGGGGAAAACAAAGAACTATGATGGGCATATGATGGGGCTATTGCTGTTGATTTAGAATTTCAATCTTTGCTATGAATGGGAAATGGGATGGGAATATGTACGTTGATACGTTGATACTTGGCATTTTTAGCAGGGCAATATGTGCGCAAAAACCGGAAACGCTTTTTTGGGACGAGTTTTTTTTGCCTTTTTTGCCTCCAGGAAACGCGAATCCACCGGCCCTTTATGGGTAGTTTAAATGGACAGAAGCCAGAAAACCAGCCCAGGATTCATTTCTTGTGGATGGACATTGCTGATTTTATACCCTCTGGTAATTTAACATAGCTATTGAAAATGGCCATTTATAGTTGATATTCCCATTAAACATGGTGATTTTCCATAGTTATGTGAACGTTTACCAGAGGGTAGATGATCTTATTACCACCGCAAAATGGCAGTTTTCCACTTCCCAGTTTGCGTTAGTTCATTATGTTGTTGACCCAGCAGTCTTAAATGAGTTATAGTATGTTATAGTAACACCCAAAAAGATAGAAAAGCAAAATCATCATAATTTTAGTGGGACTGTACTTGTTGTTTTTGGATTCTTATTTTCCAACGATTTGTTTAAAAGAACTCCTCGGAAGCCTGGCACCGGAAACCCCCCGGAAACCGTGTGGGTACCACCACCGTTTTTTTGCTGCTTCAATCCCAATTCTCTGCAGGTCCTCCCAGCGTTCAGAACGAAGGCATCAAGTGGCTTCGGGGCTTCGTTGTGGCCCTCAGCACGATGACGGGAGGGGGAGTCTAACCGATGATTTATAGCTATTGATTATCCATTGATTATATATCTATATTGGTTATCTATCGGTTATCTAGTGTTAACGATAGTGTGAACGGTTTATGTTAACTATTTATGATCATTTTCCTGTTGGTGATAGATGTGAACTATTTTAATGATCATTTAGCTCGTAGTTTTCCGACTGATTGGTTGTTTTTTTTTGGTAAGGATCCCCCACGAAAACCAACCAATAGGGTAAATGATGATAAATAGTGTACCAAACGGCCGGCCCAGTGTTTTTCCTAAAAGGACAATATTGGTTGGATGTTGATAGATGAGGTGATCATGGACAGATACACCTTCTGGTAATTTAACGCATGGAACGTCACCATTTTGTGATAGGGTAAATCGTCGAACTAGCCATGGGCCATCGCTTCCATTCCAAACTGTGAGTCAGTACCAAAGGGTAGATGATGAGATAGTTGAGGTTGAGGTGATGATGAGGTGATCTCTGATTATGGTTGTACATGTTCCCTTAAAAGAAAGGACGTTTTCCTCGAGGATTCTGCTCCGAGGAACATCAACGATATTTTAGATTGATAGATTGGCACTGTTTCATTGTTAGATTGTAGTAGCCCCCAAAAATTAGACATGTAGATCATCACTATTGTTAGTGGGATTTACTAACTTCCATTTTTTTCGGGCTTGCGCTATATATATAACACGCAGTTGTCAGGCCCACCATGCAGACACAGTTCGGACTAGGAAGTTCGAAGAGTTCAGCTGCCGAGGTCGCTTGGAGGACTTTTGGGCCATGCCCGCGAGTTTTGATGGGATGCAAAGTTGTGTCACCGAAGAACTTGGTCCTATTGACGAAGAATCCTTCAGTTTTGTCTGGGTCCAGTAGTGTACATACGTATATAATCCTATACAATCCTATATATATACATATCATATATCATACATATATATATATATCATTATATATATATATACATATTCATTTTGAGGTCGCATTTATCCGCTCCAGGGCTTGATTGTCAGGGGGGTTCCTTCAAACAATGGATGGATGGAAATTAATGTTGATACCAAAAAGGGTCCCAAAGGTCTTGAACCATCGCCATATAAGGCTCCCTGTATGGTCCCATTCATTGTTGCGAGGCAGGCGATCAGTTTAACTTGAACAAACATATCATATATATATAATTATATAGAGTTTATCTGGAGTTTTTTTTTTGCCATTCATTTGAGTATATCAACCCTATTTTTGAATTGCCAGAACTGCCAAGATTTCCTACCCAGATCCCATGGGTAAAAGTGTAGCCTCCCGAAAAAATCCAGACATGCCAAATGCAGGAAACTCCACTCTTGAGTTTGGGGATTTTCCATATTTTCCCCAGATTTTAAAGCTGATTTCCTCATGAAAAAACATGTTTTTTTTCCATGTGTTACCAGACTTTTGCCGTATTTTCCGATTGTTTTTCTCAAAGGACCCGTGCCAGGCAGAGTGGCTGAAACGACGACAGCTGCTCAGTGGGGTGCTTGATGGCTGGCGCCAATGCAGCGCAGGCACTGACGACGTGAGGGTTGGTGGTGACACCGAAAATGGTGGTGTAATGGTGATTGAATGGGAATTTACTGGGATCTAACGGGATATTATCGTGATTTAATGGGATTCTTTGATTATTTAATGATAAATTTAATGGAATGAATTCAATTGCCTATGAATGGGAATTCATGTCATTTATTGGGATTTTACGGAAACTTTTTCATGGCTTGGTGGTGACTCAAACTGTATGAATACCATTTGGTGATTCTGGAAATGGGATTTAAGCAACACACCATTTAATGTGGTTTTTCATGGGATTTAACGGGATGTACTTGGGGATACATAACATATATATATATATAATATGTATATTTTATACAGATATATATAGATACGTATTGTATATATATATACATATTCAGATGTATTTAAACATGTATACATGGTCAACGAGGTGACATGTGGTTAGGAGCGAACTGTGAATGGAGGTATGGACAGGCAGTTGGAGCTGCGTTTTTTTAGTTTTGGAACCACATCGCAGCTCCCTCTGTTTGAAGTTTCTCGAACCAACCCAGAAGTTCATGGTTTTGATGTTTGATGTACCCTCTGGTAAACTAACATAGCTATTGAAAATGGCCATTTATAGTGAGTTTTCCCATCAAAAATGGTGATTTTCCATAGCTACGTTAAATTACCAGAGGGTACAGTCAAACTTCATGGTTTCAAGAATTCCTTCAATCTGTCGATTGGTGGTCGTACGCCGTACTCTTCAACGGTGATGGGTTGACAATGGTGTTCATCATCGAACTAGCCATGGGCCATGTCTTGCAGTTTGCAAGCTCTTTGTTCCCTGGAGGCTAGATCCATGTTTTTCTTTCCATTTCCGGGCAAACAATTTAAAGTCAAAAGATTTTTCTCCTCACATTAGAATTAGTCATAATTTCCCAGCCTTACCAGGTAAAGTTTCATCATGTTTTCCTTTCCAGGAGATGATGTCCCCCCCAAAAGTGTGGGGCCAAACGACCCCACCCGCTGAAATCCCTTTGGAGAGGCGTGTCGCTGGAGAAGACAACTCTGCGTGCGGAGCAACAGTTGGGGCCCAGTCTTGGTGGTGGCAGGAGATTTTGCGCCCAATGGCAGTTTCAATTGGGACAATGTGGAGGCTTTGAGGCACTAAATTGCTGATTACCCTCTGGTAAACTAACGTAGCTATAGAAAATCACCATTATTAATGGGTAAATCCACTATAAATGGTCATTTTCAATAGCTACGTTAAATTACCAGAGGGTATGTTTGACCCAACACAGATTTGGATCGAATTATGACGACCTCACTGCGACATCATTGGAACTTGGTCTTGCGGAAATCATCCCCAAATGGCCTTACTTTTCAGGTTAGTGAATTAAATATACACTCTGGCAGTTTAACATTGGTTGAAAATCACCATTTTCAATGGGTAAATCATCGAACTATAAAAGGGCCATTTCCATAGCAAACTGTTAGTTAGTCACTACCAAAGGGTCTGTCCCATTCATGCCTCAAGTCACTATCCCACTAATATCCCATTAAATCACTAAACAATCCCATTAATTCGATCCCATTAAATCACTATAAAATCCCATTAAATCACTATACAATCCCATTAGATCAACATAAAATCCCATCACATCCCAGTCAATTCCCACCATTTTTTGCACTGACACCAGCTAAGCATGGCCGAGGCAGGAGCGGCTGAGCGAACTGGAGGGCCAGGTGGATCGACCTTGAGCTTCAGACTTTAATGGGTTGCCTTAAATTGTGTGTGTATATACAAATTACTGTTAGTTATATATATGTATATATATATATACAAATAAACTTTAATATATGCATATACATGTATATACTTAACTTTAATGTGTACATACATACAAATACAGTACAGTATACATGTATATGATTGTATATATATATAACTAACACTCACAAAATCATGTTTTTTTTTTTCCAGGTTACCTGTAACTGACGATGGAATCTATGATTGGCGGCGAAGTAAGTTTGAATCTATGAATCTTGGAGTTTGAGGTTGTTAAATGAAGGAAAAACCTTGACTTGGGGATACGAGAAGCAACACATCTGATTATACCAGCCACAACTGGGAATATTTTGCAAAACGTCATGACATCTCCATACACCTCCGCGTTTGAATCATTGATAGCGACCTCGCGGCTTTGCCCCTTTACATTACTAGTTGATGTACGGTTTCCATTTGATGGCCCAGCAACCATAGAACCATAGATTCTTTTCGCAGAAAAATCTTGACCCGTCCTCCTTATGGATGGGGGATATTTTGTGCAAGTGCTCAACGGTGCCTTTGTTTCCCATGGCGGAGAGCTGTGAGTTCGGAAAGACCTCCGATGGAAGGTGGGGCCAGTGGGAGCTATGGGATAGAGAAAGGTGGTGACCTGTCACTCAAGATCCTTGGGTATCCCATTTTCATGTGGGTATGGGTCAATACCTATTAATACCATTTTTAATGGGATGAACATCCATAAATCCCAGCTATTTTGATGTGAACTACAGGGGGATAGGGTTTTGACCCATCCCCATGTGTGTTTTTTCCCCATAGTTTTCGATTTGTTTATGGATGTGTCGATGGGAAAACTCATTTTTAGACACTGAACATCATTGACTCAGACTTGACTTTCAATCTTCTTCTTTTCGAAGATCCGAAAAAACAAACAAAAAGACCAAAAGCAGAGTTTGAGGATCTTGGGCTCTTTGTTGTGATTCTAGTTTCTTAGATTTCTTCCTTTCCTGGATCCATAGGAACTAGAAACCAAAAGGTTTAAATCCTCCCTTTGCCTTAAAGAGTGGATTAGAACATGGTGCAATGAAATGGGGAAGTTTCTCCAAGCTGGCTGCAGGGTGGTCACCAAGTACACCCTGTGCAATGGCACCATGAAGGCGCGCAAGTGTATCCTCCCATTGACCTGCAGCATAGCTGACCCTGGTTGGCACATCCCCTAGGGACTGTAGGTGATGCCATTTATCCAGTGGCTTATGACAATTTTTTGGCTTACGAACTACTTACGATGGGCAGGCAATTGCCACGGATTTGCATGGATTGTAATTAAGAGGTCTGTCCGAGTGAGGGATATATATATATACCAGTTGATCTCCAGGTTTTTTTTGGGGGAACTGATGGTCAAATACAAAGCTTAAGGGCAAAAGATGGGGTCGTTGAGTCGATGATTGCATTTTCCCAATGGGAAATCGACCAGACATGGGGATATTTTTCGGCGCTTTCTTCAGCAAATCGAAGACAATCATCTGGTTTATGTGACACAAGCCTTCGTGCCACTACTAGAGGTTTGGGACAATTTGTTGTTTCTGGAAAGCCACACTGTTTGGTCAGTTTTGGTCCAAGACCATTCCATGTTCCGCCAAAGACTTGATATATTATAGTGGTTGGTGGTTTCAAACATTTTTCATTTTCTATAATATATGAATATATGGGATGTCATCCTTCCCATTGACTTTCATATTTTTCAGAGGGGTAGCTCAACCACCAAGTAGTTATATATCACAGAGGCAGCATTCAAAAAGTCACCAGAAAAATGGCCGCCAAGATCCATTACTCTCCATCGGTCCCCTGTTCGGATAAGCAAATTCAAATATCCTGCAAAAGCCTGGTCTTGTATCGGATCTGTTCAGCTGGGGCATCCATTTGTTGGAGTATGAATTTGTTGAGCATATTCACATATATTGACATAATCACTACATAATCTGACGTCATATGATCAACATTTCATAGTGGTTAAACGGTTAAACATGCTTAAAGCTTCTGATGAAACCATGAACCCCGATGAAATGTTGGGTGAACACTGCCAGAGGATGGGCCTTTGGCAGGTGAGCATTATGGATTTGGGCGCCGCCATTTGTTCCGTGCAGGCGCGGTGGGCTGTGCGGCGAGATCCAGAAAAATCGGAAGATTTATGGAATATTTGGGGAAGACTGGAAGAGTTAAGAGAAACAAAAAAACACACACACAATATATATATAATATATATATATACATACTGTACACACAGTATATATCATTTATACAATTTTTACATATATATATATATACATATATATGAATATTGAATTCCTACAGGTAAAAAACTTCTGGGTTGACCATGGACGCAGTAATCCAAAAGAGTATTCTCTCCCATTTTAATCATTTTATGAGTGAACATCCCAAGACTCTTCTCAGGTACCGGACGCCAAGGGAAAGCTGGGAGAAATCTGCCTCGGCTACGACGAGCTAACACCGTAGCCTGGCGTGGTCGGAGTTTCAGGGAAGAAAGGTTGGGATTGAATCTTACTTCATTGGTTTATTGTTTACCCATTGTTTACCTCATCAGATTTCATTTTTTTTGGAGAATCATGTGGGTAAAACTATCATAGACGAATTGTTTATACTACCTATTTATGGTGATGACTGGGGGATGGTTTGTTGTTCTTTTACCAAGCCACTCAAACCTTAGTGATTTGGCAACGTCCCTCAGGTACCTGGATCCCAAAACCAATCCCTACTTCGGAGCCGATGCTTGGCGGACACGAAAAACAGATCTTTGGAAAACAAACGGCCAGAAACAGTGAAGAAAATCAATAGACATGTCCCAAAATTGGACAGAGTATCGATTTAGACGACTCTAGATTTGTGGTCTGTTGAGGCTCCCACATCTGTGGGATCAAAAAGAGCTTCCCAAAAGGGTCCATGTGAGGTCGGGTTTCTAGACTTCCCCGAGAGAACTGGAATCACTTCAAATGCTTTTATCATTATTGCGAAATAGGTAAAATCTCACGCTTTCCAATTTTTTTTTTTCGAACATGACAGTTGGCCGTGACCATCAAGGTTGCTGGAAGATGCGCCAATCGCATCTGCAAAGGCAGGGAGGGAAGAGAGGGAGAGAGGGAGCGAGAGAGAGAAAACATGGGTTTTCCAGGGTTTTCCAACCAGACAGGTTTTCTAGAGAGATCTACTTGACACATGGGTGACGAATTAGAACTTCTACTTTCACAAACAGGGCGGTTTTTTGATTTTTTCATCGTTTTTGCTTCCGGGAAGTCCACTCTCCCAGTTGTTTAACCAACCCTGCAGCCCTGCCACGGTGTCCCGTTGAGTCCCCCGTTGAAGGCCGCTTCAAGCTGGATGATGTGGAATACCAACTGGAGACCAACAATGGCTTGGGCCTCAAAATCCGCATGGTAAAAATCATCATTTTCCCATATTCAAAAGCGCCATATATATTGGCTCATTATAGGCTGTAAATATCACCCTAAAGTCCCAAAGCTAGACGCAAGATTTGGGAACATCTGGAGATTACGCGAAGTATCCATTGATCATTCATGTATTGTAGATCTTTGGAATCGACATCAACATTTTATTTCTATCCTTTTAATTTCAAGCACATTTGTGGGACCCACCCGTGAGATCTTTTTCAACTGGGAGCCTTGGCACGCCCAAGTCGAAACTCGTGGTAAAAGTCACATGGTTTCTGATGATTTTACCAAGTAAACCAGTCCAGTGGTTGTAACAGGATCACTTGTGGATACATTTTCCATTTTCCAGCCCCAAACATCATATCGTTGACAATATATTCCTGTTATCCCAGTAATTTCTATGATCCATAAAACACCATAATTCCTATTTTAGCCCCATAGAATTTTACTACGATTACTACATCCCCATAACTTTGTTGGTTTGTCATCCTCCTTGGCTTGTCCATTCATATCCCCAATGGATGGTTTAAGCAAATCACCGGTTTCTCCACCGATCGTTTCGCGGCTTAAATCCACGGCATGGTGCGGCGTGGATTGCTCCAGTCGTACCCAGCCTGGTAATGACTAACAGATTGCGAACTTGAACATGGCCCAGTCGAAATAGTTCGTTGAGAAATAGTTGATTTACCCAGCTACAACATGGGTGGATTTTCCAGCTCGTTTTTTGTAAACCTTTATCAGAGGGTAAATGATAGCCATTGATAAGCCACTGGGGCAACGAGTCATAAACGACGACCTCGAAACCCAACGAAAACGGACCCAGTTTCGAGGCCCGAATCACCTCCATGGCGGCAACGTGGGCTTCGATAAGTTGATCTGGACCGTGGAGGTGGCGGTTCTTTCGGATCCGGATCCGGTGTTGGGAAAAACGGCAAAGTGGTGATTGGAAATTGGGAGTTACAACTAGCAAGTCTTAAAATTTCTTGGGATTGGCTCAAATTAGCAAAGGATGGAACTTCTGAGTTTTTTTTCGCGCCCCAAAAATGGATTTCGCTGAGGAGAATCAGGATGTGACTCATTGGTTGGGATTGACTCAAGAAACTATGGGATTTCAACGGCAAAACTTGGGATTTAACTGATTTTAAGTAACACATACATAGGGTTTGTAAGAAAAAACATACTTTGCTGATGATCAAAGGATTGATTTAGTTGGACACCCCATTCTCCCATATCATGATCGGTATAAAACCCCCCAGAAAACTTTGTTAAGAAAAAACAAACCACTTTTGCATCTCTCCAAAGAAACGACAAGGACCTGGTCATCCCACATTTTTCCATCATTTTTTCATACCCTCTGGTAAACGTTTACAAAAAACGAACTGGAAAATCCAGCCATTTTATAGCTGGGTAAATCAACGAACTAACGACATGGCCATGTTCAAGTTCGCAAACTGTTAGTCATTACCAGAGGGTATATCCCATGAATATCCCATTAAATCACTATAAAATCCCATTGAATCACTATAAAATCCCATTAAATCACTATAAAATCCCATGAAATCACAATTTTTCTCAGAGGTTCAAACCATCCAATTTTTCGGTTGTGACTTCTGGATGTTTCCATGGCGACATGATCACCAAATCAGGAGATCCCCAAAAAGCCGGTGGAAAAACTCCGACTTCCTGCTGCTAGTCGAAGTTTATGACTAACAGTCTCTGGAAACCATGGTTCATGAAATATATATATATATATAATATTATTCTAAGATTCCTATCAGATGCGTTCAATCCCCCCGTCCCGTCTTTCGGGCGCACGCAGTCCTCGTCGCCGAGCTCGCTGGTGCTGTCCGTGGTCTCGCCGGAGGGCGATGAGCACTACCCGGGGCAAGTCGCCGCGAAGCGCGCCGGGGGGACCGGGGCTGGGATGAGCCCGGAGGGGATGGTGTTTTTTTTTCGGATTTTCAGGGGGAGAAGTGTTGAGAAATCATGATGGATGGATTTCAATGAAGAGTTAGTTTTCAGAACATGATGGAGTTTGGGGATTTAGCTAAAATGATGGATTTGAAAATGGGGATTTAGCTAAAACGTTTAAATTTCATCAGGATTTAGCTAAAATGATGGATTTCGATGGGAGTTAGTTGACACTATGATGATTTGATGAGTTTAAAGTCCATGAAGATGGCGGACGAGGATTTCAGCTGGCTCTACTTGAAGCCCCAAAAGAGGTGATCTCAGGTACTCCATTACTTGGGCATGAAAATGCCTAGGCACTGTCTGAAAATGGGGGTATACCTCCGTAGAAATTGCCGTTTTAAAATGTTTTAATATGAAAAGACATTGTGGATGAACTGTTGTAATATTCTAATCTATAAGACTTACCCAGATGGGTTGGGTTGTCATGGCCTATCACCCTCTGGAAATCGAAGAGTTTGCACTGCCTCTTGACGCCCATTTCGTTCGATGATTCACTATCTGGTTGGTGGTGACTGAAACCATGGAATTTTACCCTCTGGTAAACTAACATAACTATGGAAAATCACTATTTTTAATGGGTAAATCCACTATTAATCGCCATTTTCAATAGCTATGTTAAATTACCAGAGGGTAGGACTTTCCCATCATATTGGGAATGGAAAATCATCCCAACTGACTTTCACTCACTCCATCATTTTTCGGGTTGGTCAACCACCAGCCAACCAGCTATGAATTGTCTATTTCACATGGTGATCTTCGATAGTGAAATCGCCAGGTACCTAGGAGGCCATGATTCCCCCCATCTAAAGCCCACTTTTGCGTTGCGCACCGGACACCAGGGTGACGTATTCCCTGCCAAAGTCGGACACGCTGTGCATGGACTATGAAGCCACCACCAACAAGTCCCTTAGCGTTGAAACCCCGAACTTCGTCTCCGGTGGAGAAGAGACTGTAAAGAGATCATGAGAAATATGTAGCACCCAATAAGATGCATTTCAGTAGAATCCCACTAAAAAAGTGGTAAGGTGTTCCTTTTCTATCTTTTCGGGGTTGACTTCTCGATGAACCACCATACTTGGTGATATTAATCTGCATGGGATATGACCAAGAAAGGATCGTGAAAAAACACTAGATTTAGAGATGTGAGAGGGTTTTGGGCACGGCTCACGGGGACATTTTGGGGTTTATGTCTAAAGAGCCAGCAGTGATAGTGATAAACAAATCCCAATTGATGTTTTTTTTTTTAAATACGTTGTAGTCATTAAATCCCTAAAGACCCCCCTTGGTTGGTGAAATGCATCACAACCTATCAAATCTTTACTATTTCTTTAGCCATCAATCCCATATTTCTAGTTACAATAACAGCCAAAAAGATAACACTCATATTAATAATATATATATATATATGCGTATATATATATATATATCTTAATTTTCCATCTTTTCTGGGGGTTACATCCATTGGTGTTCCACCAGGCAGCCCTTAGTTATTTCTGAAACAACGAAGAGCAGTGGATCAGTGGATCAGTGGATCCGGCTCCGAGGCCTACCATTATCAACCTTACCAATCATGTTGCTGGGCAAAACTCCGTAAACCCGGCGTGACGAGTCGGCGTTGATTCTCGGGGATTTTTTCATAGGGGGTTATGGCGTTTCTAGATGGCTCCTTATTTTATCATCAAAATTTTGAGTACCATATTTTCAGACAAACCTGAATATATATATGATATATATATATATGATATATATATATATGATATATATATGATATAATATATATATATATATATCTATATAAATAGCAAACTGTCAAACAACATTAGATGCAGAACTTCAGAACCCGGTCGATTTTTTTGTCTAGTTGGGGGGTTCCCGGGGTTGCTTGTTGAAGAATGTGCCACCCCAACCAGTGATTGAACTGAATTACACAGTCTAATGATTGTGTCAAACTCCCTTCTCCCTTTCACAGTACTTGGAAATGCAGTTCTGTAGATCCAGTTGTAAGTGGATATATACAACCGTCATAGGGGTTATATCCTGTTACATCCCAACTTATGGGGTTTTGGAACAATGGTTACAGCCAGTTTCGTCATTGATCGATTCATATGGCGTCGTTTGAACATGGGGAAGATTCCAAAATCAGGGGGCTTAAACATAGTTTTCGGATTCAAATCTGCATGAGATAAATCCAAATCGTTTGGACAAACCTGTCTATCTCAGGTGTATACGTATGTCTCTAGTACCTGTGTTATTTTTCCCATAGGAATTACGGTAATTTGCAATAATCATTTGTTCGTGAATGGGACATAAAAAACGCTGCAACGCCTGGGCAGAACCCAGGCGTTGCGCGTATATATATATATATGTATACGGGTATATATGTATTTTATCCTATCATATCACATGATATCCCAATATATCCATCCGCATGGAACGATTGAGAAATTATACCCCGCCGTCGACGACGAAATTGGGACGTGGTAACGGGTCGTTTGTTGTTGCTCAATGGAAACGAACATATCACAGGAGATAGTCAATAGTTGTCATATAAAATATTACATCATGGCAATGTGACATACAACCACGGTTGTTATATTGATAAATAGTGTATAGTAATAGGTAACATAGGGTTGAATACCTCATCACAATGTAATATGCATTAGTTGGTTACCCTTTGGCAATTTAGCGAACTGGAAAATCACCATGCTATTAATAGTCATTTATTTTCATGGGCAAATTTCCTGGCTATGTTAAATAACCAGAGGGTATTATATATATAGTGTGTGATACTTAACCACAGTAAGAATGCTTAAATAGGGGTTTACCTTGGCGATATAGTGGAATTATTGCTGTAGTATGGAATATAGGTATCATGGACGTAGATTTAATTACCATAATCATATGGAATAATCGTCTATAAATAGGTATACATTATGAGTTCTCATTGGGATATGACTGGTAATGATTGGCATATTTATAAGCAACCTCATGATGTTTGGAAACGTTTGAACATGGGGTATACCCATAAAGTAGCAATTTTATCGGGAAATATCAGGATTCAACATCAATCTGTTAGGATACCTATTCGAAAGCTATATCGGCATTTTTCGTAAACCCAATGATAAACACATAACCAGACCATAGCCGTGTTTTCTTCCAAGAGAACATACAAAAAATCTTCGCCGATTCTTGGGTCATGACGGGGGATATGTCGGAGATGTTTTTCTTTCTGGGTACCGTGGTACCTTGAGCTGAGAACTATTGGAACCTGGCGGATGGTGGCATTTCCAGCATATTGGAGCACGAGTGCCTTGTTCTGAAAACCAAAAATGGCGGTCTTGGGGTCCTGAAATGGGGAGGAACTGTGGTTTTTAGACTGGCTGCCATTTGCACCAGAATCACCATTTGTATGGCTTGTATAAACCATCCACAAATGGTAGTTTCATTATGGGGTGGCCCACACCATTGTGCATCAAAGTCCATAGTTTGAGTTGCAACACAAGAACTGGTTGGTGGTTTGGAACATGACTTTTATGACTTTCCGTATATTGGGAATGTCATCATCCCAACTGTCGAACTCCATCATTTTTCAGAGGGGTAGGGAAAAACCACCAACCAGCATATATTGACATATACCCTCTGGTAAACTAACATAACTATGGAAAATCACCATTTTCAATGGGAAAATCCACTATAAATGGTCATTTTCAATAGCAAACTGTTAAATTACCAGAGGGTACTGACTATATGATCAACATTTCATACGGGTTCAACATGCTTAACCCAAGGTGAAACCGTGCCAAAAATCACCGACCAACTCAGGTCGTCCCTGTCGGACTGATGTATGAAACAGGTCTGCCCCCAAAACGACCTCACCAAGCCTGTTTATGGTGACCTGGGGAGAAAGTTTTTTGAAGAAAGCCCCAAAAAATTGGAGAGCCTATGAATCCTTATAAATACCCTATATCATAGAACTGGATGATGGGAAAATTTACAGGAAACCCCTATATTTGATGGTAAAAAACCATGGTTTCCAGTTAAAATTTTCCCTTAAACCAATCCATTGACTATAAGTCCCCCATAAATCCAGTATAAATCCCCAAGCAGAACTTTCTTAAAGCCCACGGAGATGGACCATGTGGCCTTTATGATCTTCTGCCAGATGAGGATTGAGCTCTTTGCAGATTTCTACACGTTCCTTGGCGCTTGCGAGCACACAAAGATTTTCGTGTCGCTTCGTGTGATAAATGTATAGATATGTTTAGATAAACCATGATAATCCAATGAATATGAATATGATAATCCATGTTTAGATAATTCATGATAATCCATAATAGTTCATTCTGCTCTTAATCGATATTGTGAGTGTATAGACATATGATATGAATACACCATTTGGCGACTTATTTCTAAGCAAATATGTGTAAATCCCCTCCTAAAACCCTTGGTTTCTGGCGCGTGCGTAATATTAGGGGGAATGGGATTATACAATCAGATTAGACAAATTGCAAGAAATAGTGCTAAATTGGTCCCTTTCTATCTGTGTGAGTGTTACCAAAAACCAGTAAAATGACTATCCTCCGGTAATCAATCACGGCAATTGACAATCCCTCATTTATGCATGATTTTCCCAGCTCTGAACCTCGAGTTCGTTTCGATTTTCCAGCTACTGTAGCCACGCTGGAAAATGGAAAGCCTCCAGCAAGGCGAGGAAAGTAAGTCGTTCGTTTGGGTTGATGGTAATGATATCAGGATATATCGAAGTAAAAAAAAAACAATGGTTACTATGGTAACTGTGGTTACTATGGCTACTATGGCTAATCCCTTCCCCATTTAAAAACACCATCAAACGAAACCATGGTGGATGGGAATGTCTACGGGAATTTCCACATTTCATTGGGACCTAAACACCCAGGGGTGTTTACCCTCTGGTAAACTAACATAGCTATGGAAAATCACCATTTTTCATGGGACAACCCACTATAAATGGTGATTTTCAATAGCTATGTTAGTTTAGCAGAGGGTAAATCCCCTAAGAACTTGAAAATCACCAATGATTTAGAGGAAACCAATCTTCCAACCCCTATCGACCAGGGTCTATGTTAATTTACTGGAGGGTAGTCTGAACGGGGGATGTGAGGCCCGTAGACGATACCTCCATCCCCAGCGGTGAGCTGCGGGCCGTGGCCGGTGGCGCCATGGACCTACGGCAGCGGGGGAAGATCGGCGGCGCGGCGATGGCAACGGCAGCGCGGGGGGTCACGATTTTTTTGGGTGATTTTTCAAGATTCATAGAGGATTTATAGAATTTTTGGGGAATTTATACCGGATTTATGGGGGACTTAGAGTCAATGGATTGGTTTAAGGGAAAAATTTAACCGGAAACCCACATATTTCATGGGAAAATACCTATGGTTTCCGGTTTCGATTTTCCCTTAAGCCAATCCATTGATAGAGGATTTATAGATGTTTTTTATTCTTAATTGGTGATTTACAGGTGGGATTATTTTTGGGATTTTTGGTGGATTTACAGGGGAATTATAGAGTTTGTAAGGATTTGTGTTGGGAGATTATAGGATTTTCTAGGGAGTGGGGGATCTAAACGGATTTATGGGGATAAAAAAAAGGGAAGATACTTGGAATATACCGAATCCGGCAATCAAACATAGCAAATAGGAAATCCCCCAAACATGGAGGTTTTAATGGGAACATTATTTAATATAAACAGATATTTGATATTCCATTGCAATGTTTGATCACCGGAAGGTAATAGGGATGTATAGACCCAGTTTGACCATGATGGAGCCTTGATGGTTACTTTTTGTATTGGGAATTTGGTGATCTGGCAGAGACGACATGAGTAAACATGGAAAGGGCGTGGCATAGTGGATTTGAGGTGAACCTAAAATCATGGTATAGTTAGAACTTTAGAACTACAATGACATAGTTCTGTAATGACATTCGACCCCTATGTTTTTTTTCCCTTGGAACCGGGATCATTTTCCGCCCAAGGGAGAGGTATTAAGGACGCCGACAACGGTTCCCTGGCAGTTGGCGTGGATGGTGATGAAGTTCGGGGTTGCCCCCATTTTTTGTAAAGGAAACCTCCATTTGTGGGTCCCGATGTTTGGTGGAGGACCTTTATGAGGTGTCTAAACATGTCACATGCTTTGAGAAGATGTTTCTTTTGTCCAGCCAAGGCTCCGTTTGAGACTTTCTAGCGGATAGGCTTTCAGGAGGATCGAGGATCGATGTAGCCATGTGGCGATTTTATACATGTCGACTAGTCGATGTGGACCAAAATAGATAGAGTGCAAACACATAAGTATTCTAGAATCGAGGCTTCGCTTGACTTCCAGTTTTTTGTTGATGAAGTCAGAAGTCAACCACCATTTTTCCATCCTAGCCCTGTCCAGTTCATTTCTGTCGCCTAGATTATCTTAAATCAGTTCAACCCCCATTCTTATTCTAAGATTGTTGGTGAGACACTCCAAAAAATCCATGTGAATATGCCCAAATCCATCCTTTTTCTGGCTTAAGAATCCTTTTTTTTTCCTGACTTAAGGCTCACTAAAAAACAACGTAAAAACACGTTCATTTCACATCTCCAGCTTCGAGGTCTGGGCTACGATCACAACTACGTCCTGCGGGGCTCCATGGTCTATGACCCTTCAGGGCTTCAGCCTGTCGCCAAGGCGGACGCTGAAGGAACCTGCTGATGGCATTTCTATCCATACTTTGATCTGCATAAATGGCTTGGCTTTAGTAAACTTTAGTACCTGACAATTTTCAGGGATCCCATAGTTGATCAATGCTGATCATCATTTTCCCTCTGAAAATGGCCGTGGCTGCAGGGCAAATCCTTTCAGACAAAGCCAATGCTTCTGGGTTCATATCATCGCTGAGGATGAAGTCTCAAGATGCGCAAACTAACAAGACAAGGCCCTGGTATTGGTTGTTTGATACGGATACTGGATACGCTAACAACAAAGCGAATGACTAGGATGGACTAGTCTTACTGGTGCTTAGTGTGTTTTACGCAGGGAATTTTCGGGAATGATCCCAGTCATCACATTCATAATGTCATCATCCCAGCAACCCCCAGCAACCCATCCAGCAACCCTATGTTTAGCACGCACCAAAAAGGTGTACGAGAGCACTTCGGGACGCTGGATGGCAGTCTTCACAGATCAACCTGGAGTGCCGTGAAACCGAAAAGCTGTGGGACGGGGGAACCACCAACCAGCTCTGGTTGGTGGTTTCAAACATGACTTGGATTATTTTCCATATCTGGGATGGAATGTCATCCTTCCCATTGACGAACGACTTTCATATTTTTCAAGATGGTTAAAACATGTTAAAACCACCAACCAGAGCTTTTTGAGTGGGAGATTCTATGGGGATGTGAAAGTTTAGAGTAAGGGAAGATACTTTTTTTGTCAGACTGTTGGATGAATTTGATCATGACCTCAGATCGTGGCGTCACTGGACGAATAGTTGGAATGGCCGCAAGGTTCAACGATTTTCAGGCTAGTGAATTACTACAGCCAGATATTAATAGGATATTCTATAGGGATATCATAAGGATATATATATATATATAATCATCACAATGGGATTTATAAAATTTATAACCCAACAATATGTGAACTGGTATGTCTTGAAAAAATGTCATCCCACAATCGGAATCCTTATATACTGTGGCTGTATGATGCTACAAGGTGGTGCCCCCCCAGTGATGTTAGTTGGTTTATAGTCCCATTAACTATAGATATATCTACCATAAATCCTAGTTATTAGAGTTATGAACCAACTTAGCTATCTTGGGGGCACCACATTGTATATGTATCCCTATCATTAAAATCGGTTGATTTTTCCATCCCCCAAGGCTCCAAGGACCGGGCAATTGATCCTTAAGTTGTTTTATTCGACGTCGAGTTTGACGGAAAAAAAGTGAGGGTGATAAACCTGAGAAACCACTGTTGAATTCTGTTACCCTCTGGTAAACTAACATAGCTATTAAAAATGGCCCATTTATAGTGGATTTACCCATCAAAAATGGTGATTTTCCATAGCTATGTTAGTTTACCAGAGGGTAAATGATAGCTAATGATGACGGGGGAATCTATTGGACACCCAAAAAATCAATGTATAATGATACACCAGGGCAATTATGTCTAGAAATGGGTCTACGATTTGGGATATTTTTATGGGAATGTGATGGGAGATGATAACCAATCGTATGATGTTTGGCTTTGCCCAGACATGGGTAATATATAGTACCCTCTGGTCATTTAACATAGCTATAGAAAATCACAATTTTTAATAGGTAAACCATCTATTTCTATGGGCCATTTTCCATAGCTATGTTAGTTTACCAGAGGGTAAACCACATTATTTATGAGGACCCGCTTCTGGCACCCAAGAATACGTAGGGTTTTTTTTGCGCCTCCCTGTCTCGATGCAGCGGCTGAGTCGGCTTTCCAAGGTTCAATTCTACACCGGAAACTACTTGGACGGCTTTCCAGGCGGTGCTACCTGGGAGATGACTGGGGGAACCATCCAGCACCAGCTATGACCAAACGGGTACCGAAACTGGGTGCCAGGGTTTTGACATGTGTTGACCCATTGCCGTGTGAACTTGGTTTGGTTGCGTTTTCTTGAGGTGTTTCTGTTTGTTGTCGGAATCTGCTGTTGTCAGTTTCTTTCCTGCCGTGGATCGCTTTTTGCAAAATCCATGGGCAGATGAACGTCCACAACATCCACAACTCTTGTGCAGTGAAAACTGGGGTAGGGTCTTGAGACATAGCATGTGCTTGCCGCAAGAACACATGATATATCATCATATTATCATCATTTTCCCTCTTAAACATCCATTTGAGGGGGGTGAAAATGGGTTTTTTTCTACTACCCATTTTCAGACACAGCCATATATTACAGCGCAAGTTGCGACTGGCTCTCGGAATCACGGCTCGCCGCGCCGTGCCCGGCTGTACCCACTGCGATGAGTTGTTATTTCCGCGGAAATCCACTTGTTTCAGAATCTGTGAACATCGCAAGGTGGGTTTTTTGGAGGTTCCAAAAATCCTATCAGTAATAAGTTCTTCTTTTAGGCCATCAGCAAACCTAAGTTGACCATTTTCCAGAATCGCAATCCCTGGATATTCAAGGGATGCTGGTTGGTGCTGACTGGAACATGGCTTTTATACTGCTTTTATGACTTTCCATATATTGGGAATGTCATCATCCCAACTGACGAACTCATATTTTTCAGAGGGGTAGCTCAACCACCAACCAGATATGAATTATGATTTGATGGTTGTAACCATAGTCTTACCACTATAGTTCAGACAGATCCATATATGATTCCATACTGTGGATGGAAGAAATCCTGCACCACCTTGGATGGTTTGAAACCCTATAAATAATGGGATAAACCATGTATCAACTGGTGCAGGATTTCTTCCATCCACCGTATGTTCATATTTCTTCCGGTTTTCAGGCGAAAAACCACCAACCAGGATCTGCAACGGTGTCGAAAAGGTGCCCCAATCGATGGTGATCCAGGTCGAACGGGGCAGGGCTACGAGAAGCACCACGGCTTTTGTCTCGAAACTCAGCGTTTTCCAGATGTCACTCGGAAGAAGATCTGGGATCTGGGAACTCAAAACATGGAGATCCGGGAGACGGGAAAATCTCATGACTTAATGGGATTATAACCCATTTATAAGAACTGCTTGGTGGTTTCAGAGCTGGGATTAATGTTTATATAATAGATTATAATAGTTATTACTGGTTAATATACTGACTGGATTATTTTCCATATCTGGGATGGGATGTCATCCTTCCCATTGACGAACGACTTTCATATTTTTCAAGATGGTTATTGCACCACCACCAACCAGATGGGATCTCATTTGTGCTCTCTGGGGCTCAGATTTTGCTTCGCCGGAGTTTGTTTTTTCCCAGTTTCTAAATGAATGAGTTGCTAATTTCTACAGATAATATGTCGGAATCCTGCCTTAAACTATGATCCTGACTGGGTTCAGGCGAGGGGTCAACGAAACTGATTTTTTTTGCCCAGTTCTGACGTAGTACTTCACGATTTTGCATGAAACTATGATCACTATGGCTGGTTGCCAGTTGCATTCACTTGTTCCTTCCCAGCTGCTTGGTCCAACTTTAAAACATTTTCTGTGTTTCGCAGCTGATATTATTGGCCTTTCAGTTTCTGATAGGAGATGACCGGATTTGATCAGCAATCATGAGAGTGGGGGACGGGCCCTTCCATTTTCAAAGGGGAATATCATCTGAATACATGAAACATATATGGGTTTTCCCATTCAGTCCGAAGCTGGGTTCAGATATCTGACGTTCCATCCTGGATGGGCCCGATGTCAGGCAGCAAACTGGTCGCATTTCAGTCCAGTAGTGTGGCTGGGCAGCTAGAAATGCGGCCGGAGAAGTTGATGGTTTTCTTCACCATGGAACCGTAGCGAATCGATGCTATCCTCTGGTAATTTGTTACATAGCTATTGAAAATTGCCATAGAACTAGTGGATTTTCCCATTAAACATGGTGATTTTCCATAGTTATGTTAGTTTACCAGAGGGTATCTTGCTTAGCAAACAAGTTTCTTTTTTACCAGCTCCTGTGAAACTCTGGTTTACCTTTTAGGACCCCAGCAAAGTGGGCTGTGTTCGCGACGTCTCCTGTTCGCATAGGCTTTGAGGGTGCAGCGATTTTAGACATCCTGAATCCTGACATTGGAATATTATATAATATTATATAGTATTCAAAATTAAACCAATATTGATATACAACATTGATAGTCTACAATATTATTATATATGGCATGTTGTATATAATTTAGCCACTAATAGTCATACCCCCCATGCCATCCCCAAGTATTTTTGGTCAGTTCTGATCGGTGCTATCCCAGTAATATCCCTATGGTTCTGAGAAGCCAGGTGGTATCAGCCCCCGTAGCCGTAGAAAGCCAATCACCAGTGCTATTTGGGTATGGATCAATACCTAATACCATTTTTAGGGGGTTATTCACATCCATTTCCCAGCTATTTTGATGTGAACAGAAGGGGTACAAGGTTTTGACACACTGCTATTTCCAGAGAGGCTTCTCGAAGGTAACTCGTCTTCCCCATTCAGGCCGATGTTTTTTTTCAGCAAAAAAACACCCAGAGGTCAGAAAAAACATCCCAGCGAGCCATATTTGAATACAGGAAGGTAACTATGTATATCGTTAAATTCCAGTATTATTCATTCAATATATTCAATTCTCCCATATCATAGTTTTTCAAGCCAGTAACTTGTGTATGTGTATCTCAACAGTGGTGGTAGTTATTTGCAATGTCATAGTTATTTGTAACTCAACATTCATACCCAGTAGTTTTTTCAACCCAGTAACTCAACCCAGTAACTTGTGGTAGTTACATCTATATATATATGTAACTGCAATGTGGTAGTTAAAAACAGCAGTAACTTGTGGTAGTTTTTTGCAATGTCATATAATCAATGGCCATTCCAGGAACCTAAATTGGAGGTACATACCATATATAAGGCCTATTTTTCAGGCCTATGTAAGGGAATATTCCCCCAAAATATGGCCTTATATGGTACAGTACCTCCATTTTAGGATCCTGAAATTCCCATTGATATAACACTTCCATCTTTCAGAAGGTGGATCCTCTTTTTACATCGCGCAAAAACCGCGAAGCCAAACCGAGGCTGCGACCGGGAGAAGTGTGCGCCCAGATTTTTCTCTTCGAAGATCGGCACTGAAAATTGCGAACTGGTTCTCCCTTGGTTGAGGAAATCACCAATGGTTGTTGGTTTAAATAGTTGATTTTTCAGTTGAAATCACCACTGAATTGTTGGTTGACATCTCCATCTTTGCTTGAAATCTCTATCAAAAAGGGTGGGTGACCATTTGCCAGGTACCGCCACCACACCCGCCATGAGTTCGGGTGCAGCTGATCGCTTTGAACCTTGAACGGCTCGTGGCGTTGGAGAAAAGCCACCACGAAAAAACCGCCGCTTCATTCAAGCCCTGTGATGGTTCATAGCGGGGATCGAAGCAAACCCTAAGCCAACCCTAAGCCCTAAATGAATCCTACTCGTAGTTGCGAAATACCATGCGACATGAACAGTTCGAGCACCAAAATGGTGCAAATACCAAGGAACATGAGAGGATCGAACTCCACAATGTTGCAAAATGCCATTGAAATGGCAGCTTCCAGCTCCAAAAATGCTGCAAATAGCAAGGGAAACAGACAGGACAGGAAATCCAAACAAAAATCCCAGAACAGAAAGAAGTAATTCCCAAAACAATTCCAGGCCTGGTTTATAAACTTACAAACATACCTGGAGGGGCCTCACCTTGTTTGTTGCGTAGATGCTGTAACTCCAATGACTATCCCAGTCTTCGCTGTACTTTTCCAGGCTGCCAAGTTTGATATGTTGGTAGATGAGGTATTCGGGTAGATTGGGGAACTGGGAGAAAGGAGGAACTATCATGATCTATCCACCATTGTTGACCAAATGTGGTACAGTAAATTGATGTAAATGGACAATTTATGATTGTATGATATTGTATCTGGTTGGTGGTTTGGAACATTTTTTATTTTTCCATATATTATTGGGAATACTGATCCCAAGTGACTAATTTTCAGAGGGGTTGAAACCATCAACCAGCAATAAATGGGGATGTGATTCATGAAACATTAATTGCTGTAGATATGGTGATCAATACCCATGGGACCATTTTTGTGGGATGAACACTCAGCAAGGTCTACAATCAGTCAAAAAGGCTAAGTCAATAGTGCGTCAAAGGGTTTATCATCTTATATACACACATATCATATCATATCATATCATATCATATCATATCACATCATATCATATCATATCATATCATATTGCAATATCATATCATATTATAATATCATATCATCATATCATATCATATTACAATATCATATCATATCATATATCATTACATGTTGTATAATGTCTTATATCATTTTATATCCCAATTCTTGACACCTGCAACATGTGTTTTCTTTTGGGCGAACAGACCTCTGGACCGAGTCCGCGGAGCGCTCCTCGCCTCGCAGGTTGAGCCGATGCGGAACTTGCTACGAGAGAGTCGCCTGGGGACCTGGGGGCCTTGGATAGGACGAAGATCTGTGGGCATTTTTTTTTTTTAAGAATTAAGAATCCAGATATAACCACAGATATAATTTTATATCCAGATATAGAATCCATATTATATTCCAGATGATACTGCCAATGATATTGATATTTCCAGATATAATATAGGCAACATATGATGATATACAAATTATAGCATCAGAATCTGGTTGGTGGTTTCGAACATGGCTTTTATTTTTCATATATGGGATGTCATCCTTCCCATTGACTCATATTTTTCAGGGAGTAGGTCAACCACCAACCAGGAATCCATTTTATACACCCATTTTTAATGGGAAATCACAATTTTTCATGGAAGAATCCACAATAAATGGCCGCTTTCAATAGCAAACTGTTAGTTTACCAGAGGGTATATCCCATTAATATCCCATTGAATCACTATAAAATCCCATAAATGGGCAATTTTCAATAGCTAAAGGGTATATAAGATGGTATCTCCCATGTGAACAGAGCCTTTGTCCATGGCCAATGTCCAATTCCAAGAAGACTCAGCTTGTGGTGTGAGTTTAACTTTGGACCGAGCCGAGCCTTTCAGGATCGTAGCATTGGAATCATACTGATGATCATCAATGTTATTACAATATACTATGATAATTACATATAATTACTATAGTATACATTAATATACTATGATCATTACTATAATATACTATGATATTATGATAATTACGATGATATACTATGATACTATGAGAATTAGCATTACTACGATAATCATACTATGATTATGATATGATTATGCGTATTCTTACCATAGTAGTACTACACTATTACAATACTGCAGAATAATTACACATATTAGTGAAAGCATTGCTGTTGCTAGTAGTAGGGTACTAATACTATAATACAATCTCTAATGCTAACAACAACACTATTTGCTACTATTATATGTAATACTACTACTAATTACCATTATTAATACTATGATTCATGATATCTAATGGTAATGATTGATGATACTTAAATGGTAGGACTATTATAGTATATTATTATAGTAATGGTACTGTTGATCATCTTTTTATAAGACTATGATAATTACATACAATAGATATATGATATATGTACTAATTACCACATTAGTACTACTACCCTATGGTAAATTAACAGTGGGACCCTGACAATCACCAATTTTTATTGGAAACGAGTTTCTTCCAACCCCCAAAATAGAATGGCACGGTCTATATATGTTTCCATTTCTGGAGGGTAAGTATAATAAGAATGACAATCCTACGATTACCCTCCAGTAAATGATTACATTGTACGGTGAAAAATCCTATGGTTCCATAGATTGTTTCCCTTCTACTGGAGGACATCCTACTATCATCATTATGTAAGATAACTAATAGTAAGAACAGTAAGAACAGTAAAGGGCAATCCTTAAGAATGAACCATTACTAATCATTATTAACCACTATTAACCACCATTAAACCGCCATTAAAGCACCATTAAGGGCAATCCTCCAGAAATCTTATGGATTGCGGATGGTCTCAGGGTCCGTCAGGGTCCTCTGAGCCTCAGGCTCTCAGCTCAGGTCGTTTCCTCAGCTCCTATCTCTGCGGTCGCTGTGGGCGCTGGCGCCGCGATCTGCTGCGGGAGGCCGGCTGCGACTGCGGCAGGGGGAATGAAGCATGGGAAGTTGTAGGTATACTGGGAGATATGTCTGTATTATATAGTTATGTGTATATATATATACACACTCAATTATACATACATCTATATGTACATGTATATATACATATATTGTCCAGCGTTCCAACCCCCTTCCCCCCCGGCCATGGTCATGGGTCAGCCATAGTACTGTCCCCCTCCGCGGGTGTGGTACTGTATGGATGGTAGGTATGGTATGTTAGTCTGTTGGGTATGGTATGTTTGATATGACAGTATGTACGGTCTGTATGGTATGTATGGTTACTATGATAGGTATGGAATGTTTGCTATGTAAGGTAGGTATGGTGTGTATGGCATGTATGTTTGGTATTTTATGTATGGGAGGTGTGGCAATTATGTTTCATATGTATGGTATGTGTGGTATGCATGATAGGTATGATAGGTATGGTATGTACGGTCAAAGTTCGTATGGTATGTATGGTATGTATGGTATGTATGGTATGTATGGTATGTATGGTATGTATGGTATGTATGGTATGTATGGTATGTATGGTATGTATGGTATGTATGGTATGTATGGTATGTATGGTATCATTGGAATGTATAGTAGGTACGGAATATGTTAAACACATGTAGTGTTGTGAGAGTACACAGGTAGTGAAAAGGAAGTGGATACATAGCACATGTATATATATATATATGACTATAGGTAGCACGTAGGTACTTTGAGGGAATATGTGTGCTACGTAGGTCGTCTAAAAGGTAGCATGTACCTAGTAAATGCGAGGCTGGTAGTCAGAAATGCTGCAAAGACCTAGCAAAGACGAGGCTGGACCTCAGAAATGCTGCCAATAGCTTGCAAATAGAAGGGAAGGGGGTGCTACTTGGGGACCCATACCATTGGGGGGGCGTGGGGGGGGGGGTAGGAACTGAACACGGAACACGAGACCACATATATGTATATATATATATAAAGGTATATATATATGTATATATGTATATATATATACATATGTATAATGTATATATACATATATATATGTATATATATGCATATATAAATATATGTATATATATATATATGTATATGTATATATATATGTATATGTATATATATATATACATGTGTGTATCTCTACCTGATTATATAAGAACCACTGGATGGTGGTTTGCTGCTTGGAGAATCATCTGAGGGAGAAAGGAAGTGGTAAGGAGCACCAGGGGGACTTGAAGTCACAGCAGGGTTACGAAGATCCTCCAAGTGCTGGTGATAGCCTTTGTCCAAGAATGGTGGATTGAAGAACAGGACTAGGGGAAACCAAGAATAGACGGGGACCATGGATATTAAGTGGGACTTGACCAACAAAAATGAAAGCTTTAACCATCCAGAATATTGTGGGGAAGTAGTGGGGAAATTAATGGGTCCAAACATGGGGAAAAACACAACATGATCCAAAATGGCGCTCTTGAATATGTGGAAATGGTGATTTTTACCATGTGGATTTTAGGGTACCATGGGTACTCTATTTTCAGAGAAACCCACGTGGCAATAGTATCATATTTCCGTTTTTGTAGCTTGATCAATGGGAAAATCCACCATTTATTGATAATTTTCCCATGAAAACTTTCATTAATAGAGGATTTTCCATATTTTCCCATTGCCACGGTAGATTTGCAAAGGGTATTAATATCACCCAGTTGCTGGGGCGTTTTTTTTGTTCTAGTCCTCCTCGTTGGTGAATCATCCCACTTAGTAAGTGATTAATAACCATAGTTATCCATTTATAGATGGGATAAGCCACATTTCTTTGGGGCACAATAACGTCAGGGTTATGGGTTTCGCGACCACGATCCGTGGGATCCAAGCAATCCCATCTTGGTGAAATCCCCAAGGGATTTGCATCGGGTCATCCATCGGAATGGGGCCATATGGGGTAACAATCAGCCCATTTTGCTTCGTTGAACATCTGAAATTCGAGTGGTAAAATCAGCCATTTCGTTGGTTGAATGATGATAATGATGAAAAGAGTCCCCTTGTCTTCCCGATGTTGGACGTTCCATGCGCCTTTGATCAAAAAAAAATCCTCGCGATCGCTACAGGTGCTTCGTCTCTGGCACATCAGCATCCGCTTCGTACGTCTGGGCAACACAGCACCACGATGTTAGACTGGGTGAACCCTTGTTCGCTTGGTGGGTGAATTTTCGACTACAGAGGATGATGTGCAGTACATACCCAGCAGGGTGTCTAAGATTTAAGATTAGCCACGGACAAATGAGGAAACCTTCGGAAACCTTGGTGAATGACAGGTGATTTTGTTGAATTTTTAGCCAGAATGGAGGACTGTACTGTTCTATTTGCGTTGATTGTATAGCCACCAAATCATTTGTTTGAAGAGTATCTAAGATTTTCAGTGAAGCTATTTTGGAGGTGGTTGAACCCCAGCAAGACTTGCATGTCACAAGGCTTTATAGGCTAATCTCGATTGGAACATACTGTTACCCTCTGGTAAACGTTTACATGACTATGGTCGAAGGAAGTTTAGAAGTCAAACTCCCG